ACACTTGCAGAGTATTGTTAAATATGTTGTCTTTGTACTATGTTTAATTAAATATAGGGTTTAAATGATCTGGAGATCATTGCATTTTGTTTTTATTTACATATGCCCCAGCTTTCCAACTTTTTTGAAAATGGGATTGTAGGTTTAATTTAGACACAGCTGTTTAAACTTGACTGTTCCTGATTTTCTTCTGTTCATCTGTTTTTTTGGTATCTTTTATTAAATGTTCATTCTTTTTAAGCTTAATTTTTCATATATATTTTTTTAATATGTACATTTTTACTTCCTTTTATTGTATTCATATTTTTAGTACAAAAGGTGCTACATAAACAAACTTGAGCTGTGTTAAGCTGAGATGATGTGTGTGTGTGTGTGTGTTTGTGTTGGTGTGTGTCTCAGATGATTGACATGCTGTACTTTGTGGTGATCATGCTGGTGGTGCTGATGAGTTTTGGCGTGGCGCGACAGGCAATCCTGCATCCAGACGAGGAGCCAACATGGCGCCTGGCCAGGAACATCTTCTACATGCCCTACTGGATGATCTATGGAGAGGTGTTTGCAGACTCGATAGACCGTAAGACTAGAATTCATAGTAAGATTCCGTTTCCTGATTGATGGACGAATGATGCGTTCCAACTCCATTCTAGCCCTTCATGTGTAATTATAGCCCTCATGAGCCATGATTTCTAAGGAAAGCCTCAGACATTTTCACCATCTTACGACTCATTCCATTCATTGTCCTCTGAATTGTGTGTTCTGGACTGGGTGTGTGATTGTGACCTTCCTTGCTCCCTCTGTTGGTGTCTTGAAATACTACACTTCAAATTTTTTACTAGTCAATGATGGTTTGAGCTGCTATGTCATATTAAGCGATGTTATATTACTTTTCATTTTAACACTTGTAATTAACTTTGTGTTTAAAATGCATCTTTGTTTTTAAAGTGTTGTATATATGTTTAGGCAAAACTGTTTCTTAATGTCATATGGTAAACCCAGAAATTGTTCTAATTTTCTCTTTTTTTTTATTCTTATAATTCTTTTAATTTCTTATAATGTTTTCTGTGCTTACCACAACAATAAGTCTATGCAATGGAGATAAACCGTAAGTATTATTCCACTATGCAATCCCTTCTGTAGAAACTATAGTATAGTATAAGTATAGTAAATAATCAGATAGGAAGGTCATGTCAAAGTGGCAATCTAAATGAGCTTTTCTTTCAAAAGCACCCTGTGGTGAGAATATGTATGATGAGGATGGAAAGAAACTGCCACCATGTATCCCCGGAGCTTGGCTAACACCTGCCATCATGGCCTGCTACCTGCTGGTAGCCAACATCCTACTGGTTAATCTGCTCATCGCTGTATTTAAGTGAGTAAAAAAAAAAAAAATTATATACTGGCAAGAAATTACCAGGAACTTGTCTATAGAAAAGTCAACTGTCATTGCTTTATTGGAGTATTCTGTTAAGGGGCCCATATCATAAAAAAAAATCATAAAAAGTACCTTTTCCACTCTAGTCCTAGGGTCTACATATGGAAATTAAACAACAAAAACATAAAAAATAAAGCAGCCAATCAGAACAAGGGTCTTTTTACACTCTTAAAGGCACAGTATCTATTTTATTTTAGGGGGTTAAAGACAGATTGGAAAATGGTGTGTACAATTAAACTATAACTGTTCTTTTAAAACCACAAAAATGTCATAAGTGGACCTCAAGGGAAAGAAATAAAATTAAAGAAAAATGCACGATATGTACAATTTAAATAACAGTACATATTATTTGCATATAGAAGATAATTCCTTCAGATTGTATATCAAATATTCTGTACATTACAGATTAAATTTAGTTTTGTTCTGTTAAAAAAATCCTTTAATTAAAAACTATAATTTATGAAGCATTTTTGTATTTATTTAAGAGCTATCTGACCAGATCACCATTCAGTGACTTAAGTTAGCTATGTATGGACATCAACATTTTGTCCAATGGCTATCCTGAAGGCAACACACCTAACTTGATGTTGTTCTGAACAGCAACACATTCTTTGAGGTGAAGTCCATCTCGAACCAGGTGTGGAAGTTCCAGCGCTATCAGCTAATCATGACGTTCCATGACCGACCAGTTCTTCCTCCTCCCCTCATCATCTTCAGCCACATCTACATTGTGTTGAAGCGCTTGTGCTGCCGCTGTAAGAAAAAGAAAAAGGAAGGTGAACTGGATGAAAGAGACCGTGGCCTCAGTAATTCATTTCCTATTCCTTCTCATTGCTTATTATTACTGTTTGTAATAGTTTATAATATTCTAAAGATTCGCAGTAGGTTTAATTTGTTAAAATCACTTTTTTTTCAGAACTGATTCTGAGTCCTGATGAGCTGAAGAACCTGTACGAGTTTGAAGAGCAGTGTGTGGAGGAGTACTTCAGAGAGAAGGAGGACGAGGAGCAGTCATCCAACGATGAACGCATTCGAGTCACTTCAGAAAGGTACTTAGCTCAAACTAATAATACAGGGGTCTTTTCTCCAAGTTTAAGCCTATGTTCCTTAAAAGACTTGAGCAGAAACATAACATCTCACTCTGACCATCTTCTCTGGTTATGTGACTTGCAAGAAGGAACTTACTGACTAGCATTTGAAACATATTCCTCCTCTCCAAAAAATGGGAGGGTTGATTCCAGTTCAGAAATGCAACATGTTCAGGAGATATGCTGGCTACATCCAGACCACCTATATAGCTATAAGTAAAACTGAACAGAGACAAGGATGCCACCGTTAGTTTGACCAAAAATCAAATTTATGCAGATTTGTTTGTTTCTTTGGTTCTGCACCAGAGCTATGAGGTGAATGTAGCTAATAAGGAATGGAAGCTTATATCTCCTATTTTAGCATCATGCTGCACAGCTAAATCCTCACACACTTGCCTAAATTTGTCAGGTTGTTGTAATCTCAGATCAACTTAATGTGTGACACTGTGTCACATACTGTGATCTGTTATCTAAAATTATATGTTAAATTAATGATTATATGTCAATATCTCGTATAAAATGACATGTTTGAGGTAGGTGTGTGAGGATATAGACTTTCAGCATAATGCTAAACATTAGCTCATTAGCTACTTTCACCTCATAGCATGCAGTCTGCAAGATTTGCAGTCTTCTACACAATTTTCTGTTAAATATCCTGCATGTTTTCTGTTTTTTCCTGACATTGAACAATTAATAACTTATACTTAGTGGCTGTTTTTAACTGGAAATTAATTAAATGAAAGAGTGATCTTCTGTACAGTACTGTATGTGTATAATATAGTACATTGTGCTATATTGCTATTGTTGTGGCACACAGGGTGGAGAACATGTCTATGCGTCTGGAGGAAGTCAATGAAAGGGAGCATACCATGAAGGCCTCTCTGCAGACAGTGGACTTGCGTTTGGGTCAGCTAGAGGAGTTCTCTGGCCGTATGATGCGTGCTCTGGAGCGCCTGGCTGGAATTGAACGCTCTGACCTGGTTCGGACACGATCTGGTGGCTCGAACATGGGCGATTGCTTCCTGCGCCGCCAAAGCAGCATCAACAGCAATGATGGCTACAGCTTATACCGCTTTCACTTGGATGCTGAGGAGCGCACAGCTTCAGAGGAGGTCATGGGTGAGCACCTGGGGCAGGGGAGTCCTGAAAGGCATGGCAGCCTGTGCGGAACTGAGCCCCTGCTGCCTCCACAGGGGGGCGTCCATTCTTTTGGCACCACTCTGGATGTTCATCCCCTACAGCAAAGGAGACGCTCTACCTCCAGCGTGGATATTCTCATTTCCCCCTGCAATCCAGGATTGGGGCAGGATTCTCAAGGCCCAAGACTGACCTCCATTCACTCGGCAAAAGATCCACATTCCCTGCTGGACGCAGCACTGGAGCGAGCCGGTGTCATGGTAGGGAAGACAAGGCTGGAGACAGTGGTTTCCTATCCTCTAGAGCGGGCGCAGTCACTTCGGCAGTATCCCGCCGGGGGGCTAAGAAATTCACTTTCACCAGAAAGTAGGGCCTGGAGCACCATGGTCTATTCACCAGTGGGACAGCCAAGACTAGGAATAGAAGGGGACGCCTGGGCATCAGAACCCTGCAGCTTACAGGATCAGGTGAGCAGGTCACCAACAACTGGTCGTTGGACCCCTCGCTTTGAATACAAAGTTCATCCCTGCCTGTTTGGACACATGCCCAGAGTATCTGCAGAGAAGCTTTCTGAAGTAACGGCAGGGTCAGGGGGAAGAGAGGACAAAGAGGATGGACGAGGAAGAGAGGTGATTCAAACAGATGAGAAGGAAGTGGCAGACACGGATAACTTGTTAGTAGCTGAAAACAGAACGTACCCGGCACTCAGATCGAAGAGTCTGAATACTAACCCTCGGAAGATGAAGGCCCGAGGAGACAGCCTGGAAAAGTCTCGAACAGCCTGCAGTGTAAAGGACCTGGTGGGAGCTTTTGAGATTAATTCGAATGACCATAAACCTTCTGCAGAGAGAACAACCTCACAAACTTGACCCTGAACAATAGTGAATGACGTCCCACAACAAGCAATATCATTTACTTAATTTTATAACTGTATAGTTTGTAAGAACAAACTTTGGACCTAATATGGAACATAAAAGTGAAGGTTTTTAACCATGCTATGATATTCTGAAGAACAGTTTTCCTTCCCATAAAGTCTTAGCCCATATATATTACTGAAGCATATTAAGATGGAAAATTTTCTTAGATTATTATTCATTAAACATATTATATTAGATGTTATTTTTTGTTATAAAATATATTTTTCTTAAAAGAAAAAGGGATGATAACTACCTCTGTGTGATCATTTTTAACAATAACAGTTATCATGTAGTGAAATAAAATTATGCTTAATTATAATTACACCATGAAGCTATCTCTTATTTTGGAATGTTTGATGAAAGAAAAGCATTAAAAAATCATAATTAAACAAACAAAAAATGTAGTACAGATAGAAGGTACACCAGTTTAATTTACAAAAGATAGTTTAATCTTTATACAGTATCAGTTCACACTGATATATATATATATATATATATATATATATATATATATATATATATATGTGTTACAGAATAGACAAGGAATTGAGGAAGACATGTTAAAAAGTACTTCAAGGGACAGAAGCTGTGTAATTGTACTATTAAGATCATAAGATCATGGGAGACTGAATGCTGTCATTGTTACATTGTAAAGTATGCACATGTGCCAGCATGCATTTTCAAATTTGGACCATAGAGGTCATTAAGAATATCTGTTAGGCCCAAACAGCCAATGAAACTCAAGCAATCATGTACCCTTAAACAAAAATCAGTAGAATGTGGAATAAATGAATAGATTTAATGATAACCGGAGTCATGGACTGCCATTAAACAAAATCAGTAGAATGTGGAATAAAATGAATAAATTTAATGATAACTAGACTGGTATACTAATGTCCTAAGGGTCAACTGGAACCATCTTAGGGTTAGGACTTTAATATTTGACTCAAGGAATCTGGAAAGGTTAACCACCTCTGCACTGTTCCACACAATCAGTACTGAGGTATCACAATTTATTGCAAGTGATTAAGACAGACCCCTCTAATAGGGTCCCAGTGGTTTTTCAAACTGGACAGGTCTTTCAGACAGACAGCAAATAGTGCAAGAACAGAAAAAAAAAATACTGTAGCAGTGGTACTGTAAACACTACACAATAAATTCACACTTATGGAATCTTAAAAAAGAGGAATCAGAAAAGACAAAACAACATCAACATACTGTAAATACACTGCAATTATTTTACATATATATATATATATATATATGTACACACACACACACACACACACACACACACACATACATATATATATATATATATATATATATATATATATATATATATAAAATCAACATCTTAACAACAGGTTGATTTAGAACAGGTTAACATGCTTGAAGTGGTTTTTATGGAATGGTAAGTAACAGGTGCTTCCTTGGATAAAGTATAAAAATATATTACCATTAGTAAACATAATAATGTGAATTAATATTCAGGGCCCAGTTGAGGCAAAGCTGGCTGCTGCTTCAACAAGCATTTGGACAAGAGTCTTCCTCATCTGTCTACACTGTGTGTGTATACAATTTCAATCAGAACACGGAATGTACATGATATTACAGGAATTATTTACCCACAAACACTAACCTTGCTAAAAATGAAAGAAAGTAGGGGCTAGACTCAGAAAATACTGTCAGGTCCAAACCAGCTTTCGTTCACTGTTAACCATGTTAGCATGTAGGATGGCCATCCTTTCAGGAAGAAAGGAAAACATTCATGGCCCTAAAAACACTTATAACAGCTATGACCCATCCCACAGCATCATTAGTTTTCGGTCACTTTGGTTTTTGTTTTTATGGTGGCATAAGCTAGGAGGAAGATAGGAAGACTGCTTTCTGTGAAATACCTCTGTTCCTGCAATTTTAGCATTGGCCTGTTTGGAACAGTTTAGAAAAGTCTGCCTATGTTTTCCTCACACAAATAATTTCTATTTAAATGTCGTATGAAATTTCCTACAAACATATTCAATGTAAACATCAAAAGTCATTTTTCTCAAGACCAAAAAAAACATGTCATCTTTAAAAAATAAGATAAAGAGCTTTTCCTAAGAAGTCCTTCAGGTTAATCAATGGAGATCCTTCAGTTCATAGTTTCTGTAACTTTATGTTCATTCATGTCAGTATTCTTGACCCTAAACTAGCCCCATACTGGGTAAAGGTCATATAGCCAGTACGCTCTTATGTTTTCCTTCATAATCCATAATGACTGTCATGTAAAACTAATCGAAAGTATCTTCATATGTAAATGCTACAATGTTGTTTTAACACTGTTTCGTAAAAAGTGCCTTTACAAGCTTTGGTAGCAACTTGCTGAGGATGATTAGGAACCTTTGATTTGTTTTGTTTTTTTCTGGGGGGCACTAATAGCAAACCAGCTGAGCTCCATCTTCCTTTTCTTTTTTAAGCCTTCAGTATATATTTCTGAGGAAGGGTGTCCAGAGCTCTCGGCAGCAGCTCACACTCCTGAGGTACTGCAGGCTGCCTCAAACATACACAGGCTGAGCTCCAAAAAACATGATCCTAACACACCTTCTCAGACACACGCGCATCCTCGCACACTGAAGCTGTAAGAATTTCAGGGTTAAAGAAGAATGCAGCGGAAGAAACTGGGCTTCTTGGAACGATTCTCTGTGATCTTGACTGGACCTCCTCCCGACGGGTTATTCTCATTCTACACACAGAAACCCAAACACAAGGAGACATTCAGTTTTAATGCCAGTGGTTGCACAAAAAAATGAAGGTTTTGCTCAGTGACTTTACACTTTCAAAACGTGTTCTCTGGGCAAGTCCAATTTTTTAATATTAGCTTCATTTACAGTCCTATGCAAAAGTTGGGTGCACTGGTCAAATTATGCTATGTGTTTTAATGTTTTGATTTTTTGTAAGTGAAAATAAGTACACACTTTACAGAGAACACAGCTCTGCAATTTTCACACACAATTACTGTTAATGTACTCAATTTAACATACTGGAGGTAAACATGTAAAATGTGGCCTGTGTACAAGTTAGGTCACATTTTGTATTTTTAAAAAAGATTTTTTCAATATGCTCTGCAAATGTATATAAATTGTGCGCTAAACTTTACAGAAATGCTATATTCAATTTGTTCCCCGTTAACTAATTTTCACTTAGAAAATCAATGTGTTATTTGACCAAGGGTATTCAAACTTCTGCATGTGACTAACTTGCGTATACAGATTTACTGAATAACTCAGTAACTGTATACCTAGAAAGCATACCTGTATGTACTCTGCATTGATAAAATGTCCAAAGAATGTACACTGTATTCAATAAACTAGTTATTCAGTATAGGTGCACTTTTGCAGGTTTCTAATTACTGAATGAAGCCCATCTGTTGCTGGATAGTTTGCCAGCCACCCGCTACCCCATCTATAAATGGTAAGAGACAGGCCTGATTGATCTGACTGTGAATGTAAATTAAATTTACAGCATATGGCAGAGGCCAGTGCAGGGAACCAAACAAAGAGGGACCTTATACTGCCTGACAGCATAGAGGCACCAGGGGTCTTTCTTTGCAGGACCACCACTGACCTGATTCTCAGTTGAATTGGATGAGTTGGATTTTCAAACAGTGTAAAATACACTACATTGTTCCATAGAAGAAGTAATTGCACGTTACACAAACAGAAATTTTGAATGTGAATTGTGGCGCCTTAATGGGGTCAAAGTGAGACAAAATGGCACAAAGCATAATGGTTTGTTTAGCTGAGTAATTAAATAATAGTGGAAAGTTTTCAACACCATAGTGAAAGTGTTGAACACAGTGTAATCAATTTAAAACGGTATCACCAATGTGCCCCTCACTCTCTTACAAGGCTTTCTCACTGAGGACGTTGGGGTATGCACACACCCACAAATGACTAGGCCTTATTCTGAAATTACTTATACTTTATTGGTTTATTGTGTTAACAGGCTGGTGCAGCAGGCCCTGACAAAACTTTTATTTATCTGAGCCAAACCAGACCAAATCAAACCAAAACCAGGACATTTTGTTTCTATATGTGTATCATTACATCCTTAGTGAATAGATTAGTGAACTAATTATTGAAATTATTATTATTAGTTACAGCCCTACTACAGTGATAACATATTTACAACAATAAATAATCAACAATATAACAACATTAACTTCAACTTCATCCGATGGCATAAACGAAACTTACCATTTTCCTATTAAGTCTGGTCATAATGTCTCTGCTGAGGGTGAAGAAGGCCTAAAATAACATAAGAGAAGTCACAGTATAGTTAGAACAGGGCAAACCTACACAGACATAGCCTTGGAGTCCAATTCAATTCTGAACTCCGATGGATATTAACTTTGTGTGCTCATCATTACTGTTAAAAACATTCATTTACTCAATCACACATGTTTTTATTCTATTTTCTCTTACCTCTTCCACATTTGTGCTGGATTTTGCACTAGTCTCTAAGAACTTGATCCCATAATCAATGGCTAGCTGTACAAAAAATCAGAAATGACTGTATAAATGCAACATAAAGTCTTGTTGTTCCTTGAGCTTAGCACTGAAATGCAAAATTATTATTAATGAAAGTATTATATATATTGGCTCTACTTACCTTCTCCCCTCTCTCTTTTGACACTTGTCTTTTGTCATTCATGTCACATTTGTTCCCCAAAATCATTCTTTCCACATCTGATGATGCATGCTGTTACAGAACAAAGTACAACAGAAAGAAAGGTAAAACAGTCTTAGAACAAAGCCACCTGTACCTACATTAATAAATCTTTCATTTTGATTATAAAGACCAGTGACTAGAGAATCACCTCCTCAATGTTTCTGATCCAGTTTTTAATGTTCTCAAATGACTTCTCATTGGTGATGTCGTATACCAACATAATACCCTTGGAGAAAAAGCACAGGATGACTGTTAATAACAAATGTTAATGGCAATATGTGAAGGGCTTCACATTAAACATCACTTTCATTTTTTCGTAATATGTTGTTGGGAGTGGGCTTTACACATATAAGAAATACCAATGCTATATTATGATTAAAACCACATTTATTAGAGAAATAAAATGCATTTTTACAAAGTGCTTTACAGCTGTTATTCTCTTCAAACCTCTTCTTGGATGTACAGAATTCTCTTCATGTATAGACACATATAGATATGCATAGGAGATGACATTTCTCTATGGAGGAATTTAGGGGAATTTCACAGATTTTTCAAAAGTTCAATTGTTGAAATGTCATTAACCACAGAGTGGTTTGATGTCTACAACAGTCTTTCTATTTGTTATCCAAAACAAACAGTGAATCTACAAGTCTTCTAAGTTTTTAGGTTTGATGTTGATATTGATAATCGTGGGAAATCCAATAAAATAAATTTTTGGAACACACCAGATGTCTGGTTTCTTTTCACCACCACTGTGAGCAATTCTGAGTTGTAGGCTTCCCTAGAATGGCAATTTGCGCATCAACCACTCTAAATGCATTTATTTACATCTGAACAATTACATAGAAAATTTGAAAAATCTGTGAAATTCCCCTTCAACAATAGATTTTGCTTCAGACATCAAAATTACATTATATATACATGTTATATAATACATTATTACATAACATGAATTATGAATAATATTACATAATAAGTGAATATTACATAATTCACTCCAGAAACATTCATTGTGTCTAAGCATTCATTTGTTGTGGTGTATTACAAACCCTACAAACATTTATTTGTAGTGGTGCAAGAGAGTCCCAGTCTCACCATTGCTCCTCTGTAGTATGCTGTGGTAATGGTTCTAAATCGTTCCTGTCCTGCTGTATCCCTGCAGAACACACAGATATCCTCACACATTGATATTCAGGCTTACTCATGCAAAATCAATGAGTAATCTACCTAGGGCTTACCAGATCTGAAGCTTGATTTTCTTGCCATCCAGCTCAATTGTTCTAATTTTGAAGTCAATTCCTGCAACAAGTGGAAAAACATATCAGTGTCATAAATTAGGCTTTCTAACTAATGACATCAGATACCTTTCATAACCACCACCATGACACCACTGTCCTCAAGACGACAGCAGAGGTGTGCCAGTGTGTGCACTGGGTAACCACAGAAACACAATGTGGGAAAAGGTCACAATGCTCCAACTTCTGCCTGATCACTATGGCCCATTGACATGTAAGCCACTATGTAATTACACTGCTGCATTAAATGTGCTTGTATCAAGCCTAATCAAGTTGCATTCAATGGGAATTGAAACTGCTCCCAATTATGACAATTATAAGAAACTGGCAGTTTATGAACAGACATCTGTCCACTGAAAGCTTTAACAGGATATGGGACAGGAAGTGAGACAGCAGCGTTGTCCATAGCAATAGGGGAAGTCTGAGGCATAACAACAACAAAAGGTCAAGAAACTCTCAAACACTCGCTCCATTTTCAGACAGGAAATATCATACCCAACCACCCCAAAAGCAAAACCAGCTGACTGTATCAAAGGCAGCAAACCAAATAACACTGGTTTTAGGAAAACTACCAACCTCCAAGAAGTTGCAAAAACCTAGTACCTACAATGCCTGGCTACATTGTTAACTTAACGCTGTGTTTAGATCATTCTCATTTTTCAATTTCCACGCCTAATGTTAAACTCGCACTATCAATGGAGATTGAGTACTTTCCCACACGTAATAAAAGTCTACAGTCCGTAAGAAATACTGGCTAACAATATTACCCTGTAACATAGACAGCTGGCGGTTCTGATTGCTAAAGCGTTCCAGAGAAAGCTCTGGGAAAAGTACTGTTAATTTCAGTCTGCGTGATAACTTCCTACGTTGTGGGCGTGATGTGCGAAACATGACAATTAACATAACTTCAGCTGTAAGTTAACTAACTACAACAGTTGACCGCTCCCCCTTTTCACTATAATATAACCTGCTAGTTACCTAGCTAAGCTAACTTTACTGCCAAAAATACCTGTGTGATATTTACCAACTTATCTTATATAACTAACTAGCTAGCTACATTAGCTATCAGTACTACTTGCCCAGACCGCTAGCAAGCTTGCTAACCAAACTGGTTAGCCAGCCACACAGTACCGTACGGTTTCTGTTCGGTAATGGAAATACATACGACATTTTATCTTTACATCATCGAATGAAGTAAGTTATGAGCGTAAAGTTATTGAACTGTCGGGAGAGGCATAAATGTAGCAGAAAACGTTAGATAAGCTAACAAACTTCCTAGCTAAGGCGAAGCTGTCAAAACGGAAGGCCTCTTCCTGTCACTCAACTCAACACAGCGGTTTTCCTAATCCTGAGTTTAAGACACGAAATGTTCCGACAGATAGCTAGTTGAACAAAATGGCAAATGACCCACCATTTCCTATTCAATAACAATGTGATATTAGTAAGCTAGATTAATCATATAAGATACATTTCAGAAACTGACCTATCGTGGAAATAAAGGTGGTGTTGAACGCGTCCTCACTGAATCGAAACAGTAGACATGTCTTGCCAACTCCGCTGTCTCCAATAAGCAGTAGTTTGAAGAGATAATCATAAGTTTTTGCCATGTCTACTCCGATATATTTAGAAAGCTACCTTGCCTGATGTGGTAGCTAAGTAACGATATTTGGCTAACGGTTCATAAAAATGTGGGTGAACTAGTCTTTCCGACTACTACACTGAGGAGGAAAAGGCTGGGTGTGAGTCGAATGACGTCATACCCAGAGCAGGACTTTTAGCTACAAGATTCAACAAATGAGAATATCTAGTACCAGTGGAGAGATGCTACAAATATTTGGGGGAATTGTTATCGAGAATGTATTGAACAGTGTTTAGCTTTGTTATTTCTTTGTTTTGTTTTGTTTGTTTAGAACAATGTCGTATTCAAATTGGCCGAGCGATGATGACAAAACAGTGTCTGTCTTTCCTGTTGGCTCGGAACACCTGTTAGTCAGTCATGCTAAAATGTAATTTGCCCCGTGTTTTCTATGAACAAGAATGTACAAAAACAACTTCATAATGTGATTTTTAAGGAGAGTCCCTAGAGGGCTGCATATGGCTTATGAAAGTAATACTCTGATTGCCTACTTCTACTTTTTTCGGCTATGGCATTGTTATCTCACTACACCATACAGATGGGTGACAAATCAAAGAAAAAAAAACTATGGTAAAAGATAACCCATCTGACCAGTTCACTTTTTTTCACGTATCTGTAGACCAGTGTCTATGGCTGACTCTCAAATGGTTCCCTACTCACTATACAGTGCACTGCATAGGTCATTAATCTATAGTGCTCTTGTAAGAGTGTAAGAACGTAAGTGTTGGGTATAGAAGCCTTATTTCATACTTACGTAGTTGTTTGTTTTGTTTTTATTTTTACCACGGACATCTCAAATGTGCATTCGTCTTTGTAATGAGAGATTTTTTTTCACAACCACACGATTATATTATAATATCCCTCTGTGTACTCTATGTACTGATATTCTCAATTACCTGAGGAACAGCTGTTTTTCTGTTTTTTCTTATGTATCACACTAATGCATGAGCATCACAGTCTTTGAAAGTACGCTTTCGACCACATTTTCCAACCCTGTTTACTGTTGTTTTTTGCACATCTAAACGCAGATGTCACTTTAGTTACCGTACCTATTGAAACACTAATCAGTCGAGCTGTCTTTGTGGCTGAAGCTCCTGCCCCAAAGAATGAACTCTTTCATAGTCACTTAGATCTTTTAATCTTGCCATCTTGATCCACAATTGCGGTCAGCTGAACCTACTCAGCACTTTATACATGCCAGAGAGCATGGTGGGATGTTAAGTGCTTAACTGTATAAGGCAGTTCACCTGTCTGAAAGCATATGGACTCACTATGTTTCCCTTCTCATTTATTCAGGTTTGTGTCACTTATCAAGGCTGTAGCCTGCCTGCTTCTATGTATGTAAACTCTGGCGGTTAAATATCCCCACCTACTGGTTTGTATGCTCACTGCGACGAGCGCTCCAGCGTGATCCCCACTTACCACAAAAAAGATGTAGCAGGTCATCTTCCGACGCTCGGTGAAGAGGGATAGCCTACAAGACGTTTTGCACGTTTGTTTATCTTGTTTTTTCATCGGATTTATTTGACGTGACCAAAAACTCGCGTAGTTTTTATCTTTATCTTTTTTAAAGAACCATAACTTAAGCCTCCAGCTGAACAGTACACAGCTGAAATACTGACATGCTGCTGTGCAGAAAGAAGGCTTTTACAGGAAATGGGGAGTAAGCAAACAACCTTCAGAGATGACCAGCTTGACGAGTATCAGGTACCTTCCTTGATAGTTTAAGCGTTTTAAGTGGTCATAGCTTTTCGTGATTTTAAAAACACTGTGATATAACAAGTAACATAACATCGCAGTAGAGGTTTGCTTAACTCACAACGTGCCTGACTGTCTTCTAACAGGACTGCACATTTTTCACAAGTAAAGAAATCCTGCGGTGAGTAACATTAACTCTTTAATATAGTAACGCCAGAGCTGTTTGCAGAATTTATCATGCAGGTTGATTTGAGGCATGCTTTGTTATCGTTCCCGTTTTGGTTGATTTGGCTGAGGGAAGTGGTCCTAGAACAACAAGAAGGTAAGCTTACACCAGGACTAAAGAGGCCATTCTTTCTCGAAATTTGCATGTTTTACTCAGCTAAATATTTATCACTTATATTTGAATCTAGCTGGAGTAGAAATACATCACAAAATATTACAAATTAAGAAGAATGTTATGTAAGCTCCTGGATGATGAACATGAATCTGCAGTGCAGAATTGCTTTCCATATCTGGCACTGAAGTTTGATTACCAGTTGTGCTATGTGCTGCCATTAAGGCCCTTGGCTGTTATATTAAATTATATTATATTGTATTATATTATATTACATTATATTATATTATATTATATTATATTATATTATATTGTAAAATATCTTAACTAGCCAAATTTTAGTTATCAATGCAGACATAGAATTACATGTACTGTAATGTACTGTAAAACCACATTGTAGTCAGTATAATTGTTTCATTTACTTATTTATAATGGGCATTAATGGATTTCATTGATCTACACTACTTTGTGTGTAAATCTTAAATATGATTGCAATTAATATTGATAGTACACTTCTTAGGTAATATCACATAATGGGGATGGAGAGGGGAGATCCTGTAGTTTTACAAAGGGGTTTTTTTTTGACAAGGAAGATGGCATCCTCCCGCATCTCCCCTCAAACTGAGCCCTAATAGCTGGACTTTGTAACCTGACTTGTAGGTCTTAACTCACTTATTCACAGCTTTTTGGCTCACTCAGATGGGTTGTAGAAATAAACTAGCTGAGCTACAGCAGTTGCTCTAGGCATATACAAGAATTCTTGATGGAAAACATCAGCCTTTATCTTGCTAGCTGACCAACTTCTACTCTGTTGTCCCAGTACAAAATCATCTGACAAAGATTAATATAGCCTAGGTAACTAAATACATTTTTTAGTGTGTTTCACTGTTAAATGGGCATTCCTAGGCCTGTCACGATCTATCTATACATACTGTTTAGCTGAAGATGAAATACTGGTATGCCCACACATGTCAAAAACCAGGATACATATATTGTCCTTCAGCCTTTGACAGAATTCACAATTCTACATCCTTCTTGTGTTTACATCTATTAGTGTTCTGTCATTGTAATACAATGGCGTGCATTATGCAAATATGTCATAAATTAAGGAAAATAATAAGAAAATGGAAATTCAACTTTGCCTCTGGTGTAGAATCTAATAAATATAGACGTGATACTCGGCTTCCTAGCAGTAAAGTTAGCTACATTAGCTTCCTACTCCATAAGCCAGCTAGCAGGAAAAAATAAAATATAAAAGCCTACCCCCAGTTATCTCCCCTAAAGCTCTTTTCTAAAAGTTCCTCTCACCTTCCAGATACATCATCATAAGGTAGTGTTTTTAATCTTAAAACCAGAAAATCTCACTGTTGAGATTACTGTGGCACCACTGTAGGATCTAGACATATTTACCAGTAGTTATTGTTACATTTTACATTTTCACTAGAGTGCCCATTTAAGCGTTCAGTTAGCATCAGATAATTCTGTTCAGTCACTGTCTAAGAATGATGGCTTTGGAAGCGTGATGCTTGCATCTGTTTTACTGTGTAGCCCTTTTTTCCAGGTTACATGGGCGATTCCGTGACTTGGCTCCCAACATTGTTCCAATGGACTATACAAATAACCCTGATATTACTCTCCCCTCCTCTGTCATTACCACCATGCCTGAACTTAAGGTAAAATTTGAGGAATGGCCTTACATTTAAGAGTAACATTTGACACTGTTTTGACATGATAATATGTTTGTAATCTTAGTTTCCTTTTGGTTCCCCTTTGTATATTGTGCATATATACCGCCTGGCGACTTCATTATGTACGCTTCCTTATATCTAACCTCATTGTCCATTTTATCTACTCTGTTTACCATTTATAGTTCTACAGTTAAAGACTGTAATCCATTTGTTTCTCTGCATAATTTCTTAGCCCTCTTTTGCCTTTTTCGTCAATGGTCAGGACCACCGCAGAGCAGATATTATTTGGTATTTGGGTCGAGGACGATTCACAGCACTGCAGTGACACTGACATGGTGGAGATATGTTAGTGTGTGTTACACTGGCTCAAGTGGAATAGACACAGCAGTGCTGCTGGAGTTTTTAATTAAACACTGTGTCCACTTACTGTTCACTCTATTACGCACACCTACTTGTTGGTCCATCTTGTAGATGTAAAGTCAGAGACAGTAGCTCATCTGTTGCTGCACAGTTTGTGTTAGTCATTCTCTACTACTACATCAGTGGTCACAGGATGCTGTTAGCTGGATGTTTTTGGTTAGTGGACTATTCTCAGTCCAGCAGTGAAAATGATGTTTAAAATGTTTAAAAGAATGTTTAAAGATTTAAGAATGTTTAAAAACTCCAGCACCACTGCTGTGTCTGATCCACTTGTACCAGCACAACGCACAGTATCACTCCGCTACCATGTCAGTGTCAATGCAGAGCTGAGAATGATTCACCACCCAAAAAGTACCTGCTCTGTCGTGGTCCTGTGGGGGTGCCGATCATTGAAGAACAGAGTGAAAGGGGGCTAACAAAGTATGCAGAGAAACAGATGGACTACAAACTACAAAGTGCGCTCTATGTTTAGTGGAGCTGATAAAATGGACGAAGAGTGTAGGTACAAGGTGTACTTAATAAAGTGGCCAAATTTTATATATATATATATATATACATATATCTGCTCTTTTTTATAGGAAAACCCATTCTGCCAAAGCATAGTTGAGACCTTTTCTGAGGATGGCAAGGGCAACCTGAGTTTCAATGACTTTGTGGACATGTTCTCAGTCTTGAGTGAAATGGCACCACTAGATCTGAAGATCATCTACGCCTTCAAGATATATGGTAGGCCATCTGTTTCTGCTATTCAATCACTGTTCATGGAGATATTTTTTTTATTACAGTAGTATCACAGTTAGTTCTGACCTTAAAATGTGAGTGACATTCAAAAAATTCCAAGGTTACCCAATATTGGCACTCTTGGCATTTTATTATTTATTTAATTATTTTTAAATCTTTTTTTGTGAGTGAGAGAGTTCTAGGCGACTTCTGCTTTAGTCTATATACTAGACCGAAAAAACTTCCTCACAGGCAAAGGAAGGAAGAAATGGAACTTTAATCCAGTCCCAAATGCCAGCTTTAGCTTTGTGATCCTCCTTAAAGTCCACACTTTGTTGACATCTACAATGTCAACGACTATAGGGCAAAATACCTTGAAGGTATTTTATTTAAAGATGTGTATTTGGGACCAACTCATGCAATGTGTAGGTTCCACATGTGCTGCACTTGGCAAATCAGTCATAATCCTTTTTTAGATTAGCTCATTTGCTTATCTGCAGTGGCACAATGTTGGTGTAAAACAGCACAAACAGGTGTAAACAAACCCTCTACTCTGATTGGTCCTTGCCTATATGTCAAGACATTTTAAATAATTAATTTTCTCAGTTGCGGTCCTCACCGAAGGCCACAGTAAGGGTGCTCGTGGGCACCCCACTGATCACCAGAAAGAGACATCTTATGGCCTTCTGGTCTTTGTATGCACATGTAATTGTGGGGTACAGGACCATGAGTGCAGCTTTTGGGACTGGGCTTTTGTAGGAATTTAGATAGGAAAGGTCTTCCCTAGTTATTCCATTATGGCATTATGTATAATTTCCTGCGTATCTGTAACCTAGTAATAGCCACCAACATATAAACCATGTAATATTTACTCTATTTTCTTGAATTAAATAAAAGTAAATAAACTCTCTTGTTGATGAATTTTTGATTTATGACACTGATTTATGACAATTATTGCATAATTGTGGGTCTGCGATTCTTTATTGTCAGATTTTAACAGAGATGGGTTCCTCTGTGAAAAGGATGTAGAGGAGACTGTGCACAGGCTGACTGGGGAAGATTTGAGGCCAGAAGAAAGGAGGCTTGTCTCTCAGAGAGTGATGGAGGAAGCAGACCTAGATGGTGATGGGAAGCTCTCCGTCATTGACTTTGAGAACATGATCTCCAAGGCACCAGATTTCATTAGGTAAGAAAAGTTGCACTTATGAAAGACTAGCAAGGGATATAACATGCCAATATGGTTAAATGGGTAAATGTACATAAATGTCTCCTAAGGTTTAGCATAATTCACTGTTTTATTGTGAAATCTTGGGAAGGGTGCTAGTTTGATTAGACTGCTCTTTGCAGTCTTGCTTCATTTTTAGTATTGGGTGATTTGGTAAATAACCCTCCTGCTGCTCAGACGTAAAATCCCTGAGAAACCTTTTACTGCTGACCGATCCATCATGGCGCTGTAAGTGGATCCCATTTTATAGCCCAAACCATTTGGAAATGGCTTAGAGCTGAGAAACATGAAAGCATTATTGGACTGGACAGGTATATTATACCATAATCAGCTGGATGGGCTGAAGCTGGCTCAAACTGGTTTCTATACCACATAATGTTCAGCTGGGGTGGCCTGTTGGGCAGAGAGTTAAAGTGGTGCTAATGTTTTCTTTTCTAAACTGTTTTAATGTTGTGTGGCCATGCAGCACCTTCCATGTACGCATCTGAAAGGGTGGAAGATGACCTTGAAATGGAAGTGAAAGAGGATGGATGGCTGACTCAGTGGGTTGCTTGGAAGATTGTGCCTCTCTCTCCTGTGCTGCTGTTCTATGTGACTATATTTTGATGCTGGCCAAAATGACAATGTCAGTCAGCTGGTAAGACCCGCATATGTATATTAGAGACAGATAGTAGAGACTTCATGTCTGTGTGGACACTAACAGCAGTCTTTTTGGCTACCTTCTGTTTGCAGGTGAAAGGATCTTTTCAATCATTTTAAAGAACAGAAAAGGACTGATTGCACAGGGAGTCTTGCCTACAGTGGAGTTTTAGCTCCATCTTTCTCATATGGATATTACGTGAAAGAAAACTCTTTATGACCGCTTGTCATGAAGGAAACCTGAACTTGAGGTGGTCAGCTTTCATGTGGACTTTTTTCAGCTACTGAAGTTCCCACTGTAAATTATGAACATGAGATATTATTATAGAATTATGAACAGATTCATCATTCACATTTAAATGTTTGAAAGCTGAATGACCATTGGTAGATGCTTTTTCATAATCTACATTACACAGCTCAGTAAATACAGTGTATATCATGAGCACATGCATAATGTTGTTTCTGAAAAGCCTTTAATGCATTTTCAGTCTTTTTTTCAGGTAATTTTTGTTTACTACAGTGCTGCTGGTAGACAGTTTAACCCTGCTTTTAATAACGCAAAGCCAAGATTTAGTGAGAGATAATCCTTTAAAAGCAGTTCTTATATGAGAGCACATTAGACTAAACAAGTAATCACATGAAACAGTGGGAATCTGGGCTTCCCTTTAAAAAAAACAGCACTAAACATATATGTACTAAATTTATATTGGTTTTACTGTATTCAGTTTATGTATATATCATTCTGTAAATCAAGTTGTAGTCTACTTAAAAAATAAGGGAGAATTGTTAATTTGTTTATAATCTTTATTTAACAATTTACAAACAACACACGTGTGTCAAATGTGATATAACTGTGGAAAACAAGACCTACATTCTTTCCACAAAAATGCAATTCAAACTACAGAACTACAGCATCTGCACAATGTTGAATTCAAGGCAGTCAAAATGGGTTCTGTTGGTTCAGCATTCACAGCTAAACTATTCTAAAAACTAAATCTAGAATCTGGAAATAACATTTAATATACATATATGTCGATCTAATTTTGGCATTTTTTTGATATTACTGTGTCTATGCACTTATACTAGCATATATATATGTTACAGATATTCTGCAAAATGCATAACCTACTGCAAGCCCAACATATCAAGTGTACTTCATGCCTTGTGTTTTTACTGTATTATTGCAAAACATTTGCATGTCAATAGTTTATTCCAGTAAAATGATTATGCACATCACATCTGCTGCACAAACACTATAGGAAATATTACACATTAGAACTACTACTATTAAACACAGAGTATTCCTAAATAAAACAAAACACTGAATTACAAATACTATGCACATATGCAAAAAGTAACAACAACAACAACAACAATAATAATAATAATAATAATAACATCTTACACATCAGACAGAAAAGTGCATCTAGTTGCACCTCACTTTGTATGGGACCTTTGATAGCTTGTTCACTTCTTCTTGTTATCTGGTTTGAATTTCCACCACTTATGGGTCTGTGAAAGTATAAAGAATGCATTTTTTTGAATGATTTATTTATTTGAATTATTTATTTATTTGAACTGGCACTGTATTTGTACAGTCTTTTCTGGTTTCTTACCTTCTTTCCCAGGGAACTCTGCTGTTTGGGCTGCAGCTCCTTTATAGTTGCATATGTGTTATTGTGTGTAGCTGGAATGTCCTCGTAGGTGTTGTTCTCTTGAGTTTGTAGGTTACCTTGCTGGATCTCAGGTAGGTCTTCATAGGTGTTGTTCTCTTGGGTAGATAGGTTACCGTGCTGGATCTCAGGTAAGACCTCATAGGTGTCGTTCTCTTGGGTAGATAAGTTACCTTGCTGGATCTCAGGTAAGTCCTCATAGGTGTTGTTCTCTTGGGTAGCGAGGTTAGTTTGCTGGATTGTGGGTAAGTCCTCATAGGTGTTTCGATGCTCCAGAATGTCTTGGTAGGTGTTTTCTGGTGTAAGAGGGTCACTGATGGGTTTGCTGGAAATCTCAGACAATCTGCTTGGCTGGGGGTTGCAATGTGGATCCCAGCAGCTGTTGGGCCCAGAACACAGCCCAGAGGAGGCCTGGTACAGCGGGTTAGGTTGTAAGGTTGTTAGGTTGGTGTCAGGGAGGTCACTATGTTCAGGCAGGTTCTGTTCCTTGAACTGAGACAAGGAAGAGACTGGGCCTGATTTGGGTGGAACAAAGGGCAGATGTGGTGATGCAGCAAGTGAAGAGTTAGCTCTATGGCTGCTGAGACAGTGATCCTCATCCAGATGAGGTAATGACCTGCTCCGGCTGTTGTGATGTACGTTAGATGTGGAAACATGGCCATCGTGCTCTGAGTAACACTGCAAGTGCAAATCCAGAGAAGTAAATCCCTCACTCTCCCAGGCATGCATTCTTCGCCTTTGATTAAGTCCTTCAGTCCCCATGTTGCTTGGCCACTTCTGGTCTGGCTGGATGTGTTGCTCCATGCCATGTGATAGATGTCCACCACTCAAGGCATTCCGAAGAGGTACGTTTCTCATCTGTTTATGCAAAAATGATGTTGCTTATTATAACAGATGAGCCATTTCCAGTGTTGATTTTGTCTTGACAGAGAAAAATATTAGATGTTGTACTCTTTGTTTCAATACTATTCTTAACATGCCCTCACTGACTTTGGCTCCTGCCACAGAAGTGTATAGCACCTACATCATACAAGTTACCAAAGAGGAGTTGATTCTTTTTTTTAACAGAGTTTTAGCCAGGCAACCTGTGTGAATGTGTTTATAAAACCAATGTCTACATCAAGTCTGGGGCCTAGGTCTGGGGTCGATTACCTGAACAATGTTGTTCCTGTCAATGGAGGTTGAAGAAATGAGTTTGCGGTTGCTACTTTTAGGGGGTAGAGCGGGAGGGCCCTTCGGTGTGACATCACAACGGTGATCCCATAAACTCCGCAGGGCCTGAACACTCACCCCTGACTTTATACTGGGTTTACAATGAACCACATCATACAGGTCATCTGAGGGGGGCTGTGAAAATGCACAGAAAAGGAAACAATTAGCAAGAAGACACAATGGCCTAGGTTCACTCAGTGTGCTTCTGATGGCAACTGCTTGTTTTTTTTACAGTTCAGAAGAAAGTTTTACTGAAACTGCTAACACCTTTCAAACTATAGTGACATATTGCTTCTTCTAGCTGATACCCACCTCTACCTCTTTCTCTGAGATCAGACACTCTCCAAATGGCTGGATAGGTGTAGTTTTAAAGTACTCAAGCAACTCTGGTAGACTGTTGTGAGTAATGGAATCACCAGAAACTACCAGCATGCCCTCCTTGGTCTGGTTTATAACAAAGTGACGACAACGATCTTGTCCCCTGCAAGAACACAATACATTAACAAAGCGGAAGTACTCAGAGCAACATTGTTTTAATTGCAAGTAGAAACAGTAATACTTGTACATTTAATGGTTCAAGCTGTGAGAGTTACTTTTATACTTGTACACATTAATAAAAGAACAAATGTCACATAATGTGTAAAGATCGTCAAGCTACAGAACTCTTACTTGTAGGAGAGAATGTAGCCACTGGCTTTCTCACTGAGTCTGATAAGAAAGCTGCCGAGAGATTTATCTCTGAGATGATCTTCAGCTTCTCTAAATAAAAAAAGAAGCAGAGTTAAATCTGATGGAGCCTGCCAACTCAGCTCTTTACACCAACTGTCTAGCAACCTCAAGCTATTCCTTATATGTACTATATTGGGGATTCCCAATCCCAGTCCTCGCCACTCCACACTATCAATATTTTTGTGTTTTGTTTCATCTAGCACACCTAGTTGGAAAGACTGGGATTGGAAACCCCAGCTCTATGTCATTGGCTTTTCTTGTTCTAGTAAACATTATTGTGCTGTAAATAGACGAGCATGGGGCACAACCAACATATTTTGGTTTTCACTAAATAAGTTTTACAATATTTGAACACAGTCATATGCAAAAATTTATTTTCACTCAGAAAATCAATGTTTTGTTGATTTTCTGAGTGAAAATAAGATCCTCTACAGAAAACACATTTCTACACATTTTAATGCACAAGTACTGTTTATTTGCTGAATTTGATGTATTTGGGGAAGAATAATACATAAAATGTGGCCTGTGCAAAAGTTATGGCAAATTTAAATTTTATGGGGTTTTTTTCCAGTATGTTAAACTCAGCAAATAAATAGAATCAATTGTGAGTTAAAATTCACAGAAAAATTACATATTTAAATTTTTACCTCGTAGAGGATGTGTGAATGTATTTCGTTTATCAAATCGGGGTGTTCAAAAGTTTTTTGAGTTTCAGCTTCTTTAACCGTTGTTTGCCATGCAGCATGAGGAGGGTAGCAATGCCCACTTAACTGACCAAACAAGCTCCTATTGATCAATCAGACGATCAGATAGATTTCTGACATGTCAGAAATGTTGGTCACTTATCTTTCCTGTATAGGTGAAAACATATAGGCTAGTCTGTATGTGTTGACTTTGCTCTATTTGACTGAATGTAATTGAGACCTTTAAATGGTAATTTGGTGTTTTTGCCCAATTGTCTTTGTAAAAAAAAAGGCTGCAGAGAGGTCCTACCAATGTACATCACTGCCTGGTTTTATTTCAGTGCACAGTGTGGCACACGTTAACAATGCTGCACTAAACAGTGCATTGTCCCGTATGGTATTGTGCATACAATTCAGGTCAATCCCAAATGACTAGACATAGTATGCACTGTGTGAAACTGAATGAAACAGCTTCATTAGAAATTGTCCACAGACAGAGCTGTCTGTAAGGACTGCATTTTATTTGCGGTGTGTGTGAGTAGGGGTGCCACCAGGGATTTTGCAGTATAGAGGCTCTCTGGGTATTTACTTTTTGCCAAAAACTAGAAAAGAAAAAAAAAAACAGTTAGTTTTATAAGTACTGAATAAATTAAATATTCTATTAATGATGAAAGGTTAATAATTTAATATAAAAACACAAAAAATTAAAAAATTCTAAAACTTTTTAGGGCCCCTGTCAGTCACAGGCCCTTAGAATCTATATATGGAATATATGGCGCCCCGAGTGTGAGCAGTCAGACTAAGCACTTTTGTACAACTTGAGCATATAAATCGTAGGCTTTGTCTGTACACGATGGTCAATTCAAATGTACGTCACCAAAGAACAAAATTGAGTTGTCACCAAAGAACAAAATTTCTAAAATCACACCGTGTATACTTGACTTTAGAACTGTGGAGATAAATACAAAAATAACATCCATAGAATTAAAAGACTGTCCACAGAGTGCAAGAAAGGGTGAACATTCTAGTATTTACTATTTGCAGAAGGAGATTCAAAAAGAAAAGGAATACCGAACACTACAAGATGCAAAAGATCTTGTTTGCACCAAGGACAGAAGGGCAAGGCAATTCGCAATGAAGCAGAGATGAGCCAGAAGTGTTCTGGAGCTGTCCCTGAAGTTATGTGGATGGATTAGGCAAAGATTAATCTTTCACAAAATGATGGGAAGGAAAAAAGTATGGTGAAACAGAGAGATTGATTGAGATTCATGGCTGCTTCTGGAACTTTCTCACTGGTCTTGATGATGGTAGTAGCAGTATGATATATGATGTGTACATAAACATCTTGTCTTCCTATGTCTGAGCAAATGCCTCCAAACTCATTGGGTGGAACTTTATAATGCAGCACTTAACGAAAGAGAGGGAAAAAAAGTAATTGACTGGCCAAGTCAGTTTCCTGATATAAACCCAACTAAGCTTGCATTGAAAAGGAAACTGAAGTCAGACTATCCCCAAAACAAGAACTAACTGAAAGAGGCTGCTATAAAGGCTCTATAGAGCATTACATGTTATCAGGAGTTAATAAAGTTATCAAGATTCTTGAGTCAGTTATTGCATGTTAGGGACCTTGTCCCAAATACTAACTTAAAACATCATTTTGCTTTAAACTTATATGTTCCAATACTTATGCTCAGCTGAAACTGGAAGAGTATGCACAACAAATTATTTTTTTTTCCTGTATGGTTTATGTTCAATGGAAAATACTGCTCATAAATAAGATCTTGATGTGTCTCATGCTCATCTTTTGATCTGGAATACAAATATTGTGAATTACATAACAGAAATAACCCAATTCATCCCACCATCAATTGCTTCTCACTGTATGCCTCTCAAATAGCTGTGGAAATTTGCAGATGACATTCCTATGAGAATATGAACACAAGCTGGTCCTACTCAAACCTGCTTAACTGAATAAATAATTTGTGTTCCATTTTACCTTTGATAGGTTTTGCCTCCCCACTCTCCTACTGCTTTTCATCAGATCTTACCCTACAGTAAAACTTATATTGCAGATATAACCTTATAATATATATTCTTACTGTCTGGAGATGAAGCCATGAAACCATGTGGGGAAGTTTCCATTACAAAAAATGAGTGAAGCCTGCGTTTCGACAAACCACCTCAGGACCTGTTCCCTCAGTCCACCTTCAGTTCTTTCCATCCACTCTGTTCCTTCCGTTTTATCCACACACATCTTCAGTCTGGCTGATCGGCTTGTCATAGCTGCTTGTATCTCCTCCATCCTTACCATCTCCTTTTCTCTTTACAGCTTCCAAAACACAGATACACAGAAAATTCACCTGGACACACCTACAACCACCCTCACGCTCTTGCCTCAGCAATCCTACACTGCTACAGGAAGAAGGGTTCATTTGCCTATTTTCCGTTACACGTCAGTGTGCGAGAGTGTGCCTGTGAATAGTGCCATTGTTAAAGGGTGTCTATCTACCTGTTCAATTGGACCTCTGACAGGTTCTTGTGATTTTACTGCATTATCTGTTCCGGCTGTCTTGTGTAAATATAGTGCCTTGCAAAAGTATTCAACCCCCATAAAAGTCATCAGATCCGTCTTACAAATTGTTCCAGCCAGTATTTTAATTGCAAACCAATATGCTCTTAAAGTACATTTCCAAGGGCAAAATTCATTATTTGTCAGCAGATGTTTTTTTCTTTAAATAAAAACTGAAAAACGCTGTATGCATCAGTATTCAACCCCTTCAGACTAGTACTTGCTAGAACTTCCTTTTGCTGCAATAATAATCATTGTCCTGCTGAAAGGTGAAGTTCCTCCCAAGATTTAGTTTTTTAGCAGGTTGTCTTATATGTCCCTGTATTTTGTCCCATCCATCCGTCTTTCAGTTGTAACATGATGCCCAGTTCCTCCTGAGGAACAGCATCCCCACAACATGATGCTGCCACCCTCATATTTCACTGTGGGGATTTGTTGAGTATTTGTTGAGGACTGGGCAGTGTTAGATTTGCACCACACACAGCAGAATTTTGTCCAAAAAGTTCCATTTCTGTCCCATCCAACAACAAAACTTTATCTCACATTTTAGCTGGGTCACTCTGATGCTTTAGGGTTAACTCCTGACATGTTTTCTCCTTAGTAATGGCTTCTTTCTAGCCATCCTCTCATCCAGGCCAGTTGTATGCAGAACTCTTAATATTGTTGACTGGTTCACTTTCAGTCCGGTTCCAGCCACTTAACCCTTCAGCTTCTTCAATGTGATTGTTGGCCTCTCTGTGGCTTCCCTCAGAAGTCCTCTTCTTGCTCTGATGCTGAGCTTTGAGGGACGGCCTTGTCTAGGCGGTGCCTGGGTGGTATAATGCAGCTTCCATTTCCTGACAATTGATCTTCCACTATACTGGGATATCCAAACTCTTGGATATTATTTTGTAGCCTCTTCCTATCTCAGGCATGTATATAACCTTACCTCTTATTTCCTTAGAATTCTCTCTGGGCTTCATTTTCGCAGCTTTTCTTCAGATTCACAGTGTGATAAATGGTTGAACTCAGGGGGTCTTTTATCCAAAAAAGACTCTGAAGATGATATGCTCAGTGGTAATGACAGTTTCAGAATTTTGTGTAAGGAGCTGGAGAATGAGCTGCTGGCTGTGCAGTGGGTGAGCGGAGTTCATTACTCTGACGTAGCAACTAGCTGCTTGTTAAGGAACTATAAATTTGGCGGAAGGAATTGCTAACATTAAAACATATTAAATGCCATGTTCACGGCCCAATTTATTTATTTATTACTTTATTTATGTAACTGTTGTGTACAGCAAAACGAGAGGGAATGTGTTATCGCAAATAACCTGCCTTTGGCTCGTGCCTGTGGCCAAATCACAGCTGTGATGTTATTTCACGATAACACACTCCCTCTCATGTTCTGTTGCTTATATATATATATATATATATATATATAGGTAGGCCTATATTACTTTTCATTGAATAACTTATTAGTGTCCCAAAGTCCCAAATAAAAACTGTATATTAATCTACAATGTTTAAGGTGTTATTGAATTTAAAAAGCAACATTTACTAATATGACAAGTGATTCCAAACACCTGAACATTAGTGTATATGTGTGGTTTTGATTCTGAGCATGAACAGGTGAGGGTTTCAGGTGAAAATTTGACCATTGCTGTGCAAAACTACAGTGTCATTTTGTGATGTCTGTAGACTTTTTAGACTGATACTGTGTCGTTGGTTTGTTTTTAAAAACTAGAGATGAGTCCCCAGTCATATGCAGAAATGGTAGAACAATGGTGAAAAGTGTTTACAATATCATCTATTTTTAATCTTTTTTCTTCAATGAAACACAGTCACTTGTGTCATTTCATTGTTTAAAAGTGTCAGTAACTGACTTTATTCTTGGAGAAAACTGCACATAAATTACCATTTCTCATTGTGCAAAGTTTGCCTTTGCTGTTTTTCATAGGCCTTGTGTTGGACAAGATTCAGCTAAACAGTCCACAAAAACATGTACACTAACTTTTCATTGATGTTAAAATATCATATCACTACAGCTTTTAGATTAGCATATCAGTAGATAGGTGATTAGCAAGAATACAACAACTGACCTTAGTAACAGATATCGCACCATATCAGTGGACCAAACACGACGTAACTAGTCTTTTTCAAAATCAAATGCTCCGCAAAAGGACGTTATATTAAGCAGTGCAGACACTCGAATATTACAGCCTAATTATACAGCCTACGTACATCTATCGTTTAGGGCAACTCCTCTAGTCAGTGTGCAAAGTGTTTATGCAGCCATGATTTCAACAGGTGGCGTCCTGTTTTAGACAGACAGCGAGGCTCGCGCACAGGAACGCGCTCGGTCAGGCAGGCTGTTCACAGAAGAGACAAAACAGAGCAAGGCTTTTAAACTATATTCAGAGAACAGATTGAGAGGTAAGTCACTGGAAGCTTTTTTGTTTAATGAACTTTCATAGATGTATGTTAGTTCTAGTTGGTCCCTTTAGCTCAGCTAAAGTTCTGGAATCGGTTAGCATGAGACGGTTATTGTTTGTTGATACAGCAGATGTCACCGTACGTTCATTATCTGCAACCGTTTAATTCACGGACCTATTCAGTGTCACCGTCTAACTCGCTGTTAAGTTCGCAGTCACTAAATCACCGAAACACGAAAGTAGTCCGGAGTTCACTTCGGCTCTGACGTCATCCTCGACCAGCGTTGTTCTGCCATCATTCACACGGATGTTATGGCAGTTAATGCGGCATGATTTTACCATTTTTTTTTTGGAGAACGCTTCTATAAGTACGTGTTTTATAGGCCATCTACCGATAGAAAAAGAGCATGTTTTTATTTAAAGTGTAATATAATATTTTCACCGGTCACTGGGGTCGTCTGGCTATTTTTACTTTTATTTAGTCCGAAATAAGCCGTGAGTCATCCGTGAGTGAGATGTGAAGCAGTGCCTTGAGAGAAATAGAAATAAACCTTTTTCAATGACCAAAAAAATAGATATGCTAGACTTAATATTCCAGTGCATTATTAGGCGTGGGGGCTGGGGGGCTACACTTAAAGCGGGACACTTGCCATCTCTCCCTCTCTCTTTCTCTTTAAAAACAAACAGAATGGCTGTGTTTAAACAGGAGAAGGTGGAAGACTTCTATGAGGTCGGAGAGGAGCTTGGAAGGTTAAAAGACTATTTTCCCTTTCTTTTTCACTTATCATGTGAAGTATATATGACATTAGCTGCATTGACTTGCTGCTGCCTTTTAAGTATTCATGTTGTGTTGTAGTATTGTACAATGTTATGTCAGGGATGGTAACTAATAGTAATAGCCTTGTTGACCTATTGCTTCAACCCAGTCAGGAACAGAGCAAAAAAAAATGTTGTCATTTGATTTATAAAAAATAAGATGCACACTTCAGATGATATGCGTTTGTCTGGTAAAGCTTTATGTTTTGTCTATTTTGCATTACAGAATGCAGGTTTTATTTTTGTATGTCAAGTCTTAGTACTGTGCTCTCAGAACTCTTATTAAGATGAGCCCAGTTTAGCCCATTTTCGCACACTTTGGAGTAGTTTGATTCAGAGTGATGGGTGTCCTGTTAGCCCTGCTTTCATTAGGTGGTAAATATAAATAATGGCTGGATTAAAAAATCTGAATCTACTGATGAAACCTCACAAGATTCAGGGTTTTTAAAAACCCAGCTGAGTAAACACTATAGTTTACATATTGCATATAATGCATACAACATGATCTTTGAGCCATTTCTTTATCTTATCGTAGCAGTTATGCTAAGACAGTGCTATCTGTCCAGTCTTGCAGACCACAGACAGGATACAGCAGAGAGCTATCTTTAGGAGCCCTGCTAAGCTATTTGCATTGCAGTAGTCATTTTTAACCTGACATTTGTTGTAGTGCTTGTTTACCCCAAGCCTAATAAGCAATACATTCTTCATGCTGCTTCCAAAATCAGTGAGTTCTGTGGCATTTTGTTTGGCGTGAATGTATATTCAGTCTACACTTAATACGTTTTCCCATTTTTTAAATGTCAATAAACCAAAATAAACAGAGCTAAAATGTGAAGCATGGTTTTTCTTTCAACAAAACAAGACTATACATGTACCAATAACTTCTCATCAAATTCAAATTATAATAAAATATCTCCTCTTCTACTTAGTCTTATGCAAAACATTTTACACCCATCACATGTTTTGTTGATGTTTTGTTGATTTTCTAAGTGAAAATAAGTTCACACATCCTCAACAGTGAACAAACTTAAATATGGTACTTTTTCTGTAAATTTTAGCACATAATTTCTATTTATTTGCTTAGGTTAACATATAAGAAAATAATAAAACATAAAATGTGACCTAACCTTTTCCCCAAAAAAGTTAATAAACAGCAAATAAACAGTAGGTGTGCAATAAAATGTGCAGTCATGTATTTACTTTCAGCAAAACATGTTATTTGACCAGGGGTGCCAAACAAAATGTTAGAAGACATATTTTAAGGAGTGTATGCTATGGGAGATCCAGGAAGGTTAAACTTGCAATGTGAGTTTCCTTCGTTCTGTCTATGCACTGTAGTCAACAATCACACCTTCATTAATGTGCCCCCATATCTATTTTACATGTTTTACATGGTTTAATTACTTTATCACTATCAGATTGGCCATCCTGCCAACAGGACAAAATTCCATGTTGTTGTTTGGTGCTTTTTGAGCAACATGTCTAATCGGCTGAGGTTGTGCTGAATTTGGGGTTAGTACTTTAAGTTATAAAAAGGCATGTTAACTCCTTAAACTGTAAAGGTCCATATGTGGGCCCACACTTCAATTCTTCATCCTACATATTAATTTCATAGTAGTTACACAATAACTCATAGCAGTTACTGAATAACAAGTCTTACTAATGAAAATGTAATAATAAGCTTAGAATTGAAGAGGTTAAACAGTGATTGTCCTGTTCGAATCTTGCATTCTTGTGCTGCTGTTGCATCAGTGGACAGTTTGCCATTGTGAAGCAGTGTCAGGAGAAGAGTTCGGGCCAAGAGTTTGCCGCCAAGTTCATAAAAAAGAGGCAGAGCAATGCCAGCCGGCGTGGAGTACTACGAGAGGAGATCGAGCGGGAGGTCAGCATTCTGCAGCAGATCCGCCACCCCAACATTGTCACTCTGCACGACGTCTACGAGAACAAAACCGACGTTGTGCTGATCCTGGAGCTGTGAGGACACACATACTTACTCTTTCACACACACATTGATTACTTTGCCTACACTATATGTTCAAAAGTATCCAGACACCCATTCTAATTAAACAATTAATTCAGCTACTTTAAGGGGACTCATTGCTGACACTCAATTCAGTTGCACACGCAGCTTGTACAATGTTTCCTCTAGATTTTTTTGGCAGCTACCAGTGTAGTTTTAAGTCTGCCAGGTCTACAAGAAAGGAACCTGGTACTGCTCCAGCTTGGGACTATTGCAAGAAAGCCCAAATAGATCTGCATTTGATGATAACCCTTGAAAATGCTTTAGGAAGTTGATTACTTACATCTGCAAATATCCAGCAGTTGTTGTTTTACCTCATTGAACACCACATTTTAGTTTCACTTTATTTATTATTCTCTCTTCAGGAGTACAGCACAAATTTGAATAAAACAAAAACATTGCAAACTAATATCTCAGACTGTAGAAAAAAGTATAATTTATGCCTAATCAGACTAAATGCTACACTCAAAAAAACAGAAATTGCACTGTTGTTGGTTTAAATCAGTTTTCTCTCATTGATATTACTTAACGAATGCTTGTTATGTGAAACTAAGTTAGTTGTGTTATTTCTAAGAAATTAAGTGAATTGTCATATTTACTTCATAGGTTTTTGTTTGGTCAGTGTAATCTTTCCCACTGGGTCCTGACACCATCTATTTGCATATCGTTTTACTTGTTTTACTCACCATGTTTTTGTTGCCTATACTTCTATTGTGTGTACGTTTCTCTTAAACTTAATCGCTCAATAAGCAATCAACTGCCAAGCTTCGTTATCGTTGGTGTAAATGTAAGTTGCCATGGAATCTTTTGCAGAGTGTACTCGAAAGACAGATCAGTACTATACCACTACTGTAACTTGATGGAATTCTGTGAATGAAACTTAAACCTACTAAATGGAATACTGCAGTAATATGTATTAGAACCAGAGATGTTATAAAGGAGAAGACTGGTCACAGTTTGAAATAGCCTATAAATGGGAAAGCTCATAACGCTCATATGGCGTCTGTTTACGAGGAGAGCCAATCAGCTTGCTGTTTCAACCAGGGAAAGCCCCACCCCCACCCCACCCTGTTGTGAGATCTGTGAGAGATCCGCAAGAGAACAAGCTGAAAAATCATGTTTCTGTGTGTTATTTAAGCCAAACGCCACAAACTATTTATGCTATTTTGTCATATTTTATTACTGGTTTCAAATAATGATTTGATATGGCTTTTGGTTTCGGTTTTATAGCTCAATCCTCTATAAAAGAGATAGGAATCTGGTCTTGCGTGAGTGCAAATAACTGCCCGGGAGCGTTGCCAAGATGGCCGTTGAGTGGATAGACTTTCCTATAGATTATCTGAAACAATCTGAAAATAGATTATTTTGCTCAAAATTGAGTAAATACCACATAAAAAATTAACACTAGAAGGCAAATGTTGGCCTGTCAGTTATCCTAATGTTTGTATCTCTGGCAGCACACGAGTTTGGCTGGGTGGGCCCCACAGCCTATATTATTGTAGGGGCAACAATGTTGTATAATCTCATTAGAAAAGCATTGCCAGTAGAATGGGGGCATTCTGGAGTAGTAGCACATGAGCCTAAGGTCATGTTGCATAATGCAAAGCGAATACCATGTAAGATCCCCAGTATTGGGCTGTGGAGTAGTGTAATTGCATTCTCTGGAGAGATGGTGTTCTGGAGTTGGGTTGCTGTTTGTGATCCAGAACTAATCAACCAACATCAGTATCTGTAGAGCAGAGGCAGCAACAGGGGAAAAAACTCTTATAAATGCCCCTGATTTCACAAAAAAAGCACATTGGATGAAATGGTGTCTACAAACTTTTGGACATATAATGTATCTAATATTGCACTGTATTCAGAGGCTCACAGTTGACTTTGGTGTTACGTAATGAAGAATGAACAGACAATATTTGATAAGAGCTTTGATAAGACTTTGATAAGATTTTAATAAGGGATAATTGTGTTTAGAGTATCTGGAGGAGAGCTGTTTGATTTCTTGGCACAGAAAGAGTCTCTTAGTGAAGAAGAGGCCACTCAGTTCATTAAACAGATTCTGGAGGGCGTTCACTACCTGCACACCAGAAACATTGCTCACTTTGACCTGAAGGTACATTCACTAACTATAAAAGTGTTTGTGGAGTTACATCACTCTTCGAGTAGTTACTCAGTACTGACTGCCTGAAATTCAGTCATACAGAGAAAGAGTGTTCTGATTACAGATTAGTGATTCTGTAGCAGGCCTCTGGATTGTGAACCATAACATACAATATTTTCCAAATTTCCAAATCACAGTATCAAACATTAATATATTAAGTTGCTATATGTGGGGCTACTAACATTAATATAAAATAGGGAGATGAGATGTGGTCTGGACAAGCTGTTTCCTTTTTTTGCTAAGGAGAAATACAGCTATATTTATATGAGTAATTAAATAATTACTTAATTAAGTAGTATAAGCAAATGAATGAATTGCCATTCGTTTGAACACTGTGCTCTGTTAGTACAGACAGGTTTCTTGGTGTATGTGTGATTAACCTTGTCCATGTGTGGTAACCTTTTCTTATCTGTAGCCTGAAAACATCATGCTTCTTGATAAGAATGTTCCTCTGCCTCGGATCAAACTTATTGATTTTGGCCTGGCTCACAAAATTGCTGAAGGGGCTGAATTTAAAAACATCTTTGGAACTCCAGAGTTTGTAGGTAAGACCTTTGACAAGCATAAATTATAAACCCAGCATAAAAATGGAAAAATTTATGACATCTTTTAGCAAGCTAGCTATGTTGTTTTTTGTTAGCTGACCACAGTGTAAATTCTGAAATGTGATGTGATGACTTTTTTTTTTTTTTCTATTTGCCGTTTCAGCTCCTGAGATTGTGAATTATGAGCCTTTGGGCCTAGAGGCAGATATGTGGTGAGGCTTTGTGTCATCTAATATGAATCTAAAATCTAACTCTGTATTGTCTTGATGATCTTTTTTATTACCCTGAAACACAAATGCATACATACAGAATAAGTTAACTGATGCTGCTTGTCTGTTGCAGGAGTATAGGAGTGATCACATATATTCTGTAAGTTAAGAAGAAATATTGACACATTAGTTGATTCATAACGTCTTTTAGCATTTTATCATAGCTTATACGTTGAGTGTGTGTGTTTGTAGGCTGAGTGGAGCATCTCCATTCCTAGGAGAGACAAAGCAAGACACCTTAGGAAACATTTCAGCGATGAACTATGCGTTTGATGATGAGTTTTTTGGCCACACCAGTGAGCTTGCCAAGAGCTTTATCAGACAATTACTACAGAAGGACACCAAGTAAGGGATGATGTTAAACAGAAAGAGTGCCTTAGATGTTTTTGACAGAGGACTTGAACAATTTGCCACTTCAGACTGCAAACTTATAGTCCAGGATATCTGTAACAAAATGTTGGGTTTTTGCTTTACAGAAAGAGGCTCACTATTCAAGATGCTTTAAACCATCCCTGGATCAAGGTAGTACATATCTAAAGTTTCTCTCAGGGGTGTAAATCTCTAAACATACAACGTAAACAATTCAATGCATAATGAAGTCTACACTCTTGCAAATAAAGGTTCCTAAATTGTTCTTTGTTGAAAGGAATAAAAATCAAACCTACCTGACTTTCCTCTTACCCTAGATGTAGTTGATCAGCCAAGACATGTTTGGCATCTAAAGTTTAGAACTGGTGCTTTGAGGCTAACGTTACTAACCAACCTTAGAACTGAAAAATCAAAGTAGCCTGAATTCTTTTATTAGAAATGCATCCTCAAAACACCTCTCAACCTGCTTAAACCACATCCATCTCTTCAGTAAGGTTGCACAGAACTGTTGATGTGGTTTAGAGCACAGTGTGTTTTACTGAAAACAACCTCTCTATGCAATGGGCAACATTTCAGACAACACCAGGGCTGATACTCACTATGCAGGACTGATCTTAAATCAGATTCCTCCAGATTTATAATGGTCATTGTCACAATTACTGATTCTAGGTCAGCACCCCTACTCTTGAGGTAGTTTGTGAATACAGACCCTGTTGTCTAAAGAGGATACCTGCAGCTTTGTTCATTTTAACGCTTCACAGTAAATTCTACTGGGTCCTAAGCCACATCAACAAGTTTGCGCAACGCTGATGAATGTTTGGATGCAGGTGACTACTGAGTTCAACTTTGTGTGTTTGCACTGTTAGCCTCGCCGCTTCAGTTCTAAACTAAAGAAGCAAAACTTGAGCTTAAGACATATTTGGCAAGTACATCTGGGGTGAGTGGTAGTTTTTCCAGTGTTTCCCACATAGTGTATTCTTGGGCACCCATTTTAACAAAATTCCAAATATTTTGTAAGGTTATGTATAAACAAGGTCTTTATTTGCATAACATGGGACACAACAACAGCTTCATGTGTTTCAACATTTCATTAGTTCTTTGTTGCAGACTTATAAAAAATTAAACTTTGTTAGCAAAACTACAATCTAAATATTTTAGACCTGTGGGAAAAAAACAGTTTTCTTATTGCTGAATCAAACATCTCAGTGTCATTCACCCTGTCTTGTAAACCCTTCTCTTCTTTGGCTCTACAGTCCAATGAGCATAAGGAGGAGCCCAGCAAAGTCCCAGAGAGGAAGCGTGAGCGGCGGCAGCTGAAGACCAAACGGCTGAAAGAGTACACCGTCAAGTCGCACTCAAGCATGCCACCCAACAACACGTACGTGAACTTTGAGCGCTTCGCCCAGGTGGTGGAGGACATTGCAGCCATGGAGGACACTTTCAGCCAGCTGGCTTTGGCCCATGATGGCCTGCAGGAGGACATTGATGCTCTGGTGTCCATCTACAATGAGAAGGAGCTGTGGTACAAAGAGGAGAGCGAGAGCATCCGGCACGAGTTGTCACAGCTCCGCTACGAGTTCCGCAAGGTGGAGGCACAGAGGCGCAGTGTGCAGGAGGACATGAGGAATGTAGAGGGTGGCATTAGTCGCGTTAGTGAGCGCTACAAGGAGAGGCATGCTCATTTTGAGGCTTTGCAGAATGAGCTGGGGGTGGAGCTGCAGTGGGTGCAGGAGGTGGTAGGATCCTTCCAGGTCACCGGGAGCAGCGGAGGGTTTCCCAACTGCAGCTTCAGCAGTGTCTTTAATGCTGATGTGAACGAGGCACTGAAAGAGCTGCTGAACAGGACCTGTGGTGGAGAGTTGCTGACAGGAATAAATCTAGACCAGCAGAGATGATACATATACATTAGTGCTGCACAGTACACAATTTGTTAATCAATATCATGATACTGGCCTTGGCAACATTTATATTGCATAAACCTGCAACATGCAAGTGTGCCCTATGACAAATTACTTTTTTATTATGTGCTGTGAGCATCTTGATTAACCACAAATGTTCCAGATGGATTTATGTTTATGTGGGTATTAGGATGAATCAAGGGGTTCATGTGAACCAACAAACATAAAAAAATTAACCAAACATAATGCATCTTTAACCATCAAATAACATTGTGTTCACTGATGTGTTTTTCACATATTGTCAATTGCAATTTGTATCAGTAGAATTGCAATGTGGTATTTTCCATTTCATGCAGCTCTAATACACAGGGGTGGATTTAGTGATTCTGGGTGCTTAGGCAAAAGACAGAAATGAGGCCCCCTGGATGCACATCTATAAATTAGTTGAGGTTCGGGACTCCCAAGTGGTGCATCTGTCTAAATTCAAAGAAATTATATTATAAAATCCTGTTAAATCTAGTTGATATATCTAATATTTCTCATTTTGAAACTCTTGTAAAATATAATGAGATTATTTAACAGTCCATATCCTTATATACCAGAAACATTCATTCATTTTTACATGAACATTTTCCACCCTCTCTTTATTCCTTTAAATTAAACAGCCTGTTTTTGTTACTGTGCTTTTAAGATATGTAACTAAGCTTAGCTCTGATTGGGGTGACTTGTATTATTGTGCTTAAACCAAAAAGCAGTCGAGGCTGAAACACTCCTTTAGTGTAAATGAGGAGGGCTAAACTGTTGTAAACTGAATGGACAGATGTTTGTAAATGTTTTGGTTGTTCATTAAATCATAGAAATCATCAGAACAGATTAACATTTAAATTAGTATAGTTAAGTTGTATTTTTGTGGCTTATGGAGGCCAGGTGGCTGCCATCTTTTGCCAAGTGCAAAGACTGCCCCTGCGAATTCAAACACATATAAACACATCAACAGAGGTTACACACCTATACTGGTATGATGCTCTCTGCACTTCATCATTTATAAACTTGGACACCTGCCTCCACCTCATTCATAGCATTAGTGAACTGACAAATACAGCACTTGAGTGTAATCAATTCAAATATGTACATCAGTTACATATGAACAATATTATATGCTATAGTAAATAATACTGCACATTACACAACTACATTCATTCTAAACTGAAAAGAAATGGGTTGCTGTAATATTGCAATTCACATTGAACTGATGTACACATTTGAATCAAGATTAGATGTGTTTACAAAAATGACCTTGTTACCTGTTCAACAATATTAACATTTTAAACAGGTCAGGTCATCAATTATGGTAAAGGTGTTCAACAAGGCAAGGCATGCCAAAAACCCACTTGAATTGCGATAGGCGTTTTCATTTTGTATCTAGTTGAACATGAAATAGGAGGCACAGACAATCATCGTGAGCTATCATCAGATTCTTAACAGTATGTTAGGTTATTGGATTTAAAGCATTGGGTCTTGCTAGCTTTTGCCTACTGTCTGACTTTTTGAGTTTTCTGAGTTTTTGGCCTGAGGTTGTTGATGAGTGTCTCATATCTTGAGGATTTTTTGCATGCTGTCTGCTCTGAAAGTGGAAAGATAACGTTTCCATTTGAATGCCATAAAATTTCAATCAATTTCTTACAGTAACAAAACAAATTAAGAGATTATCATGATATCACTATAGAAGCAGATATACTGTTTTAAAACTGTTATAAAGTGTTATTTTAACATGGTGCAATATACAGGGTGATTCAAAAAGATTTATCCAATTTCAAAGTGCCATATTTTTATATATTGAAAGAGGGGGTCATAGAGTTTCTACATGTCAGTATGGCAGTGAACCTCCAACAGCTCAGAGCATTTGTCGTTGGTACCAACTGTTCCAAGAAAAAGGTCACCAGCATCACCAGATCTCACATCATGTGACTTTTTTTGTGGGGATAAGTTAAGGATTCTGTTTATGTGCCACCACTCCAAATAACACTGGATGATCTCTGAAATCGCATTGAAAGAGCCATGAGTACAGTGACACCTGACATGCTCAGTCAAGTATGGGATGAATTTGACTATCATGTTGATGTTGTACAGCTGAAGGAGGTCATATTGAGCACTTGTAAAATTGCATAATAAACTTTATGCTCACTTAAACCATTTGCAATTTACTGCATTGTTCTGTAATGATTTACAAGTGAAATAAATTATTTTGAAATCGGATGAATCTTTTTGAATAACGCTGTATAGCCGTATGCAAAAATTTGGGTGCCCCAAATTACATGATTTGTTGATTTTCTAAGTGAAAAAAGTACACATCCTCAGAAGACACAACCCTTCACATTTTAATGTACAGTTACTTTTTATGTGCTGAATAATGAAAGTGTGGCCTGTGTCAGATTCAATTTTTTTTCCCCAATATGTTAAACAAAAAATAGAGATTGTGCACTAGAATGTGTTGGATTAATAACTTATTTTCACTTAGAAAGTTAACAAAACGTCATTTGGTATGTTCAGTCTTACACACAACTGTAAGGGTTTGTTCATGTTAATGACTGAAGAGACTTAAGTTTCAGTAGTAGTAGTATTTAAGATTCTGTAGTAGCAATGTTTTGTACGAAAGATTACTTCTTAGTGCTTGTTGTCCTTAATAGTATTATTTCTTTCAGACACTCAAATCAGTATTAAGACTGATTTTTGAATGGAGTTTTAATACAACATAAATAAAAGATTAAATACTTTCAACATTCATCACAGTGCTGTTATCACAGATTTACCTTGGTATACACAATACTGAAAATTCATTCATTCATCTTCTTAGACCACTTGATCCAGCTAGGGTCACGATAGCAGTCAGGAAAGCAGAGAATCCCAGATGACCCTGTCCACCGCAGCTTCCGCCAGCTCATTCTGGGGACCCCAACTTGGAGATATAATCCCTCCAGCAGGTCCTAAGAAAACTTTGAGGTTCCAGTTGGCAGTGCCTGGTAAACCTCCAACGGGAGGTGGCCAGGGGGCAGACCGAACCAACTCAACTGGCTCCACTCAATGTGGAAGAGTAGCGGCTCTACTTTAAGCTCCTCCTGGATGACCAAGCTCCTCACCCTATCATGTAGAGTGTAGACTGCCACCCTGCAAAGAAAGCTTATTTCCGCTGCTTACATTTGCAATCTCATTCTTTCGGTCATTACCCAAAACTAATGACCGTAAGTAAGGGTTGGGATGTAGACTGACTGGTAAACAGAGAGCTTTGCTTTATGGCTCAGCTCCCACTTCACCACTACAGATCGGTACAGTGACCGCATTACTGCTGCTGCGTGTCCCAGCCAGCCTGCGGCCAATCTCACAATCCCTCTTCTTACACTATATTGCCAAAAGTATTCGTTCGTCTGCCTTCACATGCATATGAACTTGAGTGACATCCTATTCTTAATCCATAGGGTTTAATATGATGTCGGCCCACCCTTTGCAGCTATAACAGCTTCAACTCTTCTGGGAAGGCTTTCCACAAGGTTTAGGAGTGTGTTTCTGGGAATTGTTGACCATTCTTCCAGAAGCACATTTGTGAGGTCAGACACTGATGTTGGACGAGAAGGCCTGGCTCGCAGTCTCCGCTCTAATTCATCCCAAAGGTGTTCTATAGGTCAGGACTCTGTGCAGGCCAGTCAAGTTCTTCCACACTAAACTCGCTCATCCATGTCTTTATGGACCTTGCTTTGTGCACTGGTGCGCAGTAATGTTGAAACAGGAAGGGGCCATCCCCAAACTGTTCCCACAAAGTTGGGAGCATGAAGTTGTCCAAAATCTCTTGGTATGCTGAAGCATTAAGAGTTCCTTTCACTGGAACTAAGGGGCCGAGCCCAACTCCTGAAAACCATAATCGCCCCTCCACCAAACTTTACACTTGGCACAATGCAGTCAGACAAGTACCGTTCTCCTGGCAACCACCAAACCCAGACTCGTCCATCGGATTACCAGATGGAAAAGCGTGATTTGTCACTCCAGAGAACAGCTCTAGAGTCCAGTGGCAGCCTGGACAAAATGACAACAAAGTCAATAATTGACCTTTGATCCAAGGAGATCTGGTATCAATTACACTTATGAATGTCCTTGTGTTTGAACTTGGAGTTCATGATGGATAATCCATGACTAGCACAGAAGTCCAACAACAATTCACTATTTGGGTTTAGATGGGGCAGGCTGTTCTTCCCAATCACCCCTCTCCAGGTTTAAATACTCAAAACTGCTGTTTGGTGCATAAACACATACAACAGTCGAAGTTTTTCCCTTTTAAATCATATTAAGGTGCCCCTCTCGTCCACCGAGACAAACTCCAACTGCACGGCAGCCAGCTGGGGGCATGTGAGTATCCTCACAACCACCCAGCACCTCTCACCTGGGCAGCCCCTGAGTAGAAGAGGGACCGACCCCTATTAAGGAGTTTGGCTCCAGAGCCTCCACTGTGAGTGGAGGTGAGCCCAACTATGTCTTGTTGGTACCTCTCAACCTCCCACACAAGCTCCGGCTCCTTTCCCCAGTGAGTTCCACCTACCAAGAGCCAGTTTCCGCTGCAGGGGTCCATGCCACCAAGGATCTCCCTGCCATCTCCCACCACCTGAACGGCACTGCACTGGTACCCCATGCTGGACCTTGCGACTAGTGGGTCCCCTCACGTTGCCTTTTTGGGCTGAGCCTGGATGGGTTACAACAGCATGGCTGTGTAATCAGAAACCGTGGGTGCTAGACTGCAGTCTAGACCTGTCTCCCATTGCAAGTGCGATAAACTATGACAAAGAATACTCCATACTGTTGCATGGCTGAAGACTTGTATAATGGAAGAAATTCTGAAAAAATCTGCTTTCAAAACTAGATCAGTTGGTGTCATTAGTCCACAAACAGTTATTAACTGGAAAGGCAATGCAACACAGTGGTAAACATGCTCCTGTCCCAACTTTTTTGGAAAATGTTGCAGGCATCACATTTCAAAGGAGCATGTATTTACAAAATATAAAAACATTAAAGTTTATAGAGTAAAACATTGAATTCCAAAAATAATATAGTTTGTATGCTGTTTTTTAATTGAATATAGATCAAACAGAATTTACTAATACTGTTTTTTGTTTGAATTAGCATTTTACACACAGTCCCAACTTTTTGTTTGTAATTTCCCCTTTCCTCTGCTTCTATTGTATACAGCCTTTCATAGGAAATTGATGTATTTTGAATAAGTCTGTTTTTATCATCTTGAGAGCACTGAGAGGTCAGCCTCCATAAAAGGAAGTGTACTTAGGGTTGGGGTTGGAGATCATGTACACAAACCTATCACATTATTTGAGGACTGTTTTATGTAAACCTGGTTTATGTAGTTGGAGTAATTCATTTACTTGCTGGCTTACTACTGACGCTGCAGAAACTTGAAACTATAGACAGTGTATGTGTGGATTCTAAAGGGAGGTCAGTGTGTACAAGCTGTTATTCCAAAACCGTGTGTTCTTGATTACTTGCTCAGTTCTTTACTTACATAATGTGTCATGACACTGTCATGGGAGTGGTTGGTGTATGTGCTGTTTTTGCTTTTTTGGTGTTTTTCTTACACTATACCAACAAAAGTATTGGGACACATACACATTACACTTACTGGAGCTTTTATGGCATGCCATTCTAAATACATAGGCATTAATATGGAGTCTGTCCCCCCCCTTTGCAGCTATCACAGCTTCTACTCTTCTGGGAAGCCTTTCTACAAGATTTTGGGGTGTGTTTGTGGGAATTTTTGCCCTTTAATCTGGTAGAGCATTTGTAAGGTCAGACACTGATGTTGGACGAGAGGGTCTGGCTTGCAATCTCCGTTCTAGTTTATCCTAAAGGTGTTGGTTGGGTAGGATTGAGGTCAGGGCTCTGTGCAAGCCAGTCAAGTTCTTCTACACAAAACTCACCCAACCATGCCTTTATGGATTTTGCTTTGTGCACTGGGGTTCAGTGATGCTGGAACGGAAAAGGACCTTCCCCAAACTGTTTCCACAAAGTTGGAAGTGCAGAATTGTCCAAAATGTTTAAGCATTAAGATTTTCCTTCACTTGAACTAAAGGGCCTAGTACAACCCCTGAAAAACAACCCCTTAGCATCATTCCTACTCCACCAAACTTTCCACTTGGCACAATGCAGTCAGGCAGGTAACGTTCTTCTGGCATTCATCAAACCCAGACTCGTACATCAGACTGCCAGATAGAGAAGTGTGATTCATCGCTTCACAGAATACGTTTCCACTGCTTTAGAGTCCAGTGGCTTTACACTACTCCCCCCAATGCTTAGCATTGTGCATTTTTAACTTAGGCTTGTGTGTAGCTGCTTGGCCACAGAAACACACTCCTAACGCACAGTTCTTTTTGTGATGTTGCCTTTAGAGGTAATTTAGAATTCTTTAATGAGTGACTTGACAGAGGATATGCACTGTGCACTTCAGCCCTCAGTGGTCCCACTCTGTAAGTTTGCGTAGTTTACTGCTTCGTGGCTAGGCTGTTGTTGCTTCTAGGTGCTCCCATTTCAGCAATTACTGTTGACTGAGACAAAAATTTCACAAACTGACTTGTGGCGAAGGTGGCATCCTATGACAGTGCCATGTTTAAGGTCACTGAGCTCATCAGCATGACCTATTCTGCCAGTGTTTGTCTATCAAGACTGTATGGCTACATGCTTAATTTTATCCCCCTGTTAGCAATAGGTGTGGCTAAAACACCTGAACTCTGAATACTTGTGTCCACATAATGTACTTCTGGATGTGCAGTTATCACTCAAATCTTTCATAGAACTATTCAGTAAAACAGCACACGGCCAAAAACATAATTTAGTGTGCAGCATCTCTATTGCTGAAAGCATAAATAAGATTATTGGAAAATGTTGGTGAACGTTTACCAAGAGATACCAATTTGAATATACTTCAGTATAAATTGCATTTAATTGTAGTCAAAAAAAAATTCAGTCTGAATTCTGTTTTTCACATGAATGTCTTTTTCTGTTACCATATTCATTTTTAACAAGAATTTCATGTCTGTTTTTGTGATTTCTTAAGGTAGACAAGGGTGAAAAACATTGTGAAAATGGCACAGTGAACAAAATGTAAGAATGTTATTACCTATAAATTGCAGTTATCACAATTGATAGCAAAAACAATTAAATTTTTACAACCCCATTTCCAAAAAAGTTGGGACTCTATATGGGTATAAATAGAGCATACTAGAGAGGCTGAGTCTTTCAGAAGTAAAGATGAGGAGGGGTTCACCACTCTGTGAAAGACTGCACGATCAAATGTGCAACAATTCAAGACACTATTCAACTAATTCAATTTCTCAACATAAAATACCAAAGAACTTTTGCTTTTCATCATCTATGGTACATCATAACATTAAAAGATTCAGAGAATCTGGAGAAATCTGTGTATGTAAGGGACAAGGCTGAAAACCAGTATATGCTGGCCATGATCTTTGGGCCCTCAGGCAGCACTGCATTAAAAACAGACATGATGGGGGCTCCCGAGTGGCGCAACCGTCTAAGCGTTGGCCCTATCATCAGGAGATTGCGAGTTCGATCCCTGGTGATGCTACAGCCATCCGTAGCCGGGAGTCCGAGAGAGCACAATTGGCCTCGCTCCCTCTCCTGGCCCGTCCCTCATCACTCAGCGTGATGCTAGTCAGCGCAGGCGTCTGTTAGCTGACGTAACAGATCTGGCGGTTGGCGCTTTCCTCTGAGCGCGTTCAGCTGTCCAATGACGTTGCGTGAGCGGCAGTTCGAAAAGAAGCGGCGGCTGGCTTCACAGGTTTCGGAGGAAGCATGTGTTAGCCTTCACCCTCCTAGCGTTGATAGCATTGTGTGACTGGGGGAGTCCTAACTAGCGGGTAGAATTGGAGACGACTAAATTGGGGAGAAAATCGGGTAAAAATTAAAAAAAAAAAAGAAAGAAAACATGATTCTGTAGTGGAAATCACTCCATGGGCTCAGAAAAACTTCTATGACATAGTTCGGCGCTGCATCCACAAATGTCAATCAATACTCTTAAAAGCAAAGAAGAAAGCATATATAAACAGGATCCAGAAATGCTGCCACCTTCTCTGGGCCCAAGCTCATTTAAAATGGACTGAGGGGAAGTGGAAAAGTGTTCTGTGGTCCAACTAATTAACATTTGAATTTCTTTTTGGAAATCATGGACACTGTGTCCTCCGGCCTAAAGACCACTCAGCTTGTTTTGGAGGGTTATGAAATAAAAAATACAACAATTGAGCCCCCGAACTGATGAGCAGTTGAAATCCTATGTTAAGCACAAATGGGAAAACATTTCACTTTCAAAACTACAGCAGTTGATCTCCTCAGTTCCCAAACACTTACAGAGTGTTGTTAAAAGAAGAGGTGATGAAACACAGTGGTAAACATGCCCATGTCCCAACTTTTTTGAAATATGTTGTTGGCATCAAATTCAAAATGGGCATATATTTTTCAAAAACCAATACAATTTCTCATTTTCAACATTTGGTTTGTTATCTTTGTACTATTTTCAATTAAATACAGGGTTTAAATGATTTGTACATCATTGAAGTTTGTTTTTCTTTACATTTTGCACAGCGTCCCAACTTTTTTGGAAATGAGGTTGTATACTAATTATTCATTTCTAGATTATTAAAATAACATGTTAGTATGATTTGACTTCATGAAAAAGTTTTGTGTGTACAGACGCGTGGAAAGAAAGCTGTCCTTTACATTTGTGCCACATTATTTCTGGTCATCAAAACTAACAGATTTGGAAGCTGTCGGTACACAATGCAAATCATTGTAAATGATCTCAGTCAGCGTAATATGTCATTGCATTTGAATAGTATAGCAAAATGAAAGTAAAAACTCTTGACTTCTAATGGATAAAGTCAAGTTTTACAGCTGGTGAAATAAAGCCTTGAAAGAACATTGTTTCGTCTCCACACCTGCATAAAATGACCAAACGAACAGGGCTTTGCAGTTTATACAGGAGCTTCGTCACTCTGAGCATAGCTTCAGTAAATATAACCTTACTGTTCAGCCTTGCACTCAGTGACATAGAGCTCCTCCACCATATGCTACGTCTGCTGAACCCGTTGCCTGACTGTGAGTGCTTTTGGCATGTGTGGGGAATCCAGGCCACAGAGACAGCTATCTGCTGTGCTTGGAGGTTGGTGGGGATTACGAAAAAAATTTTTGGTGAACAATATTAACATAATGTTTAGGATAGTCACTTCAATGATGAATATAGGACCCTAGAGATGTATTCCTGCTTTGGAACCTAGAGAGATAGCAACCCCGCTGGGAACGCTTTGTTCTAAAAATATTCTGAGAATATTACACACATGCTCTATTAATGGTTTCAGTGGGAAGTTATTTTTTTTCACTAGAATGTTCTTTTGAGAACATTCTCTAAAAACATAATCATATAACATGATCTGTGGCCCGGACAACATCCTCAAAACATCCGTTGAATGTTGCAATTAAAACGTTATATCTTAGTTAAAATGTAACATTATAGATACATTATTTGAAATGATAAACGTCCTTAAAATGTTATTTGGACATTATATTTAAAAAGCTTTCTTTACAACATTATTAAAACTTGTAGGTAACGTTAGCCAAAGCTGTGGGAACGTTCCCTGCCAGCTGGGAAAACCTATCCACTAATACTTAGAGAGGGAGCAAGACCTACTTATGGTTAAGTTATTTGAAGTATCATGTAGCTGTATAATATTTTTTTGTCCTGCAGGGGGCAGCAGGGCTCATAATTTCATAAGCTTCCACACTTCAGGACCGGCGTGTCTTTGCACTGCGTTGGAGCAGCCAAATGGGAACTGAGGATGCCTGTTGTTGGGTAATATTAAGGACAGTGAACTACTGGTGCGTGACTGTTGACCCTTGAAAACGTGACGGAGACCATGCAGGGGGTGTGTAAGTAACTAAAGAAGATGTAATAATTGTATGTAATATTGTTTGGCAAACCATGGCACATCTCAGCTTCATGGGTTTGACAGATTTCTCGATTATGTATTGTTCTCAGCGTTCGCTGCAATACCCAGCATGCATTGTGCAAATACATCACAATCATTGGGAGTACACAACGGAGCTGAACAAATCCTGATTCCTAAATACTTTTGTGGTGTTACGGCTAGCATTGGTGATTTTAGCACTAACCTCAATCGTTCAATGTTTTGTTAAAGCAATAATTCAGTTAAAGAATTAGTCAGATATCAAAAAAAAAAAAGAAAGTCAAACAGCAACATTCATTTAGTTCCACCTTCAAGACACATTATCAGAAGTGGTTTTACTTTGTCTTTAAACAAGTAAATATTGCTTTAGAGACTACTGAGGCACCGCTTTAAGAGGCGAGTAAGCATGTTTATAACAGATGTAGCGATGGTTGCATTTTTATTTTTGGCCATAGTGTCCCTTTAAGTGAAAGTACGAGTAATTTTTCAAAGTCTGACTCAGTTAAAAGTGGAAGTATGAAGCCAAAATATGCTTGGGTGAAAGTAAAAACTATTAACATTTTTACAATAAAGGGAATTGGGTTGAATGTTTCAATTAAAACAAAAAAATGATTGGTGAGAAAAAAAATCATGGCCTTTAAGATTTGTGTTACTTTAAAGGTCTGAATGACAATGTAAGGAGTTATGTATTTCCACTTGGAAAGTAATAGTATATGCATATTGCATATCAATACTACTTGAATAAAGTACACATCTTTCAAATAATACTTAAGTACAGTAACAAAGTACAATTGCTCTAGTATTATTCACCCCAGATCTATCATATGGCACAGCTGACACATTGTACACTTCCATTGGCAGTGTGTGTATGAGAGAGAGAGAGAGAGAGAGAGAGAGAGAGAGAGAGAGAGTTTTTTGCTGATATGGTTGTTGTGACACTCCTATCTGTGCCTGCAAAGTGGAGATAATTAAACTCTCCCTTTTATTCTCTCAGAATAGTCAATAAAACCCAAACAGTGTATACAGGAAACACTGTCTGTTTAGTAGACAGCTGGTCTTCCATAGTTGAAATCTGAAAATATATATTTAACTATGCAAAGAACTGTTTAAGCATCCAGATGGTTCATTGAGTGTTCACGGTTCTATATACACCAATAACAGCTAAATCTGTGACTGTGGATAAACACAATTACCTGTTTTATATATTGCATGTAAATAAAGTTACTGTTTTTTTTTCCAGTTGTGTACACAGCAGAGAAGCATTGTTTGAAAAGTAGAATTTAAACCTCATTATATCTCATAAAGCGGATGTGCTTTTTAATGTGATGATTCTCTGTGTCCCTTGACAGTGTACTGTTTCCTGGAAAACAAACACATAGACATATAAATACTTTACATACATTAGGCCTCTCTCTCACACTCGCACACACACGCACGCCACACGTCAGTGCGCGCTGAACTGGGGCTCGGTTAGGGGTAGGGAGGAATAGAAGCCGAGAAGCTTCAGTCTGATTGTAGAGGGAGTGGAGTCGAGGGAGAAAGCAGTTCTCTCCCTCTCGGTCTTAACGTTGGTTTTGCACTCTCTGGGCGACGAGGTTTTCAAGTCAGTAGCGGTAGCTTGCTTTGCACCGGCACACACACGTGCTGAAGGGGTAACAATGAATTCCATTTATATCGTTTGTGCACAGAAGAGGCCTTTGACAGTTTGTGGTAAGCTTCAGTTTCACCTTTTACTGATTGTGCTTAAGAACCAGCAGGAGGTTAAGGCCTTGAACAGTTATATTGTGGTTAGTCTGCTCATTAAGTCTCATTTTAGTTATGCAGAATGCAAAAATACCGCATACTGAGTGATTTAGAGGGCGGCTTCTGTCAGGATTTAAGAGACCTGGGAGTAACGTTAGCACCAGCTGAGCTGACTCATAAACTGTGGTTATAGGGGTAGCTAGCGATATAGCCTGGAAACCAGCTGGCTAGTTAGTTAGCTAGCTAGCTTCCTAGCGACCTGACATATAATGGCTTTGTCTTGACTTGGCAAGTCAGCTGTTTGTCAGCAAGGTTAGTTATTCATAAACAGCGCTCACTGGTTTCAGAATGACACTTATTTACGCCACAGTTCAGCAGCTGATTCAGTGGTTTCGTCAGATATCTGTTTAGTTTTCAGGATTAGTTAGCCTGAGCTAAGTACTGAGTACTGACGTTATTTGTTGGCTAATGGTAGCTGCTAGCGTTAGCTGTTCTAGGGGATGTATAGCTACCTAGACAGATAGCTAACAGGTCACTTAGCTAACCTACATGTTTTGTTAGTCATCTTTTTGTTAGACTGGCATAAGCATGTAACACAACATATTCTGTCGACTTTGGTTTAATTTTCCGAACATTAACTGTTGCCTCTTTGCGTTTATTTGCTTGCACGCAGTGAACGTTACCGAGTTAATATTAGCTGGAAAGCTAGCTACGTCAAAGATGGGTGGGCAGAGGGGTTGGGGAGCCAACTGGATGATTAAGGAAACCGCAAGCTTTGCTAATTATTTGTTGTTGTGAGTCACGAAGCTAATAACTGTTCATACTGTCAGTTTTCCAAAGCAGGAGATTTTTAATTGTAGCATGCGCAGTCGGTTACAGTGCTTGCTAAGTAGCTAGGTCAGCTAAGTTGGAGGGCTGGCCAGTTGGCTATCTATGATACTGTGAAATTGCAAAGCTAGCAAATACAAAATGTTTAAAGCACTGCACCTAAAATATAGAGTAGGTACATACAGAATGAGTTAGAAATTGGGCACGCAATGTTACAGGTAACAGAACACATTTTTAGCAAATTGAAATTATGTAGAACAACTTCCTCAGATAGCTAACTGTATCATTCACTGTGGTTTGAACCCTTGTACCAGTTGGTTACTTAGCCAATGTATGATAAGTTACTGGGTGTCACAGTGAAGCAGTCCACAGGTTGAAACAAATAAAAAAGAGATAAAGGATAAAAAGATGCATGTTGGATATCAGTTGCAGCGGTTTGCTGTAAATGGAGACTATATAAGACGTGGCCAGGTGTGATTTCTTGCCAACAAATTGGAAAGAAACTCAAAGGTAGTTGTTCAAGCTGAATAGTTTTTTTGTGCAACACAAAGCTGGGTTTTGTGAAATTAGGCTAAATCAGATTCTGAGGGTCGACTTACTTTATGGAAAATGTCCTGACATGATGGACAAGTTTGGAATCAGTGGTACATGGTATTTGGTACATGGTATTTGCTACAAGGAACTGGCAGAGGTTCAGCATGTAAGCTCACTATCTGTAATACAGCGTCATCATTGTTTCCGGGTGTTTTGGGGAACAGGCAAGTAAGAGGAGTTCTTATCAGCTTATCATGAAATTTCTTGTTACCTAAGCAGAGCACCTGTTACATTACTGTTTTCTGAGTCAGACTTCTTATGATGCATTTCATTATTACTAACATTAAAAGGTGCATAGTATGTGGAAGATGATTCCTTGAAGTGTTGACTTTAAGAATATGCTAAATTTGCAAATAACCTTAGTAAAAACATAGCTTATGATTGTTTAATAACCTTCAGATCCACAGTTATGTGAACTACCTGCTTAGTTGTTGTATAAACTGATTATAGAGGAGGAGATTAAATAAAAACTGAATGATTTTCTTTACAATTAGTAATTAGAATGTACTGTATTTTAACAAAAAGGTATCTCTATACTGCTACAGAACTGCTTTCACTGTTGATTTACTCATTTTTTTTCAGTGAAGTTTTTCTTTTTTATACACACACTGTTATGGGTAAGACATTTTACAGTGTAATTCCTTTAGTGTTCCGCAAAGTCCATGTACTTTAGAAATTGTTTTTATAGAGTTGGCCCTTTTGGCTCATTCCAAATGTTTCAATTATATTTACAGTACAATAAGAATATGTTGGAATACTTCAAATACTTAAAAAATTACCTAAATACAGTGTATGATGATTAATTATCCTTTTCCAGGTGTGACAGCGTGTGTGTGAGGTGGCACCATGGCCGCAATGATCCCTCCAGTGAAGCTGAAATGGCTGGAGCACCTGAACAGCTCCTGGATCGCCGAGGACAGCGAATCCATCTCCACACGTGAAGGCGTGACCCTGCTCTACTCCAAGCTCCTTGCCAACAAAGAAGTGGTGCTGCTCCCCCAGCAGGTGCTATGTTTAAAAGGTCCCCAGCTGCCGGACTTTGAGCGAGAATGTCTGTCCAGCGATGAGCAAGAGCACTACCTGGACGCGCTGTTGGCCAGCCAGCTGGCTTTGGCCAAAACTGTCTGCTCCGACTCGCCGTTCGCTGCTGCCCTACGCAAGCGCCTTCTAGTCCTGCAACGAGTCTTTTATGCACTTTCCAACAAGTACCATGACAAAGGCAAAGTCAAACAGCAGCACCACTCACCTGAGAGCACACTGAGCTCTGCTGAGCTGCAGGCGGTTAGCGAGCGGCCTCGCTCCAGCACGGATGCACTTATAGAGATGGGTGTGCGGACAGGTCTCAGTCTGCTCTTTGCTTTACTCCGACAGAGCTGGACGCTGCCACCCACTGGGCCTGGCCTTAACCTCTGTAATGATGTCATCACTACCGCCATTGAGGTGGTTGGCTCCTTGCCGCCACTCTCACTGGCAAATGAAAGCAAAATTCCACCCATGGGCTTAGACTGCTTGGCCCAAGTGACCACGTTCCTGAAGGGAGTGACCATGCGGCACTCGGGAGCAGATGTGGTGGGCAGGAGGCTGGCATGTGAGCTGCTCCTGGGACTGGCAGCTCAGAGGGGCTCCCTACGCTACCTTCTGGAGTGGGTGGAGATGGCGCTGGCCGCCTCGGCAGGAGTCAGTAGCCTGGAGCCCAGCCAGGCTGTGCAGAGCCAAGAGGGCCTGATGGGATATGACTGCTTTATGAACATTCTCATGCAGATGAGACGCTCACTGGTATGTAATCTCTGCCTTAGTTCAACACAGTCATGGACATTTTCTCACTACCCAGCACTGCTTACGCTGAGATATGAGACGTTAAATACATTTTAAATCGTAGTTAAACATTGTGGAACTCTTATTACATTACCAGAACTCTTATTAAATACCAGTTACACCATTACTAGTCCCAGATGCTGAAGCAACATCGCATCTAGAAAATAGGTGTCAAACCTGCTTTTCCTGTGTTATACATGTGCTAAGCAGCAATAGAAATTATGAAAAACAAATGGAACAACAATTAAAAAAAAAAACTTTTGTAGTAAGTCTATAGATTTGATACCATTGCCCAATCACAAGTCAGAAAACTGCTGAGGGTGAACCAGTGCAACATGCTCTTATATAGATTTTTGTAACCTGGTATTGTTCACGCTGAGATATGAGGTAAAAACATTTTAAACTGTAATTAAGCATTTATAGTACTCCTATTACAACTATTACAAAGTTGCTTTTGCGTGCGCCCACAAAGAGGAAGTTAGGTTTTGGGGATATTATGGTTCAAAAGTATAAATTGTTTCATAAATTTGTCAAATAAAAAAAAATAATAAAAAAAATTGAACAAAAATAGACATGAATACATTTTGAGGTTTTGGGTTTGCTTGGGGATTAAATCATATACATTTTGGACATTTATAGAGAATTATATGCAAATATAAATCTGTCTCTTAAATTTGTAAATTTGTCAAAAAAAAACAACAGCTAAACAGGAACAAACTACATTTGTGTCTGCAAATGTAGACTTTTCACAGTGTTTGTCATGTATATGCCGCATGTCAGATTCATAATGCACTGTGAAATTGCTCCAGACCTAGACAGCTGGAGTCTAGACTGATGTTGTTTAGAAATTTGTTTCCCAGTTTCACATTTGTAGTGCATTACTTAAACAGTTTACTTAAAGTCATTTCTTCTTGATATAAGTAAGTGATAATTCATACTGATAATGAAATGATAGATGTCTGTTTTCCAGGGTTCATCTGCAGACCGGAGCCAATGGAGGGAGCCAACTCGCACACCAGACGGTCTGTGCTCCCTATATGAGGCTGCACTCTGTCTGTTTGAAGAGGTAAAACCTAACGTCCACAGAATTCAGAACAGATTATTTGCTTTAGGCATGGAATGTTGGTCGTATTATTTTCTTGCTTCTGATTTCCTGTGATGGTGTGACAGGTTTGTCGCATGGCATCGGATTATTCAAGGACATGTGCAAGTCCAGACAGCATCCAGACAGGCGAGGCAGCCATGGTGTCTGAGACATGTGAAGTGTATGTCTGGGGCAGTAACAGCAGCCACCAGCTTGTGGAGGGAACTCAGGAGAAGATCCTACAGCCTAAACTAGCACCCAGCTTCAGTGACGCACAAACGGTAAGCAGTGCACGAATACAAACTGCTTGTATTCTGTGTTCTCCTGGAAACTTGTTTTGTTTTCTGTATGCATCAGTCACAAGGTGGCTGTTGAAGCATATAGATTTTGGAAATTTATAAACAATTATAATCAAATGCTCTAATTATATAAAGAATGCACAACAAATAAAAGCTTAGTCTATTGTTCTACTCTTGTCTACAGTTGTGTAAGTATGTCCTCCTAGCAGAATAAAATATCTGTTTTCACTGACTATTGAAAAATGGATTTCTGTAGGACTTGGTTAAAGGTAATATGTGTGACTATGACTACAGCAGATATTCATTAACATTCAGTAATTAAAATCGCAAATGAAAAAGTTTTTCAAATAACCAGTGCTTTTACCTGCATTTATGCAAGCGTGTGCTTCAGTACACTAGTTTTTTGCCTGTCTGATGGGAAACGAAGTTTTGTTTATGAAACTAAACACTCAAGAAGTCACCAGTAGCGCACAGTAGCATATCAAAAACATAGTAAGATAATTTGCTTGCACTTTATGCAAAAACTATGATTTACAGTTAGCCTTTTTTCAAGTCAGTCAAATAGTCCTTTACTGTCAAAGCTACAGTGATATCTCTCAACAGTGTTTCCCATGCATGGGTTATACTTCGGCGATGTGCCAAGGTATATGGACACCTACCAATGTAAATTTTGATGGTTTAAAAACATGTTGAGCATTTTTATCAATCTATTTAGAAAAAACAAATGCTTTGGATTTGACTACTGCATGAACACAGAGTAGAGACTCGTAGGTAAAGTACCGTGATGTGTGCAGAATGAGGCAGGTAGAGTTTGGATTGTTAGTTTATAAATGTTTATGCGATGGTATATAGTTTCCGAGGGGAAAAGTACACCACTCATACTCAAAGAAGACATAAAGGCATAAATTAAACCTGTAAATGATGATGTTATAAATTTTGTTATTTATTTATGCTTTTGAGTCTGTCTCTGCTCGCCCCTACTAAAGTATTTCAAAACTGTGGAAAACACTGCTGCAGTAGTTAGAGGTGTAGTCAGAGGTAGGGCTGGCGAGACTGTTCCTGACTGCCTGTGTTAGCTCTAATAAGAGGAATTAATGTTGGTTTTAATCACCCTGGTGCAATCTAAAGGTCTATTCCACTGCATTTATTTCCAAGAATAAACGACACCGTGCAGGCTAGCAAGGAACTTAAGAACTTGGAAAAATCTACATAGAATCTGAAAAAGATAATAGTACATAAATTCTCAAATTTAGATTTTGATAGAATGTTTAATAATTTTAGCAATGTATGTGACCATGGTTAATCATGGAAAGCAATCAAAGAGTTAGTGAAAGTAATTTTTCTAAAAAAGGAGACTAAAAGGAGGATATTTACTTGTTGACTAGGTTCTCATGTTTTGTGCTACATTGTTTGTAATCTCAGATTGAGGCTGGTCAGTACTGCACTTTCGTCATCTCTTCCGATGGCTCTGTTCGGGCATGTGGGAAAGGGAGCTATGGTCGCCTAGGACTGGGGGATTCTAACAACCAGTCCACTCTTAAGAAGCTAACCTTTGAACCCCATCGCGCTATTAAGAAGGTTTCATCATCCAAAGGCTCGGATGGTCACACACTGGCATTCACAAGTGAAGGGGAGGTGTTCAGCTGGGGTGATGGAGACTATGGCAAACTGGGTCATGGTAACAGCTCTACACAGAAATACCCCAAACTCATACAAGGACCCCTGCAAGGAAAGGTACTAAACGTTCCCTGCACTAAAAAACAACATTCTAAAACGTTCTAATGAAAAATATGAGATATATGGAACAATTGCTGTGCTGTTTTTAGTGGTAGCTTTTCCAGTAGGCTAACAGATCCACACACCACGGCACAGGTTTGATTTTGCCAAACTCATGCTCCACTGATACAAATTTACAGGAATAAGGCTCAAATCTAAGCCAGCACGGTTGAGCAACTTGTGTTTGACTGTCAGAAAAACTGAATCTGACCTATTCTGTGGTGTTCTGAGCTTCGAGCCTAGTACTAATAAACATTTCTTTAACATTTAACAGTTGTTGTTGTTGTAGATTAATGGTTAAATGTTTATTGGGTAATGAAATGAAAGTCTTGCTAGTTTATTTTGCTGGTTATTTGTGTCACATTCTTAATCTGTTCGAACATGCTGAGTCAGTTTCCTGGACAGGGATTAAGCCTCGTTCTGGACTACATAGCACTCTGAACGTAGATTCTTCATTGAAAGGTTCCAAATTAGGCTTCTTGCCTTACTTAGAAGCTGAGCCATAGTTTTTTATTCCTTAGCCTTACATCTTGCCTGATTTGGCATTCTTAAAGATTGTTTAGAAATGCCCCAGTTCCATTTTTGGTAGTTAGTTTTTTAGGCATAACAATAATACATTGACATATTTAACTATTTGTTATTCATCATAGATTATTTTTCTTGGTTTGAATTAAAACTTGGGGTACTTTAAGTACCCAGTCAAATACAATCACGTGCAGTAAATAAGTAATACAAATGAAAATATTTCAAACCTTTGGTCACATTCTCATTACTTCAGTCAAACACAAAAGTTTGGGCCCCTGGTGAAATTACCTGTTTTGTTGATTTCTCCAAGTCAAAATAAGTACACATCTTCTACAGAGAACACATTTTGGTGTACAATTACTGTTCTTTTGCTGAATTTAACAGATTTAAAAAAAAACATATATACCTGTACAAAAGTTATTGCACGTTTTATGTTTTAATGTTTTTCCAAAATGTTAAACCCAGCAAATAAATAGAAATAAGAGCTGTATACTAAAATTTGCTGAAAAATGCAGGGGTGATTGGGGTGTTCAAACTTTTGAATACAATTGGAGTTTGATTGCTCGCTTCCAGCAGGACACTGATACTGTTTTGCCTCTGTATTGTAGCACATGGGATTTGAAAGGAGAAATGATAAGATTCAGTACAGAATGTCAACTTTTCTCATCTTTGTTATATTTTTAATAAATGTTTGCTTATTAGTATGCTTTAAGTCAAGTCAAGCCCCGTCCTGTATAACTTGCATATGGGTAGATCTGAGTAGTTAAGATTCTTGGGAATTTGTCCTGCTCCTGCAATTAGCAATCACATTATCTGTAAACACTGGTAAGCCAGTTTTACTGGCAATCATATAGGGACATGCTGTCATATTTTAGACATGCAGTGATGTGTTTTGGATTATGGACAGTTCCTTTTTTATTCATTGCACTTTCTAGTGTAATTCTAGTACAAGTTAAATATTTTATCTCAAATAATTGTAAGGCCCCCATGACCCAGGATAAGCGGCTTAGAAAATGTCTGTGTGTGCGTGTGTGTGCGTGTGTGTGTGTTTATAAGGCTTTAGTTACTCTCTGATTGATTTATTCTGATGATTCAGCCTTATGATGGTCTGTTTTACTGGCTTGTTAAGAGAGAAGAGCAGCATTCTCTACATGCAGATGCTCCATCTAGAATCAGATTTAGATGTTTGTTAACTGTCTTGTGCATGAACTAATAATGCAATGACCAGCAGCGGCTAATTGTCTGGTTACTTGTGGTAAAAGGACTCAGATGTCTCTGTGGTTCACTCTGTAGATTCACAAAGCCTCAAATTAAAGCCCACCTTCTGCACTTTAATCTCTTATTCATTGTTTTATGTCACATCCAGTACGTTAATACAGAGTGTCTCACTCTGCAGTTGCACACAGACAGCACTGTACAGTGTATATTGGCTCAGGCTTTGTACATGTCTGTTTCTGTGTAGGTGGTGGTGTGTGTGTCAGCAGGCTACAGACACAGTGCAGCTGTTAGTGAGGACGGGGAGCTGTACACATGGGGAGAAGGTGACTTTGGAAGACTAGGTAAAGGTTCCAGGTTTCTTCAAATATTTAGTTCATAAATTAACTAATTTCTTCTTTAGAGTGACTTAATATCATGAAGTTTATTGTCCAAAACATTAATTTAGTTTATCAGATGGTTTTTATCAATAATTGTTGATGGAATTACATCATTTGTTTGTGCAATGTTTCCAGTTTACAATGTCTGTTTGTTTATATGAAGTGTCTATAATGTATGTTGGTATTTAGGCCATGGTGACAGCAACAGCAGGAACATTCCCACACTTGTAAAGGACATCAGTAACGTGGGCGAAGTGTCCTGCGGGAGTTCCCACACCATTGCACTGTCGAAAGATGGCCGAACTGTCTGGTCGTTCGGAGGGGGAGACAATGGTGAGTCCAGTTAATTTAGCTGCGCTCTGCAGTAGTTCACAAGAAGATATCTGTGAATCTCCCTAGGGGCCCAGGGTGCATCCATGATGATGTCTGCCTTTAAATTTAGCATTTAATTTTGAGGATGCATGATGATGTCTATCATATTGGCATCTGAGGGATGTTTAGATTTGTTCAGAATGTTTAGGTGACACTGGGCTACTACTCTAAAATGTCTGCATTGTATTTATTGTGCTGCATTTGTAACACTACAGAAATTAATGTTACATGTTTCTGTCATGCTGGGCCAGATGAATTTAGTCTCAATTTATACATTTTATCAATGTTTATATGTCTGTATCAGACCCGGTATATGCAGATGTGTAATAGGCCTGGGTAATATCTAAAAGTAATAAGCACGATATTTTCTAATAAAAAAAATTAATCACGATTATTAATAATGTCACTGCCCATCCGCCCCCCCCCCCTAAAAAATGCAGTTTGCTGCAGCTTTGACCTACTTTCTGTCCTGTTTTAGTTTATATGCTTTCTAACATGAACTATTTTATTGAAATCTTTAATAAACTTCATATATTAAATAAGTTGATACTAAGTAGCCCAGCATTTTTTGAGAACTACATTATCTGACATTATAATAAGTGTCACAGCAAACAAGTGTTCATGAGCTTCTTCCGCTGTAGATTCACGGTGACTTGAGCGCTAATAGTGTTTACTGCCAGAGAAACTTCAGACTGCAAGTGATTTTCAGGGCTGTGCCCATGTGCTTTCCACATTAAAAACGAAATGTTTTCTGTCATTACAGTTTTGTTTTTATACTTTAACTAACCACCAGGACACTTATTCTGTACAGAGAGAACTGCAAATTTTACTTAGTAAATCACACGTGCCAGACGCAGTGGGCAGCTTTACCAGAGCTTTTATAGGCCCTGTTATTACTCAGTTTTTCAAGAATAAAAGTTCATAAAAACATATGTGTATTTAATTTCATTTATCACTTATTAATAAATAAAAGTTAGTATAGGTAATAAATTATTTATTACCTTTTTCTGAGACGAGGATCAGAGGAACTTTCTCTCCATGTTAGGATTGATTTAGCTGCTCTGTGCTAACATCTAGTCTAGTTTTTTTTTTACTGCAGCAAGTCACTTTGAGGCAAGCTGAAGTTCCAAAGCATGTCTGCATTCATTTTGGATTCCATTCACATAAAATAGCCTAAATTAAGGGGAATCTGTGCGATAAAGCTAGCATTACAGTGCGTAGCAGAGAGAAATAACACAGGCAGTTTCTTGACAAACCTTTCTCTGTGTGTGTGTGTGTGTGTGAGAACCTGACTACTGGTGCATGTGTGGGCATGCTCGTTAAATGTGAAACCTAGTTTCCCAAAGTATTTTGCATGCTGTTTAACAGTAAATTAGTGCTCTCTAATTCTTTTTTAGTTCTTTTGCCAAAACTGTGATTATTGCCTTTTGCACATCGCTGTCGGGTTACTTGTCCATCAGTGATGTTATCACCCTATCGCTTTTGTGATATTGGATATCAACACTGACCGACAGGTCCCATATCAGTGCATTCCCTACTTAACATAGTAATGCTTTTAGATATTTTTCATTAGCCTTTAAAGGATTTCCTGTCCAGTACTGTCCAGAAACAGAGATCGCATACAATTTTGTCTTGACCACAAGTACTTAAGTGTGAGACTTATTCGTGTTTTTCTGTTTTTCTGTGACAGGTAAACTTGGCCATGGTGACACTAATCGTGTTTACAAACCGAAAGTGGTGGAGGCTCTACAGGGCATGTTCATCCGAAAAGTGTGTGCAGGCAGCCAGTCTTCTCTGGCCCTCACCTCCACCGGACAGGTGCGGCTCTAATTTGAAAAAGAAAGATTTTTGCCTCAAATCATTTTTAGTCATGCATATTACTGTGTGTGTATTCACTGTTTTATGTTTTTCTAGGTGTATGCATGGGGGTGTGGTGCCTGTCTAGGATGTGGGTCGTCTGAGGCCACTGCTCTAAGGCCAAAGTTAATTGAGGAGCTGGCCACTACCAGGGTTGTGGACATCTCCATAGGAGACAGTCATTGCCTTGCATTGTCACATGGTAAAATACCATGTCCAATCCATTCTCTAAAGCATACACCCAGAAAGTTTAGCTTATTTTTACAGGAACATTTACCATTACATCTTGCCACTCAAGCGGTCTTATTGTCTTATTGATTACTTTCCATTTAAACTACTTAAGACAAGCATGCAGTGTTGTCTTATAGGCAGGTTAATGCACTGTGATACTGAGGATGTGGGATACAGATTGCTGTGAGGTTTGTTGAAGCAGAAGAGGTTGTGTTATAAAAGAGTGCTGATAGAGTTGAACTCTGATATGTGCTGACTCAGACTGTCATGCATAAGGTGAGGAGAAGGGCCTCCAGAATTGACATCAGATCAAATATTTTTTGAATACTCTACATGTTTATAACCTGCTTGAGCAATTTTCTCAACAGGATCTAGATATATAACATGCATAAGTTTACACTTTTTTATCTGTAATACGTTAAACATTTCATTGCTATTATTAAAATTATATTAAAATATAGTAGCCTTTAAGGTAGATTATGAGCAGTCTTGATCGATTGTTGTGACTGAAACTAATGCTTTGTTTCTGCACATTTTGTAGACAATGAAGTCTATGCATGGGGTAACAACTCCATGGGCCAGTGTGGACAAGGTAATTCTACTGGTCCCATTACCAAACCCAAGAAGGTCATTGGTTTAGATGGAGTGGCCATTCAGCAGATTTCTGCTGGCACCTCTCACAGCTTGGCTTGGACTGCCCTCCCTAGAGACAGGTTAGCAGTGACCTTCAAACTGTCTTAACTGTACTGGTGATACTTGCTTAAAGTTATTTGAATAAGGTGTTCTTATGTAGCATATGTCTGCATAGAGAAGTTAAACAAAATTTATATGTGTTGTATGTGGTTATATGCAGGCAAGTGGTGGCATGGCACAGGCCTTACTGTGTAGATCTGGAGGAGAGCACTTTTTCTCATCTGCGCTCATTCCTGGAGCGATATTGTGATGGCATCAATAATGAGGTTCCCCCACTGCCTTTCCCCTCATCCAAGTATGTCGTTACAGTTCCACAGACTCACATTTTATTGGTAATTAATAATAAAGTAGTTTGCTTGTTTTTAACATGTATCACATGCATCTGCTATCCTACAGAGAGCATCATAACTTCCTGAAGCTGTGCCTGAGGCTGCTGTCCAATCACCTGGCTTTGGCACTGGCCGGAGGTGTGGCCACAAGTATCCTGGGGCGACAGGCACGGCCCCTCCGCAACTTGCTCTTCAGACTAATGGATGCATCAGTGCCTGATGAAATTCAGGAGGTGTGTCTATGGTTTCTGTTTGCTGATTTTCACGTATGCTAGCATGTTTTCAAGCAGGCTGTGGTGTCGTTCCTGATTAATACTCTGAAAAATAATAAATAAAAAATACTCTGTGTTTGTGTTAAAGGCGGTCATTGAGACACTGTCTGTTGGTGCCACAATGTTGCTGCCTCCGCTGAGGGAGAGAATGGAACTTCTACATTCACTTCTTCCTCAAGGACCTGATCGCTGGGAGAGCCTCTCCAAAGGACAGGTGTGTCTTTCTTTGTGTGTGTGCGTGTCCATTTGCACTGTGTGAACATGTCCATAACCAAGCATATTTTGATTTTATATTTCTTGCTGTCTTTGTTTTTTTTTGTTTTTTTTTAAAGATCACAATTATGTACAGTGAAGCACATTGTAAACCAACAATTGTATCCGCACATTTTTTTGCGAGACACTCATGTGTTAATCAGTAAAACCTTTTATACCGGCTACACACAGCTGCAGTTCTAAACTCTTAAGTCTATTTTTTGACCTTTGCTGTGAGCTACATGCAAATATGTACAAAGTACCGTGACGATTTTTTCCTCTCATGACTAGTGTCAAAACAAGAGTGTTGCATAAATGTTTACTTTGCCACTGCCCTGCATCACTTCTAGTGTAACTCAAGCTCACATTAACATGATCTTTGCTAATCTGAGATGGCACTATACCACTTTTTCTTTCCTGGTGCTGATACTGCTAGGCATTAAAATTAGTTATTTTCAAATGAAGCTTTCATTTAAGATGAACATCCAAAAGCAGGCTATCAAACTACTTGAACATTCTACTACCCCACAGGAAGAAATACACAGCTAACAACATGATATGATGTGAATATGTGCTTATGGTACTGGATCAGATAAATTTTCTTTCCTCCTGTGTGATTAGTCTGGTAGTTTTAGTTGACTGTAAACTCGATTGTGCTCGTGCTTCAATTCAGTTCATTAACTCCACACTAGTGACTTTTCGCCATTTTTTTTTTCTTGCTGTGTTTACTTCTTTTGCAGTTTAAGTTTTCACTGGCTGTTAGAGGAATCTGTTCATATTGATTCATTGACCAGTATACACTACTAGATTACGATTCAGAGTTGGGTTGAAAATGTCAAACATAATGGACATTCTCTGAGTGTTTTGAACCGTGATCAGAAGGCAAAAAATCGGGAGTCTGCGCCCCGCACGCATTGCTCAATTTATTTCCCAACTGTCGGTGCGGACTGACCCAAAATCTGCAGACTAGATGCCAACCAGCACAGACTTTGCCAGACAGAGAATCTGGGCTAAAATCAGGGTAAAAACTGTGTAGTGTAATCCTGGGCGATATTGAAAATTTGTCATCACAACAGCCTTAATACTGAGTTAACCTTTGAATACAAAAGTCTTTATGATGTGAGATAATAGCATGCTACCTTACATTTGTGTGCATTTTAGAGGATGCAGCTGGACATTATTCTGACCAGTCTCCAGGATCACACCCATGTAGCATCTCTGCTAGGCTACAGTTCTCCCCCTGATGCCTCAGAGCCCTTGACGCTGCCCTCAGACTCCACACACACCCCTGGCACTCACCCAGACACACACCCTGATACACACCTTGCAGAGATCCTCATGAAGACTTTACTCAGGAACCTTGGCTTCTATACGGTTAGTGTGCCTCACTTCCAGCTCAAGTAATATTTTTTTAGAGAACATTACATTTGCACCCATTAACCCCCAATTTATTACAAGTATTCCATGATGTGCATGTGTATGTGTTAACAGGACCAGGCATTTGGAGAGTTGGAGAAGAACAGTGATAAGCAACTGCAGGGCACATCTTCATCAGACAGCAGCCAGCCAGCCCACCTTCATGAACTCCTCTGCTCTTTACAGAAACAACTACTGGCCTACTGCCACATTAACTCTGTTACAGAGGTAGGCCCTGTTCACGCTTGATATAATTATCTTTCTTGCGTGATCTGATCATAATTGCACAGCAAGACATGTAGCCATTTATATCTTGCATTTCAAAGTCTTGAATTCGCCTTCACTGACCGCATATGATCAGATTTCATGACTAAAGGTACAGCAGACATTTACATCAGTCTCTCACTGCGTTTTCTTTTTCAGACTAAAAAGTCATTGTTTCTGTCAATTTACAGACTCTAGAAACATGTTGATTGTATTGTTTACTAACACAAGTTATAAACAAACAGGACAGAAGGCGAAGAAAGAAACAACGCAGCTGCTTTTGTCTCTGCCATAACACAGTTGATTAGGGTGGTATTTGTTGCTGCCAGGAATGCATCAGGATGCTTTAGTGTGCATTTCAAATGTTACGTGGTCGTAAGCATCCCCGACCACCTCTCAAGTGGCTCCTAACTACTACTACTATTGCTACTACTACTACTACTACTATTAATATTAGTAGTATAATAATTTTGTAGGTAGTTTGACCAGAGGAGGATGGGTTCCCCCATGTGAGCCTTGGTTCCTCCCAAGGTTTCTTCCTCAGCTCTGAGGGAGTTTTTCTTTGCCACTGTCGCCCCTGGCTTGCTCACTTGGAGGATTTACATTTCATGTAAAAACCTTGGATTTCTGTGAAGCTGCTTTGTGACAACATCAGTTGTAAAAAGCGCTATACAAATAAATTTGACTTGACTTGCTTGAGTGATCGGATCACTATGTTGCTATGAGATGTATTGGACCTTGTTCATGGGGCTATATGTACTTGTACACATAATTTTTTAAGAAAATTGTTTGCAGATAGCTTAATGACTTTGTCAAAATGACTGATTTGATGTTTGTTGTTTTTTGTCTTCCTAAGGGCTCCAGTAGTGTGGCTCTTCTCCATAAACACCTGCAGTTGTTGTTACCTCATGCCACAGACATTTTCACTCGCTCAGCTATGCTTCTGAGAGAAAGCTCTGGAAATGGCAGTGTGCGTGAGAAACTACGAGGTAAGCACTTTGATGCATGCACAAACACAATATTTACAAACAGACATATTGATTTTCTTGTTCCATGGCAAGTACAACTGGGTTCAAACTGACTAGGTTTGTTAATATTTTATGTGTGTGTGTGTGTTGCAGATGTGATCTACGTGTCTGCGGCTGGCAGTATGCTGTGTCAGATTGTGACATCTTTGCTGTTGTTACCTGTGTGGGTGGCCCGGCCGCTGCTGAGTTTCCTTTTAGACCTTCTGCCTCCATTAGACTGTCTCAACAGACTACTGCCAGCTGCAACCCCATTAGAGGACCAAGAACTACAGTGGCCCCTTCATGGTCAGACATAAATCTAAAAAGTTTTTCCAATTTTTCCAGGGTATGGCCTTAATTTTTTACGGTTAAACCCTTAAAGTATTTTTCAAATTTTTCAAAGTTTCTTCATAATACAGTGCTTGGATGTAAAATGAAACTTATCAACATAAATATAGCCATTTTATTTACTAACTAAAATGAGCAGTGAACCTGCATGGCTTCTGAGTTTTTAAATGTTGGTAATTATGGTTACAAAATGGTAAAATAGCTTTCTGTGAGGGAGCTTTGAGTAATTTTGAAAAACAGATGGAATTCCTCTTTAAAAGGCCTGATACGTGGGCAAATGTGTTAAAAACTCCCATAACATGATTTATGTTTTAGTTTCGTAGTTTAAAATGTGTTACTAGTCTTAAGTCTCAAGCTTAACATATGAATAAAAAGCTCAAAGGGGTTAACTCATGTAACTATCTCTCTTTGTCTTGTTGCAGGAACCCCAGAGCTAGTGGAGCCAGTATGTGTGTGTGTATCCGGCCCAGCGCAGTGCTGGGTGTGGTTGGTTGACCTGGAACGCACAGTGGCTTTGCTTGTTGGCCGCTGCCTTGGCGGGATGCTGCAGGGCGCCTCACCTTCACTAGAAGAACAGCATACAGCATACTGGCTTAAAACCCCACTGTTTAGCAATGGCCTAGAGACAGACATACCACAGCTAGGTACACACGCACAAACACCTAAAAAGAATTGGAGATGCTTATTTAAAACATTTATTAACCAAAAGTACGTAACAACAGCATTCAGAAATTGTGTTATTAATGAAAGAGTGGACAAAACATTTTTGTATTAATCCTAAAGAGTTAATGTTGCCATATACAAAAAAAAATCTTTCAACATATGCATTTTTATATTTTTATACTAATGATGCCAATGTATGTATATTATAGACACATGCATCAGCTCTCTGCTAGAGGTGGCTCTGTGTGGGAATGAAGAGCAGAAGCCTTTTGACTGTCCGCTGCGTGCTGACATGAGTGTATTAGTGGACCTGGCCCTTGGCTCCACCAAGGAACCCACACACAGTCTATGGACCAACATGCAGGACTATGCAATCAGCAAAGGTAATGCATGCACATATATACTAGAGTAACTCTTTTTTACTCGGATCAATCAAAGAAGGCAGCTGCAGTATTGTACTATTTAAATAATAGACAGTCCTTTTAAAGTAATGATGTATTCTTCTGAAAGGAATATAGCATGTATAACATTTATTTACCTTTGTATGTGTGTGTTGTTTTGAATGCAGACTGGGACAGTGCATCTTTGAGTAATGAGACTCTGTTGGACACAGTGTCCCGCTTCGTTCTGGCAGCCTTTCTGAAACACACAGGGCTGCTGGGCCAAGCCTGCGGAGAGGGCAGGCAAGACAGTTTCACACCACACATCTTTAACAAATTTCTCCTCTTGTTTCTAACACTGCAACACTCACAATCACAGACACACATACTTAGATAAACAAACGGATAATACATGCAGTTTTTGTTAACACAGATAGATTATTATGTTTAGTGATGTGCAAGTCTTAGGCCATCTTAGAAAATTTGTAAAGCTGTTTATGTGGGCAGTAAGCGTTTGTTTTTGAAAAACACTAACATTAGCATAAATACAAATGAACAATTAATTTTGATTTTATTCTTACGAGTGTGTTAGTTTAACCATCTCCAAACTGTCTGTGAAGAAGTCCATTATTTACAGTTACCATCCAATACCTGTTTTGGCCACTTGATCTTTCTTTAAATTCAAGTGTGCTGGTGATGGATGAAGTCAGGGACCAAATTTGTATTCTTCTAAGAAAACAAATAAATAACCATGGCAACATTCTTATTTGTGTTTATTCAAATGCTATATGCTGTTTTGCCGACAAAAACACGTTTACTAGCTGGGTTTCCATTCAAACAAATTTTAAGTGAATTTAAAGGTAAAGATCAGTAAAAGAAAACACAAATGAATCTGTGTTTCCATCAACTACGATTATGTTCAAGATAACATGACGCACGTCATGTACGGCATGAGACAGATTTGCACATTGTACGTGCCATGTACAAAGGAAAGATCTGAACCTTTATTTTCTCTCTTATTTGTTTATTTATTTATTCTTTTCACTGAGTGGAGTAAGCAGTAGCCCATTTAATGAGGCCTGAATTTGCTATTACACTTCACTGTCACCCACTGATCACCTGAGAACAGTTCTGATAGAATGTAGCGCCAAACATGTGACTTTGTTTCCCGTTATGTTTCGTTCTCATGTCATTTAAAAAACCTTTTTCCATCACCGTTTTTCACATCTTTCTTTTATCGAGTCCATAAATATTTTTTGTTTTGTTTATTTTTCCTGACAGATAATACTTTTCACTGGTAATTTTCATTTTAGTAATTGTCTTAGTCTGTAGTTGTGTTAATGTATTTATTTGATTAATTTGCAAGTAATATGTGAATCTTAAATGTTACCCAATGAGTGAGCATTATTCATGTGTTGGTGTGGTAGGTATCAGCCATGTAAGCTGTTGGCCGAAGTGTACCGCAGTGTTTATAAGGTGCGGAATCGCCTTCTGGCCTGCAAAAACATGGAGCTCACACAGACTCGTTCATCATCCAGAGAGCGCAGGGTATGAATACAAACACAAACAAACACTCTCTTTATACTTTCAGATACCTCCACACACATCTGTTAAACATGAGTGTGTTTGTAGATCTCGGATAATATAGAGTCAGTGGAGCTGGACCCGCAGGAGCACTCCTTTACCCGCACCATTGATGAAGAGGCTGAGCTGGAGGAGCGAGCTGACCGAGAGAGAGACCGAGAGGAGGGCCACCAGGAGCAAGAGGAGGAGGAGGAGGAGAGAGAGCATGAAGTCATGACAGCAGGGAGTGAGTTCTTGCACATGCACGTACACACTCCTGCAGACTGGAGCATGTGTTGGTTATGCTGCTTATGTAGTATTGGCTGGTGCTTTGGCAGAATTCATAGTAGCATTTTATAAAATTCAACACTCTTCAGTTCTTCACTTTCAAGAATGCAAAAATTAAATTAAAAACCTGAGGGTTACTTAGACTCAAGTAGAAATACTAAACCATAAACCATAGATCAAATGGAGTTAAAAACTAAAAACAAATCTACTTCTCTGCCTCATAAAAACTGAGTGGGCATTTCAGGCTGTGCAGTGATTGACAGTTGTTTTCTGGCAGCAGTTGAGCTTTGAATTTATGTGAATGAAATATGAGGTTGCAGAGGTAAAGTTATATTCAGCTGGGAGTGACTGCAGTAAATGTGGTAAGTAGTAATGGCTAATGCATGTGATTTTGGGCACAATGCTTAAAATGCTCACTCAGGCACAAATAATGGAGACTTTGGGTTGTGTGGTGTGGGACTGTGACAAGTCATAGCTGCTCTACTTAGGTTCAGCAGGAGACAGACAGAAATACAGCAATTTGAAATGATCAGCATCACTCTGTTTGAAAGTCGAAAATTCATTCAGGAACTCAGAGCTGAAAGCATAAAGATTAATTAAATATACATTAAAGAGTAATATCTCAATGGTAAGTATAGGGTTTAAGGGATTAAGTGAGGAGTTGAATCTGATGTGTTAGACCAGTGAACATACAAAATGTACATTGTTCCCTGGCACTTGAATTGAAGACTGTTGCGATGTGGCATCATGACCGAACCCAGCTGTGGTATTATAACAGTGTGTCAGGCTTGTTTGCTGCTTCTCTAACCCACCTGCTCTCTGTGCTGTGTCTTGGCGGACGCAGAAATCTTTCAATGTTTCCTCTCAGCACGGGAGGTGGTTAGGGGCCGAGAGCGAGACCGTGCAGGCAGCGTCAGTGTCCAAGAAGAGCCTGTTCAGCCTGGACAAGAGCGCAAGAACAGCACTGTCATACAGGAGGGGCAAGACCTATACACCACCGCCTGCAATGGAATCATCCACCGCTGCGCTATGCTCCTTTTGGCCGTCAGTCCGCCACTCATGCAGCAGACCAATCAGCAGCTTCCCTCAGGTAGTGCCACACAGGAGGGAAGTGGATTCATGACAAGGTGAGTGACAGTGACTGGATGTGGAATGCTCGACTCCATCTGCTGTTTCAGTTCTGGACTGTTATCATTTTCTTAACACATGTCTATATGGTTCAGTCTGTGGCCTATAACAAGCTCCCTATAGGTACTGCTGCTCTCCTCTCAATCAATCCAGATATACTTGACCTACATTCCAGGTGCCACATCTGAGTCTCACACTTGTAGCCACATGTTTTGTAGGCTGACCTAAATCTTGTTTAGAAGTTTGTTTAATTTAAAACCAGTCATTACTGTTACATCATTTCAGTAACTGTAAAACATAGTTGTGGTGTGAATCAGTATTTGGGTCTTTATTGTTCTATAGAATGATATTGATATGATGAACTTTCAAAACCTAATTAGCGGTGCATTTTGCATTGTGTGTAGGAGTGAGAGCTTGTCTGCTGAAAGCCGTTCCATTCAAAGCAGTCCAAGTTACAGACTTACTAAATCCCGGAGTGAGTCTGACCTTTCACAACCAGAGTCTGATGAAGAGGGATATTCATTGGTGAGTTTGCACACTGGCACTTGCTATTTCTGCTTCCTTGTCGTATGCATGCTTGTATGAGTCAGGGTTGTGTAACTTGTGTGTGACCTATTTCAGAGTGGCAGGAGGAATGTTGATCTGGATTTGGCGTTCACCCATAAAAAGAGAGGTTAGTACTTCACTTGACACTGCACTCCCTTTCAGTTTAGCCCAACTTGTTACGGCAGTTTCATGGCTGACTGTATTATTAGTACCAGACACTTTTATGCTGAAGTGTTTCCAGAAGTGGTGGGGGATATGTGTGTATATGTATATGTAAGTGTAACTTGTTTCTTTTTCTTTCTGACTCTATGTATCAGTGTATGTTCTCCTATTTTATCAAATGAGTCCAAGAAATAAAAGGAACAAGCAAGTACCTGATGGCACGTTTCCCTCTTCCTTTAATCTTAGACTTTCAGTACATCCAGATAACATTGGCATCAATCAAAAATGTCAAACTCCAGGCGACAGCATTTTAGCGTTTTCCTGTAACACACCTGATGCAACGAACAAATGGCTAATTGGGTTGATGCAATGAAAATCAGGTGTGTTAAAGCAGAGAAACTGAACTGTGGACCTCCAGAACTGGAGTTTGACACACCTGGCATAAGAAAAAGTTCATCACATTTGACCATTTGACACTCACAATTGCTGACTTTTATTTTAATATCAGAATTTGTGATCATCTGTGCCTGCAGCTCTTTTGACTTAATGAGCTCATTAAAAAAAAAAAAGACTTCCCATGGCTTTTGTTTAGTGTTTTATTTTCTGCATTGGCTGGTCTCACTATCATAATTCGTGTTTTGTTCGCTTTAGGTCTTCTCCACAGTACTCCAGACTCGTCTGCTGACTGGTTTGGTGGGCGTTCAGGCCGGGAGCGCCTGTACAGCTCCCCTCAGTCCTATGAAGAGTCTGACCTGGACCTGAGCCGCACACTGGGCATCCATGCCCTCATCGACAATATTGTCAGCTTTGTCAGTGGCGATGTGGGGAGTGTGCCTACGTTCAAGGAGCCAGAGGAGAGCATGTCCACCAGCCCACAAGCTACCATTATAGCCATGGAGCAACAGCAGAGCAGGGCAGAGGTAGATACAATATATTAATCCTTTCCGGCACTCTAATATGAAGTATGTAATCACATATAAATGTAGGTATTGGTGTTTATCTAGCTGCGTCTGGAGGCCCTTCATCAGATCGTGGTGTTAATCTCTGGAATGGAGGAGAAGAGTAGCCAGGCTGGAACGGGGGCCGTGACTGGACATGCTGGCCCTGCCTTTCACTCTGCTTCCCTACTGACATCGGTCCGACTGCAGTTCTTGGCGGGATGCTTTGGCCTAGGCGCCGTCAGTAATGGGGGACTGAAGGGTGAGAGTGTCCAGCTGCACCACTACCAGGTAAAGGTTGAACGATATTGGGGGGTGGGGGGAAGGTTGCATTATGATATTTTAAGTTTTTGTAATAAATTTTTGGATATTTGAAAAGCAATTTACCCAGAAATACTATTTAAAACAATTTTAAAAAATTACTCAGATTAGCTATTCCCAAAAGGAGCTATTTAATACTTTAGCAATTATATAGAAAGGGTGTATTTAGAGGAGGAATTAAGGAGTGACTCAGTATTCTAGTTGGTTAGAGCTGCATGATGTGGTGTCACGACTATATTGCTGCATGATGTAACTGCAGTATAGCTTCCAATATACTGAAAAAAACATTACTGATGTGGTTAAGGATTGACCTGCTTTTTTTTTTTAACTGAAAGTTTTTACATTTGTTGCATATAAGAGTGTCTTGATTCAACAGAACATCCGAAGAACAAGTGGAATTCATCAGAATGCTTGCAACACAAAAAATATTTAGTGACTAGTTAAAGATGTGTTTCTATATTGTAAGTATTTGCAATATTAGTGTTGTAAAGGCCAGTGTCTTATTAAATAACTATATTATGAAGCCCTACTTGTGTTGTTTTTTCAGAAAAGCTATCGCTCTGAGAAATATTGTTCATTCATGTATATTTTTGCCTTCTGCAGGATGGTGTTCGAGCTGCTAAAAGAAATTTACAAATGGACATTCAGACAGCAGTGCACAAAATCTACCAGCAGCTTTCAGTCACATTAGAAAGAGCCCTGCAAGCCAACAAGCATCATATAGGTAACACACAAAAGCATTATTTGATACAATCACAGACACACAGTCTTTCTCTTAAATGATGTAACATGATTTTTGTTCATATAGAGGCCCAGCAGCGGCTGCTGTTGGTGACAGTCTTTGCTCTAAGTGTGCGTTACCAGCCGGTGGATGTGTCATTAGCGATTTCCAGCGGGCTGTTAGATGTGCTTTCTCAACTGTGTGGCAAGGAGACCCTTCTGGGACAGACCCTGCAACTCCTACACAAGCCCACTGGCTCCCAGCTCAGCACAGCCCTCAAAGTGGCCAGCACTCGACTGCTGCAAATACTCGCCATCAGTACTGGGTAAGACATCCATCCAAAAAAATGTGCAGCACTGATAAATCCTGAAGTCACAAGCTTTAAGCCAAGAATGGAAGGTGAAAAAAGTAACCTTGTTTGGCAGTAAAACAGCAGAGACTAGAGAATACAGCATTCTTTATGAAACTACAAATTTATGCTATTGTGTAAGAATGCAGAAAACGGTAAATATAATGTTTCTTTGTTCTTTATGCTCAATATGCAAGATAGATAATCCAGTGTTTTTTTGTTTGGTATTTGTATCATGTTATGCAGACAAGAATCTATTGTTAAATGTTCTAGTTTTTAAGTTCTTAAAAAAAATAAAAAAAGAAAGCAGTAAAAGAAGCAAATTTTTGCTACACTGCTCTACGGTGTTGTCACTGCCTCTTTTTGGAGAAAATCCACGTCCACGTTTGGGTTATGGCTAACCACTAAGAGGCCTGGAGGGAAACCAGAAAACGTTTTGGAAGACAGTTAATGTTGTAGCCTTTAGTGAATTCAGTTTCACTCTCAGATTATCAGAAACTCCAGTCTACAGTCAACTGTACAAGGGCTGAAAATCTAACTTTTCTGATATGTTTTCATAACATTTTTAAATGGAGTCGTCACATCAAAGCCTGTTTTGTGCTAGGCACTTAAATGAACACTAATTGTGCACTTAAACACAAAATACTCCTGTGCTCTTTGTGTGTTTATGTATCAGCCCTGGCCCTTGTTTTTGGCCGTGTCTTAACTTGATGCTGGAATCTGCACTAGCATAAGGATACATTTTCAAAGCAGACAACAGTGCATTTTTAAGTCACAGTGGAAAAGCACATCAGCCAAAGGTTATTAATGTAAATGTACTTACGCAAAACTTTTACAGCTGTAGCACTTTCTGCGTGCACCTGCTCAACCTTAGGGTCCTCTTGAGACTCTGTTCTTTAGGTCTCAGCCTCTTCATCCTCCACAGGCACTTTCACAGTCTGCACTTTTGTCACCAAAGATCCTTGAGTGGCACTTCAGCCATTTTTTCTCTATCAAATGTGGAGAATACAATGTTACAAATATACATCAAATGTATGTGAAAAAAGACCTTCCTGTGTTATTGGGAGCCGTACCTATTTCTTATTTCTCTAGGAGGTTCTTCTGTAAGCGGTTTTCGAAAGCCACTAAGAGACCTGGAGGGAAAATACATTTTTGGAAGATGATTGATATTACAGCGAAGTATTTTCTCAGTCTCAAAGTCCAGTTTCAATTACAGTGAACGTAAAACAGTGTAAAATGTGTCTGGTCTGTCCAAGTCTCTGTTCTGTACTTATGCAGAGCTGCAGCATCCTCTGTGTGTTCCTTCTTAACCCTAAAGGGCTTTCAGAAACCCAGTTCTCTCGTCAACTTTGATCTCAGCTAGCTGATCTTCTGTGATCACTTTCATGACCTCCACATCTGTCAACCGAGTGTCTGTTGTAGTAAACAGGCAATTTTTTATTCCAAAATATAACAAGTATTAACTTTATTTTTAAAGAGCCCTCATTTTGTATTATTTCAAGCCCTACCTTATTCTAGTTTGTATAGAGTTGGAAAGTTATTGTTAACAACTACGTGGCCTGGAGGGAAAATACATTTTAGCGAACACATATCACCATTGTCATGAAAGGAAGTGAAACTGAAAAGTATATTTAATAATTCAATTTCTGGTTGTATTCTCATCATTTCAGTCAGGGGATATGAGAGTTCCTGTTCTATACTTATTCAGAAGCTTTTCATGTTCTGCACAGTCAAGGATTTCTTCTTCCACTTCAGCTTTCTCAATAACATCCTGTCTTTCCTCAACTGTCTCCTCTTCCATTATCAATTTCTCAATCTCCATAATCACCTTGACTATTTTCTCTACCTCCACTGGTTCTTCTTCCTTCTTATCCACTTTCATCACCTCAACTTCTATTTTTGGTTCTGTCAATCTGACCTCCACATTTTTTTATCTAAGTTTTGCTCTCATTCTTAGCTGATTCTTTTTCTGTCCCCACCTTCTCTTCCTCAGAGCCAGTGTTCCTCACCTCATAGTCTATTTTTGATATATTTGTTATTAAGCAGTATATTGACAAGCAGCTAATACTTCTAATGCTACATTGTAAGTCACTCTGTATCACATGCTATGAAAATGTGCGTCCACATGTAAGCTAAAAGTTTTATCCTGCTGACCTGCTCCTTTAGAGGCCCTTCTAAAGATATGGTAACGGTCGAAGGGACAAAACCCAGTAGTAGTGTTACTATCAATGGTAACTTCATTCACATACCAGAGTGATGGTCAGTGACTTCAGTGATATTATCATGATTTGAGCCATAATATGTACTAATTATTTCTCCTAAGGAAAACTATTTTTTTATGTAATGAAATTTACACTTAAGCTAAAGAAAGTTGTGAAGTACTTATCCATAGCAATTTATAATTGTAGGTGAATGTAATGTTAGAAGACTTGCTCAGTGGCCCTTATTAGTATATTATACTGATTTGTTCTTGAGCATGTGCCGGACGAGCATATTATCCACTGTACTCTCTGGCCATTAATAATGATAGCTCTGTTGATGGAAGCTTTGGTCTAACTAGCAGTTCATTTTGTTAGTCTATTAGTCTAGCAATGGGCATCATACATGTTAAAATATTATTAATTAAATAATAAAACACTGATACTTGGGCCCTCTTGTATAATACTATTTAGATCCAAAATTAGCTGTCTGTTGTGATATATCCTGGTGTTTGTGCAAGATTTCAGTACAAAATTACAATGGAAAAAAAAACTGGAAAAAATCACATAATGCTGTATTTTTTTTTCTCATCTGTTAGACAAAAACAAAGCTGTTAAGTCATCAGTAAATTTCATGATGAACATAACAGTGACCGTATGCACACACAAACATTAATTCTTACTCTGCTGTTCCCAATCAGAACATATGCAGACAGGTTGAGTCCCAAGGTGGTTCAGGCCCTGTTGGATCTGCTGTGTAGTCAGCTGAAGACTCTGCTCTCCCAAGCTGCGGGCAGTGTGCTGAGTGTAAGCCCAGACCATGAGGAGAAAATAGATGATTCTGCAGATGCCCAGAAAAAAGACTTCAGAGGTAATTTTACACATGTTGTTTACACAATTTACACAGTTTTACATGTTATTTTACACTGCACACACAAAATAGTGAGTGCTCTAACAACTTGAATTCACCATGAATCTAGATTTTTTTTTTTTTCAACATTCTGTTATTAGTTGTACATGCATGACAGTTTGGATGTCTTGTATTGTTTTGTCATAGCATTACTGCGTAAGCAGCACACAGCAGAGTTACATCTGGGCGACTTTCTGGTGTTCCTAAGGAGGGTTGTGTCTTCCAAAGCTATCCAGTCCAAGATGGCTTCTCCAAAATGGACTGAAGTCTTGCTCAACATTGCAGCTCAGAAATGCTGCTCAGGTAACAGCGCACAAGCTTTGCTGCATATGTCTGTACATATGTACCAGGGCGTAATTTGTGCCAGAACATGATCCAACACCTCCAGCTATTGTACTTTTTTGGTTACATCTTGTTAACTTGAAATAAATTTGCAGGTTTTAGGTTTTATAAAAAAAACATGTAAAAACATAGTATTTCACAACTCACTGTATCCCGATAACAGATTGTCTATTTACATGTGCAGAATAATCTAGTAACTGCAGAAAGTCAGATTTTGACAATAATAATTCTGACTTTCTTCAAAAAAGTAAAAAAAAAAAAGTTATTCTCTTAAGAAAGAGTCATATAGACTATCAGTACCATGTTACACTTTGTATAATACCTTTAAGAATATTTTCCTTCTCAAGACAGTATTATGAATGTGGCCCCTATCTCTAAGTCTCAGTCAGATTTATTCAGAATTCTGATTGTGCTGGTTACATGACTATTTGAATAATTGGATAACTGCCAAAATCAGAAAGTGATCGTATTATTGGTGTGCATGTAAATACAGCCATTGTTGCAAATTTGTCGAAAAATGGAGCTATGAGATTTTCAGTTAATCCTTTAAGCCATTTATGTCATTACATACCACAGCGTGCAGAAACGTACATGAAGTCCAGTTAACTCAAAATAAACATTGTGTGGGGAGATACTTATCTGTTTTTGTTTGTATGTTTTGCTACATTTTCTTTTGTGACATAAAAACAACAGCAATACTATGTTTATCTTATATGATTGTTCAGTTCGCTCATACATCAAAAGATCTCAGTAACGCTGAGCAAAACAGCTGGCTTATGACAAAATTATAAAGTACTCATGCTTTTTGTTGCAAGAAAGCTGTTGGATTCCTCTTAAGAGTCTGCCTAATCAGTGTGCTTTGTAATTGTAAGAATCGTAAGATTCATAATTATTGGGAAACCTGTGCACCTGTCTAATGCTAACACGAACTGCTGGATCTGTTACTACTCAGTGTTTTGGAGCCTTATAATTTACAAATTAAGCTAAGGTTTGTTCTTGTTAGTCACAGCTTCCGTGTTCTTCAGTGATAAATACGTCGTTTTTTATTTTTTTTTTTGTTTGTTTTTTGTTTTTTTTAAAGATCTTTGTCTTTATCAAAAATGAAGCAAAATAAAAATGTGCCTGTGTTATAAGGAGGGAGATTTGTAAAATACTCCTGTATTTCAGGTGTTCCATTGGTAGGTAATTTGAGGACACGGTTACTGGCCTTGCATGTCCTGGAGGCTGTGCTTCCTGCCTGTGAGAGTAGTGTTGAGGATCATCAAATGACCCAGGTTTTGGTCTGCACATACAAACATAAAAATTGTGATATGCAGTTTTATCATCTTATCATTAAGTGCTTACTCTTCTTTTTTGTTAGGTGGTAGAAAGGTTGTTTTCTCTGCTGTCTGACTGCATGTGGGAGGCCCCGGTAGCTCAGGCCAAACACACCATCCACCTCAAAGAGAGAGAGCAGGAGCTCAAACTCCATGTAAGCAACATAATCTGATGTGTTATGAGTAGTTACAGTTGTATGCAAAAGTTGAAATACCCCAGGTCAACTTACATGCTTTGTTTATTTTGTTTAAGTGACAAAGTTGGTACACCCTATACAAATTTTAGGGCACAATTTCTATTTATTGCTGAGTCTAAAATATAACATGCACCATAACTTTTGCACAGGCCACATTTATTTCATATTAAATTCATGATATAAGCATCAAATATGCATTAGAACTTGCAGAAGTATGTTCTCTGTAAAGGATGTGTATTTGTTTCTACTTGCACCCAACTTTTGCATATGACAATAATACCATTCTGTAGTCTTATTAAAGCCAATTGCTTTAGTAACAGAAGTCATAATTAACTCTGGATATGTGTATTCTTCAGGGTGAGGCGGAAGAGGAAGAGGAGAACCTACCCATCCAGGAAGTGACCTTTGACCCAGAGAAGGCTCAGTGCTGTGTGGTGGAGAGCGGGCAGGGTCTGACGCACGGCAGTGGGGGCAAAGGGTACGGCCTGGCAGCCACAGGTATCTCCTCAGGCTGCTACCAGTGGAAGGTACTACACACACTTACTACACAAATCCTCACACTTTAAAGCATTATGGCAACTCTCATTCCTTGGGGATTATTGCTATAGTTGGCCCCCAACATAATACCCACTACTAGTATCAGGTTGATACCAACAGTTAGAGGAAAAAATGGAAAAAAAAAAAAGATTCACTTCTATAACATTCTAGACTGAAATCACAGAATTACTTTTTTTAAGAAAAACATTTTGCACATATTTTCACAGTATTGTGATATTTTGTTGTTTTTTTTTTCTTATGCTAACTAATTTTATGGCTTCCTTTTTTAACTGGAATGGTAAGTTTTTTTGTTTTTTTTTTTCGTCCTCTGTCAGTTCTACGTAGTGAAGGAAAATCGTGGTAATGAAGGCACATGTGTGGGTGTGTCCCGCTGGCCCGTGCACGATTTCAACCACCGCACTACAGCCGACATGTGGCTATACCGCGCCTACAGTGGCAACCTCTACCACAATGGAGAACAGACACTTGCACTGTCCAGCTACACACAGGGGGACTATATCACCTGCGTGTTGGACATGGAGGCCCGCACTGTGTCTTTTGGCAAAAATGGAGAGGTAAGGTGAACATAAAATTGTACTTATGTGAACTTGGAAATACATTTCTACTCACACTTTTTTATGCACATACTTGTAAGTTCTTGTAAATCTTTTTGGCTTTTGAAACACCAGACAGACACAGACTCATAGACACACGCACACTTAACTGAGCAGAATTGTTTATATGATCAATTGTCTTCACATACATGTGACACTAAAATTTCATAGCTTATTTTATAGATTTTTTTTATATTGTGTATTTATACATGACAGCAAGGCTCGTCAGGGGAGGGGAAAAAAAATAGAAAAGCAAAACAGATCTCCAGGTCACAACTTGACCCATAGTGGAAGTAGCATTTGGTTGACTTCTTAAGATCTTGCTTTCTTTTGTGACTTGGAAAGCAGTGAATCTTTAATTGCTAGAAAACAAATGGGAGCGTTTTTGGCAAAATAAAATGAAAATAACACAGAGTACCTACAACAGCGATTTCAAGTATTCAAAACATACCAAAGTGAGATTTCTCAAACTGTTATGTAGCCTTTGAGTTCATGCAAATCTAACAAGCATTGTTTCCAGGAACCAGCACACAACACTGTAGTTAATTTTTCTGTGAACTGAATACCTTACCTTAATTTGTCTGTCTGTCTGCAACTATATTTCTAAGATATAGACAAACATCTTTAGAAACAACAGAAGTGGCCTCTAGGCAGGGTTCAACATTAAAGGGGAATTCCATGTAATTCAGTAGTTAAGATGTAAACAAAATTATTTGGAGTGGTTTGATGTGAAATGGCTCATTGTACAAAAACATGAATCAGATTTCTTTGCAGTGGTGGTAATAGGAACCAGGTCATGATGTGTACTCCGCAAATACAGCCATTATATTTACTATTAAAAAGTACCAGTGAACTACCCATGTCTTCTGAGATTTTATATTTAATGTTGCTAGGGGTAAAATAGTGGAATATCAGAAAAATGTAAAGAAATAAAAACATTTTTTGGGGACTGTTTCGCCTTGTGCCGCCCTGCATGTATCTCTCCACCATTGCTTAACAAACGTGTTTCAGGCCTAGATCTTATTTTAAGACTGTCATAAAGCAACGTTTCAGTCATGGTGCTTGTTACTCATCCACATCAGATGTGTTTTTGGAGAGTTTGTAGGTCTTACATCAGTCTTTTTTTTGCCATTTATAGAAAGCAGTTACTACAGTGTTTATAAAAATTCACCTTTATAATCTCATGTGTATGAATACAAAAGAATGTTTGCCTGTCAGGAGAAAACATTTGGAAATGTGTGTCGCATGTTTTATGACACAACTTTTTTTTTCAAGGAGTAAGAGTAAATACGTAAATTTTTTAAAAATATATTTAATACTTAATATAACATGTTATCCTGTAAAGTAAGATTCTGGTTGAACAGTGATGGTTTGTGTTGCAGGAGCCCAAGTTGGCCTTTGAAGATGTGGATGCTACAGAGCTCTACCCCTGCGTCATGTTCTACAGCAGCAATCCAGGAGAAAAGGTGAGATTTACAGGTGCCTGTTTGGAGTTAAAGTTAAATCTTCAGTTTTGCGCTTAGCCAAATGTAGTATGTTTGCATCATGCAAACTAGGGTTGGGCAGTATAACAGTAAACAAAAGTGTTCATAAATGAAGATCATCATCATCATCATCATTAACCACTTAGTCCAGGGTCGCGTTAGCAGTTGGGAGAGCAGAGAACCCCAGACGACCCTGTCCCCTGCAACTTCCTCCAGCTCATTCCCGGGGACCCCAAGCTGCTCTCAGGCCAACTTAAAGATATAATCCCACCAGCGGGTCCTAGGACGACCCCGGGATCTTGTCCCAGTAGGCCGTGCCTGGTACACCCCCACCGGGAGGCGTCCAGGGGGCATCCGGATCAGATGCCCGAACCACCTCAGTTGGCTCCTCTCAATGCAGAGGAGTAGCGGCTCTACTCTGAGCTCCTCCCGAATGACTGAGCTTCTCACCCTGTCAAGTAGAGTGCAGCCCGCCGCCCTGCAAGGAAAACTCTTTTCCGCCGCTTGTATTCGCAATCTCATTCTTTCAGTCATTACCCACAGCTCATGACCATAAGTGAGGGTTGGGATGTAGACCGACCGGTAAACAGAGAGCTTTGTCTTATGGCTCAGCTCCCTCTTCACCACTGGAGTCCGGTACAGTGACCGCATTACTGCTGCTGCCTGTCCCAGCCTGCTGCTAATCTCACGATCCCTCTTCCCATCACTCGTGAACAAGACCCCGAGATACTTAAACTCCTCCACTTGGGGCAAGTCCTTTGCCCTAACCTGAAGTGGGCATGCCATCCTTTTCCGGGCTAGGACCATGGACTCAGACTTGGAGGTGCTGATCCACATACCAACCGCTTCACGCTCAGCTGCAAACCGCTCCAGTGAGTGCTGGAGGCATCTATTCAATCCAGCCAAAAGAACATCATCATCTGCAAATAGCAGAGACACCACCCTCCGGCCTCCACACATAATGCCCTCCTGACCTCGGCTACGCATTGACACCCTGTCCGTGAACATCATGAACAGGAGTAAAGACAGGGCACAACCCTGGTGGAGTCCAACGCTAACACTGAAAGAGCTTGACTTAATGCCGAGTATACGAACACAACTCTCACTCCGGGAACCTCCCACAAGATATCTCGGGGAACACGGTCGTAAGCCTTCTCTAAGTCCACAAAACACATGTAGACTGGGTTGGCAAACTCCCATGCCCCCTCAACAATCTGTGAAAGGGTGAAAAGCTGGTCCATTGCTCCATGGCCGAGACAGATTCCGCATAGTTCCTCTTCAATCTGAGGTTCAACTGTTGGTCGAAGTCTCCATTCCAATACCTTGGCGTAGACTTTCCCAGGGAGGCTGAGGAGTGTGAAACCCCGGTAGTTGGCACACACCCTCCGGTCCCCTTTCTTAAAAATAGGGACAACCACCCAGTCCAAGGGTACTGTTCCCAAGGTCCATATAATATTGCAGAGGTGTGTCAGCCACGACATCCAGAGCCTTAAGCATTTCCGGACAAATCTCATCCACCCCCGGTGCCTTGCCACTGAGGAGCTTGCCAACTACCTCAGTGACCTCCACCAGGGAAATGGAGCTTGACACGCCAGAAGCCTCTGGCCCTGACTCCCGTGAGGGAGGCATGTCTCTCGGATTAAGTACCTCAAAGAACTCGGATTGAGTTCCTCAAAGTGCTCCTTCCACCGAGCGACAATATCCTCGTTTGAAGCCAGAGTTTCTCCACCCCTGCTGAATACAGCTTGGGGAAGCCACCCCGACCGCTCCTGAGGCGCCGGACAGTTGTCCAGAACCTCCTTGAAGCCGACTGAAAGTCTTTTTCCATGGCCTCACCAAACTCCTCCCACGCCCTGGATTTTGCTTCCGCCACTGTTGCCGCTGCCACCTTTTTTGCCTGTCGGAACCTATCTGCTGAGTCGGGAGTCCTCCGGGCCATCCAGTCCCTAAATGAAGATGGTATTTCAAAATTTTGACACATCAAATTTCTATTCTGCATCTGACCGGCCAAATAAACACATTCCGTCTATTTATATTTTAGAAGGGCTCTCTGATTGGTATTGTGGGAGCGCAGTGACAGATGGAGCTAATAGAAAGAGAGGAATTGCTCAATGGGGAAAAAATGGGTGTCATTTTAGCATCAGTTAGCTGGAACCAAGTTAACTACACATTTGGCCTGCTGCACACCACAGCCATCGTTTGCTTATCCAAACACCACAGAACAAGTTTGATTTTGGCTTTCTATTATTCCAACACCAGTGACTTGACTTTTGCTCTCTCAGGTGTTCATTTTTGTCATTCAGACTTGTTTCAGCAGAACACCAGTTAGTAAGAATCAAACTGTACTGTGGAGTGTGGCGCTGTTTCAGTCTGGAGCCTGCCTGCTAAGCTTTTTGATTATTTTTTATTTCAGAACAAGATAAGAAAAAAGCATCATAAATGCCTTTGCGTCACTCCCAAATATTATCACACAATGCGTAGCACGTGAGAATTGCTGTTCTTAAGGACTCAATATTTCACAGTTCACTAGTTCACAGTGCAGCATGGTGCAGTTTCCAAACCTTATCTCTTACTAATCTCCTTTTCAGGTCAAAATTTGTGACATGCAGATGAGAGGCACTCCCCGTGACCTTTTGCCCGGTGACCCTATTTGCAGCCCTGTGGCCACCGTTCTGGCTGAAGCCACCTCACAGCTGGTGCGGATCCTGCACCGCTCTGACCACTGGACACAGACCATTAACCGCTGTATGCTGCAGCGGCTTCAACAGATCAGGGGCTGTCTGCGGGACGGTGGGCCGCCGCCAGGGGGTTACAGGCTACGCAAGAGCCGATCTGCCCAGAGCCGCGAAGAGCAAGATGAGAGAGAAGAGGAGAGGGAGGAGGAGAGAGGGAGGAGCAATCGTCATGCCTCGGTGGAGCTATCGGAGGCGCATCTGCGAACTCTGTGCAGTCAGGTTTGGCCCGTGCTGGCTGTGATCGGAGGTACGGATGGTGGACTAAGGGTCGGAGGTCGCTGCGTGCACAAACAGACTGGGAGACACGCCACCCTGCTGGGGGTGGTGAAGGAGGGCAGCACGTCGGCCAAAGTGCAGTGGGACGAAGCAGAGATTACCATCAGGTAAATCAAACATAACACACAGTGTTGTGGGTTAGATACTGTAAAATCAGTGTTTCCCAATCTTGGTCCTGCTCTTCTTAGTTTTGTATTTTCCACAAGCATGCTAGGTTCAACTCTGGAAAAGCATATTAATTAGCTAATGAGTTGAATCAGTTTATGTTGTAAGGTTACAGCTAGGGACGCACTAAAACCACTTTTACTTTTTCAATACCAATGCCTGAACTTCAAGTATATGCTGGTACAAAGTACCAGTACCAATTTCAACTCTGCCTTACATAACTACTTAATAGGGGCCTGTAAATCCTGATATTTTTACCATTAAAATTTTTTTCTTACAAGCAGTGTTCTGTGTCACAAATAAAACTAAGCTATTAAGCTTCAATTAGTAGCATGTAGTCATTGTATAACTTCACATTTAAATGGTTTCAGAGCTGCAAAAAAATCCATGGACAAAAAACAATGCCATCTAGCTGTCTAAGCCCTTTTTTCCATTAAGAGATTGCAAGTTTAATCCCCGGTAATGCCATAGCCATACATAGCTAGGAGTCCAGGAGAGCGCAAGTCTCGCTCTCTCTGGGAAGATGGCTCTCCCTCTCCCCCCATTGCTCAGAACGATGCTAGCCAAAGTGGACGTCTGTTAGTAACTGTTAAGATGTCTGATATAACAAAATTGGCAGTTAGCATTCTCCTCCAAGTGGGTTGAAAGCTTGAAAGCATCCTCTGATAATGGGAGACATAGCTAGTAGCTGGAGTTAGCCATGACATAATTAAATTGATGTTACAGATTTTGCAAGGAGCGCTTTTACTACTGCTTTTCTCAAGTGTGAAATAATCCCACATTGCCAGCATCTTGCTCTTTTCACTTACGCTCCAGCTACTTGGATGCACATCAGAAATTGGTTTGTGGTATCTGTATTCTATATTGCCAATAATAATACTATATTCATATGCTGATATTGGACCAATACCGATACGGTATCAGTGCACATTAGATGCAGCTTTTTTTTCTATTACTGTTTAACTCAACTATTTTTTTTCTTTTTTTGATGAATCAATTTATCTATCCAGAAGTTTCACATACATGCTTTCATTTGAAATATGCATCTTTAACATTTTACTGTATGTATGTACCTTTTACATTATGCTGCATTGAACCACACCTGTTACCTTCTGTTTCTTCCCTTTGTCTTCACCATCATTCAAAGTTCTGTATTTGTGAACAAGCATTTTCTTTTTTTTATGGTGCACAAAAACAATAGAAGCCCTGTTGCCCGCACTGTGGGCGTGTTACAGTTTATTGGAACGATTGAGCATGTTATTAAAAATCCATGCCGACGTTTTCCATAGTCAGTGTTGTCATAGTCACCCCTAGTGTGTTGCAGGCAGGACACACACAAAAATGTGCAGGATTGGGAAGCATTATCAAAAATGCCTTTTTTGGGCAAGATGTTCTTGTTTATGTACCTATGATCTTTCTCTCTTGTCAGGCTGTTGTTTTCCATTATCCCTGTTTAACAGTTCCCAGACTTTGATTGTCGCGTAGTTTCTTCCCCTCCTTTCTTCCTCTCATCCCCTTTCTCTCTCACCTCCCTTTTATTCTGGCTTTCTCCAGCCCTGTTCCAGCCCCCCCCCATTTTGGTTAGCTCCATGCCTTTTGCATGCCCTCTTCCCTTTTCCCTCACTCTCTCTCTCTCGATCTTTCTCTCCTTTCTCCTTTTCCTCTCTCTGTCCCATCTCTCCACCTCTCCTCACTGAAGCTTCCCCGCTTTCTGGTCACCTAGTGACACGCCACTATACAACTTGGAGCCATGCGAGCCGTTGGCCTTTGATGTGGCGCGCTTCCGAGGCCTGACAGCCACCCTGTTGCTGGACCTCACAGCTCTGGCCTCACTGCAGGATGACGGTGCCAAGCCCTCCTCTTCGTCGTCCTCTTCCTCCCGTCGCCACGAGCGAAGGCACCGCCATGAGTCCCATGATCCAGAGCGGGAGGGCGAGGGGCGGTCAGAGGGCCGAGAGGGGACAGGTGACCTACGTGTCTCCCACAGCCTGGACGAGGTGCGTGCCCACGCTGCATGCAGCACCCGCACAGAGCCGCAGGAGCTCACAACTCCACGGGGAAGCGCGCAGGAGGCAGCAGCACTAGCTGAGGTGCATGCAGTGCAGCTCTCCTACCTATACCTAGGTGCCATGAAGACTTTGAGTGTGCTCCTGAGCTGCAGCAAGTATGCAGAGCTCCTGCTCATTCCTAAAGTGATACCTGACAGCGGGCACAATGCTGACTGCGGCAGTCCAGGCGTCAGCGTCTCACAGGAGGAGGCAGAGATGCGCTCAGCACTGCAGTTTCTCATGAGGCACATGGTGAAACGGGCAGTGATGAGGTCGCCCATCAAGCGGGCGCTGGGGCTAGCTGACCTGGAACGGGCGCAAGGTATGATCTACAAACTGGTGGTCAATAGTCTCCTGGAGGAGCAGGGGGGAGGCAGAGCCAAACCATGTGAGTCTGTCTTACACATGCACGAGTCTGTCATACAAATGTGTACATTTTCTGTGAATGAATACACTCTTATGATTAAAATGAGTAAAACAATAGCAAATTTGGAAAAAGAAAGTTTTCTTTGGGTACCGTTTTGCCTTATGACAGCTTATATGTATCTCTGTGCCATGAATGGGTTTTAATATTTTTCAGGCCAAAATCTTATCACAAAGCTATTGTAAAACAGTGTCTAAGACATCAGACAATGTAATTGTAACTTTTTAGTGAAGTAACTTTTTGTTGTTTAGCTTTCAGAGGCATTTATTGCTTTAGACACCTGGCTTCTAATATTTTGTGTGTGTTTGTGGTAGTGGATACAGAGTGTGAAGAGCTGGAGGGGGAGCACCAGTTCCAGACTCCAGTTACCACTTCCCCTTCAGCTTCCAGCAGCACCTCCTTCATGAGCTCCTCTTTAGAGGACACCACCACGGCAACAACCCCAGTTACCACAGCAACCACACCGGTCACAGATGCCGAGACTGCACCAGCCTCTGAGTCACCAGGAGTTATGCCTCTCAGTCTGCTCAGGTGTGGCACGCACACACTCCCACACACACACATTTGTTTATACATGATCCTCTGTCCTGGTCCCCCTGTATGGGGGTTTGGAGCTGACACATAGGCTGTACATTAATTAGAAGTGTCTGTGTATTTGGATGAACAGGCAAATGTTCTCCAGCTACCCCACAACCACTCTACTGCCAGCACGCCGAGCTCAGACCCCTCCAGTCTCATCTTTACCCACATCTCCATCAGACGAACATGGCCGCAGACAGAGCCTCACCTCCCCTGAGTCTCAGCCTGCCAGAACCACCAACAGGACAGGTACACACACACACACACAAACTGTATTTTTATACAGGACATAAGGTCATACAGGCCTCCTTTATGTAGTTTATGGTAACTTTATAATTACATCTTTTTAATACAAGTTCATGTAAAAAGTTTATTTTAAGTAGTTTTGAACCATTTGCATTGATCCGTTCGTTTTGACATAGCGTAAACAGCAGCTGGCATCTTCAAATTCTGAAAAGAAAAAAAAAACAATGCAGTCAAAGTTAATGCATGAATGTGAGAGATTATTAATGCTTCTTTTATACTGCCTTTGATGCATTTTCCTAGTTTAACCATTTCATGCATCTGTAGGTGTGCAGACATAATGTAAATGAAAAGCAGAATCTTTACATGAATTTCATAATTAGTGTTTGATATCTTAGTATTTAATGTGTAAATGTACTTTAGCAGATGCAGACTCCACAAGTTTGTGCAAAAGCCTTTGATGACTAGATCAAATGCCTCTGAGAGTCTTGTTTCGCTGGAAGAGATAACACTTTTATTCCTTTCACAAAGGCCTTAATATGGACAAAGTCACAAATTTGCCAAAATTTGCTTAGCAACCTAGATCTAGTGCAGAATCTTGAATATTTCTTCTTCATTTTACTTGTCATAACTTTTCTTTTTTTCCAAAATTTTTCCAAGTATACCCCACTTTATGTAAGATTGTATATAGGGTTAGGCATAGTAGGTTGTTATGTATAAGACATTACAGATATACAGTAACCAAAAAGAGTATGTTGTCTTGCGTGCAGCCCTGTCAGACCCTAGCAGTCGCCTCTCCACATCTCCTCCTCCACCTGCCATCGCTGTGCCTCTACTTGAGATGGGATTCTCACTCAGACAAATTATGAAAGCTCTTGAGGCTACAGGTATTCACACACACACTTACACCCACACAAAGAGCACTGTTAATTAGCAGTACGATTTTAAGAAGATATTATACTGAAACATCACTCAACATTCAACACAGAAATTATGATTTTCTTAACTGTATGTTAAAGATCTCACAGTTCCCTTTTAATTTCTGTCAACAGAGATCTCAAATTTTCTCAAATATTACAACCCCAATTCCAAAAAATTTGGGACGCTGTGTAAAATGTAAATAAGTGTAAATAAAAACAGAATGCAGTGATTTTCAAATCTCATAGACCTATATTTTATTTACAGTAGAACATAAAATACATATCAGATGTTGAAAGTGAGACATTTTACCATTTCATGAAAAATATTAACTCATCTAGAACTTGATGGCAGCAACCAGTGTGTTCAGCACATAAGCGGTGACAGTGCATTAAAATGTGCAATATATATATATATATATATATATATATATATATATATATATATATATATATATATAATCACAGACTTGCTACTAGGTGAAGAATTTCAAGAAGTGATTCTGATTGTTTAGTTTCATGGCCCTCAGACTTCACGTCTTTATTATACGTGTATGCATATATGGCCATACAAGGACTTTAAAGCTGAGTCTGATGATTTGTGTGTTTCCAGGTGCACGGGGTGAGGCAGATGCTCAGAACATCACTGTGCTGGCCATGTGGATGATTGAGCACCCTGGCACTGAAGATTCAGAGGAACCCCATGCTGCAACTCCTGACTCCTGCTCAGGAGCAGCTGGAGGCAAGAGTGCAGACAGAAGTTGCTTCCGCTCTCCTGGAGACATCCCCAGTGCTGACGCCACCGAGATGGAGGAAGGCTTCAGTGAGAGGTTGAAACAGCATACATTATAGATTCAAATTTAGCCTGTCACTGTCAACTATATTAGTAATTGTTTTGATGATTGGTCAAATAATCAGACTTTGTTTGTTTGATTACCACTGCTATGATGATGCTGTTTTCTTTGCTACAGCCCCTATAGGTTTTGCAGTGTTGTTTTGTGTCAACAATGATGCACATTCATTTTCCGACACAGGGTTTTACACTACTTATTTCTGGTTTTGCCTAAACGCAGATATCTAAATAATTATTCTTTTTTTAGTACACTTTTACGATATTTTTTTCAGTTAATAGTTCAATTTAAAACTTGTAATAAAAGGAACTGTATTGGAGCATGTTGGCCTGGTCAGTCTAGAACTAGTTCTTGATCAAAACTGCATTCTTATTTGGGAATGTTTAGGATGCTCTAGGGCATTTTTTATAATATACATTCTAATTGTGGCTGCACACATCCTGCAGATGCACATTTATTCTTTTTCCATGATGCACTTGAAAAACAAATATGTAGTAATAATTCCCCTATGTGGAAAATGTTTAGCCTTCAATTTGAAAGATAGAATGATCAGATTACCCTGGTATTTTTGTTGATTTAGTTATTTCCAATTAATTGAGATTTAATGAAGTGACCAACCCTTCATCATTTTGTATCATGTCTCTATTCCATCTGAAATAACTCACACTGACAGTAGAATTTCTCTGTTCTCAGCCCTGAAGGACTAGATCAAGACTCTGCCTCTGCCTCCACTGGCCATGCCCCCAGAGGGCGCTCAGCAGCCAATAGAAAGCATCGCTTTGACCTTGCGGCACGTACTTTACTGGCTCGTGCAGGTATTCTTAATGCTTACATATTTTACGGAATTAAACTTCCGTCTGTACACACTAATTACCTTGTAATTATCTGGCCCTAAGTGCAAATGCTTAAACCTAGTTACTGATGCTTCATTCAGATCACAAGCCTTATTGATTATTTCTCATCTGGTCTTTGTGTCCTGATTGTTCATATTTGTGTGTGTAAGTGACCCATATCTGTCTTTAACGTGTACACACCTATACCCTGAACCAACCTGCATGTGCACATTTTAACCAGTGTTCTTGTTTAAATGTGTGTGTGTGTGTGTGTGTGTGTGTGTGTGTGTGTGTGTGTGCGCGCACATGTAGCTGGGCTATACCGCTCAGTGCAGGCCCACCGCTCTCAGGTACGGAGGGAGGGCCCTGGCCTACAACAAGACTCTCTGGGGGGTCTGTATGACTTCAACCTAGATGAGGAATTGGAGCTGGAGTTGGACCAGGAGGCCATGGAGGCCATGTTCACCCAGGAGCTGGCCTCCGACTCGGACATACTGGGAATGTGGATCCCGGAGGTACTGGATTGGCCAACATGGGTGTGTGTGACCGCAGCCTGGGGCTGGCGCTGCTTTACTACTCCCTATTAACCGCGTTAACCCTGAACACACACACACACACACACGCTTGACAAGAGCACTGGACATTTGAGCATGCTGAGCAGGCTGCTGTGAACTAGCAAAATGTTTTACAGATTTATTGATGGAGAAGACCCTTCTATTCTTACTTCATTTTATTTAGCGCTAACATGCTAACACTGCACACAATGCTACAGCTTCAAAGCCTTCAAAGATTTCCACTGTAATTTTTCTTGGGTCTGACCCGGAACATGTTTTTGTATGTTAATGTGTTTGTATGTGCACAGCATGTGTGTGAATCGGAGGACCGTGAGGAGGTGGTGGTGTGTGAGCTTTGTGAGGCAAATGTGTCCTGCTTCAACCAGCACATGAAAAAGAGCCATCCAGGCTGTGGGCGCAGTGCCAACCGACAGGGTTACCGCAGCAACGGCTCCTATGTGGATGGTTGGTTTGGGGGCGAATGCGGGAGTGGGAACCCCTACTACCTGCTCTGTGGAAGCTGCAGGGAGAAGTACCTCAGTATGAAAACCAAGACCAAAGGAGCCTTGCCGGAGAGGTCAGTGTATCTTTGTTTACCACATTGCAGTTATTTTGATGTGATGTGCTGTGATGAAATTACTTAAGCTAATATTTATTAATTAATTTACTTACTTGGTTACTTACTTACTTAGTTGCTAACTTGCTTACTTGTTTATTTATTTATTTATTTATTTATTTATTTATTCATTCATTCATTCATTCATTCATTCATTTAATTAAATTTATTTCTCCATACAGGTATAAGGGCCAAGCTCCAGACTTGCTGGGAAAGCAAGACAGTGTCTATGAAGGTATTGGTTGATTTTTCCCAAAGAATCTTTAGGAATAAAAACACTTGCACACCCTCACATACAATCACATGTGTTTGTTCTGTGTTGCAGAGGACTGGGACATGCTAGATGTGGATGAGACTGAGCGGCTGACGGGAGAGGAGGAGTTTGAGCTGCTCTCTGCACCACTGGGACTCAGCGAACGCAGACTTGTTCCTGAGCCTGTTCATTTTCCTGACACCGATCCTCTCGGTGCATCTGTTGCCATGGTTACTGCCACTAACAGCATGGAGGAGACTCTTCTGCAGATAGGTAAGGTTGTGACACACTCAAATGCATCAATACTGAAGGCTTTACTTGAACTAAGGAGCCCACCACAGGAATTTTCAGTATGGCACCTTTGCCAAACTCAGACACTTTGCTAATAAAACATGTATACACCCAAGCACACATACAGTTCCCCTGCTAACTTGTTCAGATAAAACTGATTTTGATAACATGTTAAGACTAACAGAGTGCTCCAGCTGCTATATATCTGTTAACATATTTGTCCATGTGAGTAATTTGTCTGGGTGCCTTACCTGCAGGCTGCCAAAGTTCAGTGGATAAGGGCTCCTCTGGCCGTATGTCTCTGGGGGAGCAGGCAGCAGGGCTGCAGAGTTCAGCTGATCGCCTGGTGGCTCTGAGGAGAGTTACAGCAGCTGCTCAGGTCCTGCTGGCTAGGACCATGGTCATGAGAGCACTCTCCCTGCTGTCAGTCAGGTGAGTGTGTGTGTGGGGGGGGGGTTGACAACATTTATGTGTGTTCCTTGTTTACATGAGTGTATATTACACTTATCATGCATTTCCTTGTCCTTTAGTGGCTCCAGCTGCAGTCTGGCTGCTGGACTGGAGTCTTTGGGCCTCACAGACATTAGGACCCTGGTACGTTTGATGTGTCTGGCTGCAGCTGGTCGTGCTGGTCTCTCCACCGGCCTTGCCTCAGGCTCTGGAACCTCAGAGCGGCCCAGAGGAGCCAACAAGCCCACCAAACCCATATCCTGCCTAGCCTACCTTAGCACTGCTGTGGGCTGCCTTGCCTCCAATAGCCCCAGTGCTGCCAAACTGCTGGTCCAGCTGTGTACCCAGGTGAATGCGTCTTCAGTTGTACTTTATTTGTATTCGGAATGTGTCTTTGTCTTACACCTTTCTCCTGTCTCTCACTGTAGAACCTGATCTCAGCAGCCACAGGGATGAACCTCACCACAGTGGATGATCCCATCCAGAGGAAGTTTCTACCCAGCTTCCTGCGGGGTGTAGCTGAGGAGAACAAGCTGGTGACATCACCCAACTTTGTGGTGACTCAGGCCCTGGTGGCCCTTCTAGCCGATAAGGGAGCCAGGCTGAGACCTGGCTACGACAAGGCTGAACTAGAGAAAAGAGGTACGCTGTCTCACACTACATTAAAACACACATAAATGTGTAGCCATACATAATGATGGTACCTTTACTGCGGTAGTTATTATAAATAGCATAAGAACATCAATCTATCTATCTGTCTATCTATCTATTTATCTATCATGAGAATATCTATCTATCATGAGAATATCTGTCTGTCTATCTATCTATCTATCTATCTGTTGCATTAATTATGCAATTCACTTCATGTATGTGCAGCAAAGGAGTTCCTGTATGTTTAGTTTTGCATGCAGCTTTGTTTTGATGGAGTTTCAAAGCTTTTTGAGTCGTCATTGTTTCTTTTCCCTTCCTCATCGTCCCTTTCACTGTTTGTGTTTGTGTTTGTTTGTGTCCATGTCTCTCACGCACGGCCTGGCCTTATTCCCTGTTGGATCCTCGCAGGGTTAATATCCTCTCTCTATGCCCACCCTTCCTTTGCTCCCCCTGCTGTAGGCCCGTTGGAGCTGGCCAATGCACTGGCGGCGTGCTGCCTCTCATCTCGCCTCTCCTCGCAGCACCGTCAATGGGCTGCACAGCAGCTGGTGCGTACACTAGCTGCCCATGACAGGGACAACCAGAGTCGACCACAGACCTTTGCTGACATGGCCGGAGACCTGCGCAAGTGCTCCACCATCAAGCTAGAGGCTCACCAGGGCAGGGTAAGGTCTATTGAATGTGCTGGTAAGCTTGTTGAATGCATTGCACTAGGGTTGGGCAGTTTAGCGATAAATTATGTGTATGGCGGTGTTTAAAAATCATTATGTATTTCAAATTTATTATGCGTCAATTTTCTGTTCCATGTCTGAACTGTCAAATAAAATTAGTGTAATGCTAGGCATATCATGGCCGCCTTTATATACCCTAGGTAATCTCCTGTGGATGGTGCAATAAAAAGGGTTTGCTGGCCACCAGTGGGAATGATGGAACAGTTCGTGTGTGGAATGTGACCAAAAACCAGTATACTCTGCAGCAGACATGTGTCTTCAACAAAATGTGAGCTATGTCTGTCTTCTTCTTATGGAGCTCGTCCAAATTATTTGTGCTTATCCTCACTCCCTCAGTATGTGGAGCATGTGTCTGAGTTTAAAATGTTTTTTGTGGTTTTGTGTTCTCAGAGATGGTTCCCCTGAGGAGTGTGTAAGTGGACTGGGGTCTCCAGGTGAGCCAGGCTTGGCACCAGTGGCCTGGAGCATGAGCGGGAAGTTCCTCGCTGCTGCCATGGAGAAAATAATTAACATCTGGCAGGTCAATGGTGAGTTAGCACTTAACAGTGTGCTCACACAACAGAGATTGGCGTTAAAGCTGCACTATGTAAGATTTGGAGATTTGGAGACCTCCCTAGTGGAAATGTCTGATTGTACACAATGTATGGAAAACGCTTTGTAACATTGGTTGTGCTTCAGACCACCAAGCCCAATATTTATGCACATTTTATGTATATTTAAAGGGTAGATGAGGTGTGGAGTACTTGTCTTTAGAACACGTGCAGATATTATTCTGTCACTGCATAACCAATACAGGGTTGCCCTTTGATGGAATTGAATTAGCAATTTGATTATATTGAGTATAATTAAATTTTGAGTGTTGTGCATGTGTGTGCGTGGCAGGTGGTAAGGGCATGCTGGACATCCAGCCTCACTGGGTGTCATCGTTGGCATGGCCAGAAAATGAGCCAGGGTGTCTGTGGGCTGGGGAGCCACATGAGCTTCTGTTGGTTGGTCGCATGGATGGAACCCTAGGCCTGCTTGAAGTTCTAGATGCCTCTAACATGCAAAGAACCGAACTCCAGCATTGCTACAGAAAAGACGGTAACTAGTTAGGCCCAAAAGGAGCAGCTTTGTTGATCTCTTCCTGGACATTTTATTTCTTATACTTGCGTTTTTATGTGTTTCTAAATATGTAATTTTTTTTAGTTGCTGTTATGCACATTGCATGGTACAGTGAGGACCGTCCCTTCGCTGTAGGCTATGCTGATGGAAAGCTTCTGATTGGCTCCAGAGAACCACTAGAGAATGGGTCTGTGGTGGTCATTGACGCTCACAAGGTTAGAGACACCAGCAACAAGTGACACACTGCATATCAGCCCCTGCACTTCATAAAATCAGAATGAAATTTTCCATTTAGTAGAAGCAAAAACTTGTTTGAAATATCCTTTTTTATATTGGTCCTCTGTTCTGTATGTAGGAGAGCATCAGTTCATTGCGTTGGGCTCCAGGTGGCCAGGTTCTATTAAGCTGTGCCAAAGAGGAGACAGTGCATCTATGGACAGGGTCTGGAGCAGGGTTAGGATGGAGCTGGGCTTGTATTCAGAGCATCACTCACCCCACTATTGTGAATGCTGTTGCTTGGTGCCACCTGCCTGGGCAAGGACCCAAGGCACTGAATATGTTGGCCACGTATGTTTACTCACACAAATATACACATACTTGCTTAATATTTCTTACTTTATGTGTCCACTGCGTATATGCTTTATTATCTAATATGTTATGTTATAGGTGTTGTCAGAATGGACTTGTGTCTGTATGGACAGTGCCTCAGGATCCTTCATCCTTCTCCCAGTCCAGCTCAGCCAGCTCAGAGGCATGGTGGGAAACAGAGTCAAAGTCTAAACCTAGGGTAAATTCACCCATAATGCCTGTTTGAGAATAACTGTAACTGTGTTGCTGTTTTATCATTTAAATTGTTAGTAATGTGGTTTCTGTGTGTGTAGCTGACACCACGACGATGTGAGGCAGCAACATGTGTGTTCCAGCTACGGGGTCACATGACCCCAGTTCGGACAGTAGCGTTCAGTCCTGATGGTCTGGCTTTGGTTTCTGGCGGTGTTGGAGGACTCTTGAACATCTGGTCCCTACGGGTCAGTTGTGCGGATGCTAGGGGTGTAAATCTCTGAATCCACAACAATAGATTTGATTGCAGTTCTTTAGGAAACGGTTCAATGTAAGGGTATTCTCACTTTAATTCATCATCAAAACTCAAATTTAACCACAATTTGATGTGGTTACTTTGGTACAATTTAGAATCATATTTATAAGTACATTGAACATGCAAATGTGAGTTGAGGCACTGTATACTCAGTGATGGAATATAGACAATAAAAATGTTTTCTTTTTGCAGTTGATAATTGCCCAAGCCAAAAAGGAATAGTTACTTTATTAAGCGTTATAATAATGATATGGCATTTTAAAAAGCAGTTGACTCTCTGCATTTAGATTGATGCATCATAATGCACTGATCCATTTTTACACCGCATATACATACACTTACTATCAGGATCTTATTTATCCAGTGTAATGTGTATGTGGATGAATTAGAAAGCATGTGTGTGTCTTTATATAGGATGGCTCAGTGCTGCAAACTGTGGTTGCTGGCTCTGGAGCCATTCAAAACACTGTGTGGATCCCAGATGTTGGTGTGGCTGTCTGTTCCAACCGCTCAAAGGTCATATGTCCAAATATAATAAATATAATAAAATTGTGAAGTAGGTCTGTAAGTGTGTCATGTTTATTATTTAACAGTCACACTGTAATGCTGTTGAATTTTTGTTGTAGGATATTCTGGTTGTCAACTGCTCCACGGAGTTCATGACAGCCAGTCATGTACTGGCAACCTGCCGCACTGCTCTAAAAAAGCAGGGGGTTGTAGGACTGAACATGGCTCCATGCATGAGGGCCTTCCTGGAGAGACTTCCCATCATGCTCCAGGAGCAATATGCCTATGAGAAGGTACACTCACACATACACCACATCACAATCACTTTTATTTTCAATAAAACTAGGCAAGCAGTTTAACAGGCAAGATGTGAGTAGGAAAAATGTCTACCACGCACTAACGTTATTCATTATGAGAAAATTCATGAAAAGAAAACCATTTGTAAGGCAACTATAATTACTTTTGATCATCTTAAATCTGCGGGCAGCTTGTTTTCAGATATTTATATCTTAAATTGTCCAACTTGATTGAACCATGTCGTTTGTTACTGAAGTGTATTTTAAACAACAGCTATCAGTTTTAGTGGTCTGATACATGCATATGTAATGTATGTGTGTTTTAGCCACACGTGGTGTGTGGAGAGCAGCTGATCCACAGCCCCTACATGCAGTGTCTGGCCTCTCTGGTGGTGGGGCTACAACTGGACACTCTTCTGTGCCGGCCCCCAGTCCCTCCTCATCTGGCCCACTGTCCCGTTGAGCCAGGCTCCTCAACATCATCTTCTTCCTCTTCCTCGCATTCTTGGGGCAGCAGCGAGTGGTCATGGCTTCACTGCTTCTCCACCACTGTCAAAACAGCCGAGGCACTCGCTCGCGGACACACCTTTCCAGAATCTTTCTGCGTGCCTGATCTGGAGCCTGTGGCAAAGGACAAGATGGCACTGCTTATGGTGAGATACTTGCATATTTATCTGAAAGAAAAGTATGTTTGCATAAAAGAAGGTAAAACAATGTATGAATAGTATTTTTTTTTTTTCCTAAGGGCTATTTGAGTCATGTTGTTTCACATGCTTTTTCTTTTAACATGGTTCCAGGACAATAGTAAATGGGTTCCTGGGATGGATGAGCAGATAATGGCCTGGGCCACCTCCAGACCAGAGGTAACAAGACCAGAACTGTACTGGTGGATTGTAACACAACCAAGAAATGCACTAGCAACAATAAACTGAACAAAATCCATAGGGATTAATTGCATGTGTTAAACAGGACTGGCACCTGGGTGGAAAGTGTGATGTGTATCTGTGGGGGGCGGGCCGCCATGGTCAACTCGCTGAGGCCGGACGCAACATTCTTGTGCCAACAGCTGCCCCTTCTTTCTCTCAAGCTCAACAGGTACATAGCAAGCTCCCACACATACACACTTGCACACAACACTTAACAGTGGAAAATCAGTGCACTGAGAATGTTTGTTATAATCTGTATATGTGCAGGTTGTGTGCGGGCAGAACTGCACGTTTGTAATTCAGGCGAATGGGACAGTATCTGCATGTGGAGAGGGAAGTTATGGCCGCCTGGGGCAGGGGAACTCTGATGACCTGCACGTTCTCACAGTCATCTCAGCACTGCAAGGTAGCTGACAACACACATATGAACAATAAAACACACTCGTCCTTACAATATAAATAATATTGAGAAAGTTTAATTCTACACCTTTCAAAGTATTAATTTTATTACCCATGGATTCAGGGTTTGTAGTGACTCAGCTGGTCACATCATGCGGCTCTGATGGGCACTCGATGGCTCTGACTGAGAGTGGCGAAGTGTTCAGCTGGGGAGACGGAGACTATGGCAAACTGGGCCACGGAAACAGCGACCGACAACGAAGACCACGCCAGATAGAGGCCCTGCAAGGAGAGGAGGTGGTGCAGGTCAGACACAAAAACACACATATTTACTCATATTCCTAAAGGACCTCCATTACACCCAAACCAATAGCAGAATTTGTATCACAAGAATATTGATGCTAAATGACAACAATGGGCCACATTCACCATTATCTTCCTCAGTTTCTTCTTAATTTTGTTTTGAGAAAGGTCCTAAGAAAAAGTCTACGTCAGATTCATGACGTATTCTTTAAGCACAGAATTATTTGCACCTTTGTGTTCTTGAGTGTGTAGATTCTGTTTTAACCTAAGAGCAAATCCCCAATAAGAAAACATTGCTGAATGTCAGAATCTTCGTAAAAACTGCGTAAATGGGTTTTAAAAAGAAATTTCTTCTTAAGAACAGTTGGTGAATGAGGCCCAATGTCATAAAATCAGTTTTGAGTTTATCCTTACACAACTTGTCATGCTCTTACAAGTACACGTGTGCTCTGTAGGGTGTTAAATTTTCTTTGTTGGTGAGACCAAAACTGTGTTGGGATTGAGGCAATTTCAAAATAATTATGCTGAACCTTTAACGTTACAAAACATGCCATGTTCAGGAACTACAAATGTACTTATTTATTTACTTTTCTTGTGCTGTCAGCTTAGTTTAATATGTTACGTCATGCATGTGTGCACTCACCAAGACAAATTCCTTGTATGTGGAACATACTTGGTGAAATGAAGCGATTCTGATTCTAGTAGTTGTGTTTAAACAGTTCAGTGATCTCGTGGCTATGCCACTACATTGTACTGGACACCAGCCCCCAGGACCAGAACTGAATATCAGCACCTCTAAGGTGTTGAAGTGTCTTTGGTAATAACAGTGAAACTGTGTTTTGTGTGCAGATGTCATGTGGATTTAAGCACTCAGCTGTAGTGACAGCGGATGGTAAACTCTTTTCTTTTGGGAATGGAGACTATGGCAGGTTGGGCCTGGGTAACACCTCTAACAAGAAGCTGCCTGAGAGAGTCACTGCCCTGGAGGGCCATCAAGTTGGTCAGGTAAAACATACACACAGAGACAAAACATGTCCCTGCTCAGACCCAAGAAAAATGACACTGGGTGACTCCTGCTGTTTAAAGCTATAGCTCAGTGTTATCATGCCAGTGTTACATAAAATGCAGTAAGGGTTAAAAGGTCACTGCAGCCTGCTCAGCATAGTGGTGTAAACAGGCTTAACAGTCTGTAGTAGAGCAGTGGCAGCCAATTTTATGTCTATGGCAAAGTAAGCATTGATGTGAACTGTGTTTGGGTGCATTCAGGTCGCATGTGGGCTAAATCACACCTTGGCTATGTCAGCTGATGGAATGACTGTCTGGGCATTTGGAGATGGAGACTATGGGAAACTTGGCCTTGGAAATTCAACTGCGAAATCTTCTCCACAGGTATTCTGCATCACTTGTAAAGACTAATCACATGCACATTCATTGCAAAAATACAGTTTTATTGATTTTCTAAGTGAAAAATATATATAAATAATATATACTTATTTTCACTTGCAAAGTTAGCAAAACATGTATATTCCAGGGTGTTCAGACATTTGCGTACAAGCGTACATACTCAGTCACATATGTAAAAGCACCACTGAAGACACATCTGTGTGTTTTCTAGAAAGTGGATGTTCTGTGTGGCATTGGGATTAAGAAGGTGGCTTGTGGGACACAGTTCTCTGTGGCTTTGACCAAAGATGGGAATGTTTACACTTTTGGGCAAGGTACGTACATGTTCATTTTGTGTTTTTATAAAGAGAAAGTCATTTAGTGTTTATAGGTAAAATCTACAAATACACACACATTTCTTTGCTTAACCAATAAACATATTGTTTGTAAACTGTCTGTTTTCCAAAACAATATATATCTATATATATAGATCGGCTGATTGGTCTTCCAGAGGGGCGGGCACGCAATCACAACCGCCCACAGCAGGTCCCCGCCCTTGCAGATGTGTTCATTGAGGATGTGGCTGTTGGGGCAGAGCATACCCTTGCTCTCTCGTCCGCAGGAGATGTTTATGCTTGGGGGAGCAATTCAGAGGGACAGGTACAGAGATGAGCTCACAACATTCATAGCTATATACAGATTTGATGTTCATGGTTATCGATGATTATAATGACAATGTATTTGTGCACGTTTGTGTTTTTGTAGCTGGGCCTGGGTCACACAAACCATGTAAGAGAGCCAACTCTCCTCACTGCTCTACAAGGCAAGAACATCCAGCAGATCTCTGCAGGACGCTGCCATAGTGCAGCATGGACTGCACCATCTGTCCCACCAAGAGCACCAGGTACCTAAGCACACACAGTAATAATCTGGGGATATGACCTATGTAGGAGGTTTTTAAAATATGCCCACAGAGAGATCTATTTACAGAAATAATGTTTTTGTTTATTTTAATTAATTAAATGAAACAATATGTGACCAGATCACAACCACATGTATACACCAGCTATATATGACCAGACCACAATCACATGTATACCTTTTACAAAGCCTCACATGGTCGGGTTGGGCTGACTAGTTTTTCCATTTTGTACCTAAACTTTTAAACATACACATCCTAGGGTCGTCAGTGCCGCTGCAGTTGGGCTTGCCCATGTGTGTGCCTCCTCAGTACAGTGCTCTGAGAGACATCAGCATGGAGGCTCTGAGAGCCAGGCTGCGTCTTCTCTACCATTTCTCTGACCTTATGTATTCCTCCTGGAGACTGCTCAACCTCAGTCCCAACAATCAGGTACACCCACACACAAAACCTTTTACCTCATACACTTGTACCATAGCTCCTACAGTCACGTACACCACATATCATAGGCGTAAAAATTCCTTATCTGGCATTGTTACTTGTTTCATGCATTGTGATGTGTTTCCTCATCTGTGTTTCAGAGTTGCACATCTCATTATAATCCAGGAACATGGGGAATAGTTCAGGGGCAGCTGCGGCCCCTGCTGGCACCAAGGGTCTATATGCTCCCAATGGTGCGGTCTATTGGCAAAACCATGGTGCAGGGTAAAAACTATGGCCCTCAGATTACTGTCAAGAGAATCTCCACTCGGTCAGTAACTTGCACCTTATTGGACCATCACAACCATAAGCACAGAAATTAATAGCTCTATTAAAGTTATAGAGAATATACATGCTGTTTTTCCACTAGTAATTGTGCTGAGGATATTAGAGATGGTTATTATTTTATTTTTCCTTTTCTCATGTTTTCTTTTTCTCATTGTCTCTCTGAAGGGGCAGGAAATGTAAGCCCATCTTCATTCAGATTGCTCGTCAGGTGGTCAAACTGAATGCATCTGACCTCAGGCTGCCATCCCGTGCCTGGAAGGTTAAGCTGGTGGGAGAAGGGGCTGACGATGCAGGGGGGGTGTTTGATGATACAATCACTGAAATGTGCCAGGTACGTTCACCTTTTATACATGTAATACATATGAATTATCAATTCTGAAAAAAATATTTGTTGTGTAAAATACTGTAGTTGCAATACTGTTGTGTCTAATAGTTAGTATGTAATTATGTCTAAAAATTTGTCTATACATTTGTAGGAAATTGCTCATCTAACCTTTTTTTTTAGTGGTATTAATAGGGAATGACTTTCATAATAATAATTTGCAAGGCAGACAATAAATGTAAATGTAACCAAAAAATCATCACTATCCAAAAAAAATCTCATTTATTTCAATTTGTTCTACATAATTTTACCACAGCAGCTTCCTTTTATGTTGTCTGACATGTTGAATGGACCAGAAAAAAAATGTCTTTTACATTAACTTGTATTACAAGTAAAAAACATTTTTTTTTACTTGTAGTTGCCATTGTGGAGATTTTTTTTTTGTTGTTTTGGACAGCAATGAAATATAGCTTTTGTATTTGTGTGTAGGAGCTTGAGACAGGAGTGGTTGACCTGCTTATCCCCTCCCCTAATGCCACAGCAGAAGTGGGCTACAACAGAGACAGGTCAGTAACACCTTCCTTATGATCGTTTTGGCATGTAAATATTTGCAAGTAGTTGTCTAACATGAATACAGTTTTGAATATCTCTATTGATTTTATTATGTGTCTGTGTGTTTGTGTTCATGTGTGCGTGCGCGCGTGTCCATCTGTGTGTGCATTTGTTTAAACACCTTTAGATTCCTGTTGAATCCCTCAGCATGTTTGGAGGAGCATTTGCTACAGTTCAAGTTCCTGGGCATCTTGATGGGCGTGGCTATCCGCACCAAGAAGCCACTGGACCTGCACCTGGCACCACTGGTGTGGAAGCAGCTGTGCTGTATTCCACTCACATTGGAGGACCTGGAGGAAGTAGACCTGCTCTATGTGCAGACACTCAACAGCATTCTACACTTGGAGGACAGCAGCATCACTGAGCAGAACTTCCATGAGGTACCACAAACCAAATATATATTTCAGCATCAGAAAAAAGTTGAGTGCACTCATTATATTAATTTAATAGAATACACATTGTGATTTAGTGTGGATGATTTGTCTCGGAGACAAATATTTCCTAAGTCTTTGAGGCACATTCATACATTGGGGTGTTGGTAACCGTGTAATAAGCGATATGACTTTCATTGGGAGGTGGACAATCAGATTGTTGTAATGTGGCAAGGTAAGCGTTTCATATAATGCCCATAGCAAAGTTGCAGTAAATACACATTGAGCGAAATTCTTACAATGGTTTAAAAAATATATTTAAAACACCTATGAACATTCAACGGGAGATAATGATATTTTTTAAAAACAGTATTAGTCTTCTTGTCACCTGTATTTTATCAAGGCTCAGGACTATCTTACAACTCTGCATCCACCTTTAATCCGGACAGCTAAGGATTCTTTAATTTTAGTGACACACCCCCAAAACTGCCAGCAGTTGGCTGTTATTTCTCAGTTTCCATAGCCATGGTCTCACTTTCACTCTGAAAAACTGGAGTTTTGTATAATGATGCATATACATTGCCAGCTTTTAGTTTTTAGGCCGTGGCAGGCCCACTACTGCAGTTGGTGGACATATCAGTCGGTCATGCTAGCATTGTGGTATCGTTGAAGTCTCATTCATTCAGCTGAAAAACTGAGAAAATGAATACAATTAGCCTGCCTGTACCAGTATTTATGTGAACTGTGTAAATTACGTGACAGACATTGGATTTCTTTTGTAGATGATTCCCCTCGACTCATTTGTGGGCCAGAGTGCTGATGGGAAAATGGTGCCCATCATTCCAGGAGGAAACAGCATCCCTTTGACCTTTTCTAACAGGAAGGAGTATGTGGAACGTGCCATTGAGTACCGACTACATGAAATTGACCGTCAGGTTTGTGCATGTGTATGTGGGTCTGAGAAATAAAGTGTACTCTCAAATACATGTTTCTACATTACATACTGCATGTCTATGTTTGTTAGGTGGCGGCAGTGCGAGAGGGCATGTCTTGGATTGTGCCGGTTCCTCTTCTCTCTCTGCTTACGGCGCGGCAGCTGGAGCAGATGGTGTGCGGCCTGCCTGAGATCAGCGTGGAGGTGCTAAAGAAGGTGGTGCGCTACCGGGAGGTGGAGGAGCAGCAGCAGCTGGTGCAGTGGTTCTGGCAGACGCTGGAAGAGTTCTCAAACGAGGAGCGAGTGCTCTTCATGCGCTTTGTCTCAGGCCGTTCGCGTCTCCCTGCTAACACTGCTGACATCTCACAGCGCTTCCAGATCATGAAGGTGGACCGGGTAAGGCCCAGATAGATATGATAGTGTGTCTACAAATGTTGAGTATTTGAGTCTTGTTAATCGTCTTATACTTTTGTGCCTCTCTCCACAGCCGTATGACAGTCTTCCCACCTCTCAGACCTGTTTCTTCCAGCTCCGCCTCCCGCCCTACTCCAGCCAATCAGTGATGGCGGAGCGGCTTCGCTACGCTATCAATAACTGCCGTTCTATTGACATGGACAACTACATGTTGTCTCGCAATGTGGACAATGCTGAGGGTTCGGACACAGACTACTAAGCCCTCCATGCACAAGAACAGACGTACAGAAAATCCTGTATGGACCCTGTTGAAGACTCGGTGCAGGCTTTTGTCACTTTTAAACATTCAGTGTTCTCATACACATTTAAACACATTTGATTCAGTGTTTTTATTTTCACTTAATTTCTTAGCAGTTTAAGCAAGTGGAGCTAGGGTGGGCCAGAGTATCAATTAGGATATATAAAATTTTCTATGCTTTCACACGCTCTTTCTCTTACTCTCTTCAGCGCATTCTTTCACCTTTTCTTTGTTGATTTTTTGGCACCACCCCATTTTCAGGGTTTTCTGCATGAACATATGTTTATTTAATTTAGGAAAAAAAATGTATAAAATGATTTATTGAAAAAAAAAAAAAAACAATATTGTACATTGTGTATAATGCTTCATTAGGAAATTGTTTTACCTAAGTGTCCATATTTATTTTGTTTTAATTTTTGAATTGCCTACGCCCAGTTTCATAACAGAGACAAATAAATGCTTCAATATTAGACTGTCCTTTCTCTGATCTTTTCTGTGCTTTTAATAGAAAATTTAAAGAAGGATAAATATTTGGCTCCATTACGTGGATAGGCAGAACAGTATTTCCAAAATGGAGGAACAAGGAAAGAAGACAATAGCAAGATAGTGCTCAACTACAGAAACGTAACAGCTAAGTAGCTTTAAAATTTAAGTTAATTAAAAACGTGTTGTGACAGGCAAGTGCATGGAATAAGATATTTTGACTTGAGAAACACCCAGCCCTTGAACCGAAGTTATTAAGTCTAATAAATATCAGTGTAAATAAACATTAGAGTGCAGTACTTAGTTTACCAAAAAGGTTCATTTTGGACGTATGGAATAGTAATTGTATGCCCTGCTGGAATGGTCCAAGCTCACTGCATTGATGGATCATCCAATCAAGTACAGTGAGTATCAGAAGCTAGCACAACTAGCAAAAATGGATAACACCAAATTGTGGAGACGGAAAGTGGATTTCTCTTCTAACGTACATTAGAAATACTCCAAGACAACTCAAAAGAGGTGGCAAAGAGGTGCGATCGCATTTCAACCGTGGAACTACTAGAGGCTGCCATTGAACTGCTGACACAGCAATAATTTTATTTTGCTGGCACAGCAATAAGGGTTGTTTTGTATTTGATGATAGCCAGGGCGGTACTTACTTAGTGGATGTTTCCCCCAGCATCACCGCAAGCAGCTAAGCAGCTCCCAGATGGCCTGGGGCAGGCACTGCATAAGAAAAAAACAGCCCACTGTACTAACTAAACAGATGGACTCGTTTTTCTGAGGACTAAAAACCCTATTCATAGAATATGTTAACAAGCTTGGTGCTTAGTGTGGGTTGAAGGCTAGACCAGAGCTGCCTGGAGATTTGGAATGTAGAGCGGATGCAGTGGATAGAGATTGTGTTTCCTCATGTTCAGTCAGAAGGCTTTTACTCGATTTACTTTATTGTTTTGAATAAAGTATAAAGCTTTTGGCCAATTCTGGACCTCCGGCAACTGAACAACTTCTTCCTGTAGTTTCTATGCTTTCGCATGCTTCACACTGCTGCTGTTCTTTGCTGTGTTCAGGAAGGAGAGTGGTTTACTTCCATGGACTTACGAGATGTGTACTTCCATAGCATTGGAGCATAGGCATTTTCTCTGGTTTTGCGTTCCAGGTCAAGGAGTTACAGATCAAAATTCTGCCCTTTGCATTTTGCTGGCTCCATGGACATTTTCAAAGAGCACACAGGCTCTGACGACAACCTCTTGTTGGGCTCTGTGTGGGACACAGGAGTTCCTCCACACCAAACTCATTAAAACATGTATTTATGGACCTTGTTTTGTGCACCAGAGCACAGTCATGCTGAAACAGGAAAGGGCCTTTGCCAAACTGTTGACACAAAGTTGGAAGCATGTGATTGCCTAAAACGTCTTTGTAAGCAGTACTATTAACATCACCCTTAACTGGAACCAAGATGCCTAGCCCAAAACCTGAAAAGCAGCCCAACAATTATCCTCCCTCCCCCAAACTGTACTGTTGGCACTATGCAGTGCAATGCAGTGAACTCAATAATTAGGAGGGGTGTCAACATACTTTGGTCATTTAATGTATTTCCTTATATCCAAAATATAAGTGAGTTATATGTCAATATACTTTGTGGGAGCATCAAAATTCCAAACATGAAATCATATTTCATGCAACATTTATTCAAAGCAGACTTTAATGAAACAAGTTGTGGAAGTCATGCAGATGACAGCTGTATTTCGCTTTTGAATGCAATGATTTCAGTAGATTAGCCTATGTAACTCTGTGTATTTTAGCCATCAAGGCAAGGATCTCATGTAACTGCTTTAAGTTAAATGAAAAAAAATAAAAGAGCTTCAGGTTGTTGGCCCTGGCAGTGCCCGAAGGGATTTGTAAGTAGCTCTTGGTCCACTCACATCAAAAGTAAACCTTTTTCCTAGAACTTAGGGCATTATTTTTATTCTCAGTTCATTTTTTCAATGTATAGCAAGAAACTTGTTCAAATCAGTTTTGCCAGTAAGGAAATATTGCAAAAACTAGATGTGCTTTGTCCTTTCGGACAAAGTAATGCTCTTACTCCACTTCAATTAGTCGGCTGCTCGTCTTCTTACAAAGACTAAATGGAAAGATCACATTAGCCCAGTGGTTGCCTCTATTCATTGCCTGCCAGTGAAATTTAAGGAAACAATTTATTAATCCCCAAAGGGAAATTAGAGTGTTCCAGCATCATACATACAAGACAAACACAGAATACAGAGTAAAAATAATTAAATAGAATAAGAAAACGTACAGCATGAAATATCATACAATACTATATATATATATATATATATATATATATATATATATATATATATGGGTCTTACACTCAGATATAAAATATTGAAGTTACAGCTACTGTTGCAGTTAGGGCTACAGGTACTGTTATTGTTACAATGTTATAATAACAGTAATCCACAGATGAGTTAGTTTACATTTCCAGTACTGTTGCACAGTAATAGAAGAAAGTACCTAGTGCAGTAGTGCTGTAAATACAGTATTGTGCTGCTTCATGACCACTGCAGAATAATCAGTAACAACGTGCTGTGCAGATGATACATAGATATACATTGATGCATGAGGAATAGATGAATTAGAATGCAGTGTTGTACAGTCTGATGGCTGCAGGAAGCAATTACCTGCAAAAGCATTCCTGCAGTGAAGCTGGAGCAGTCTGCTGCTCATTGTACTCCTCTGTCCCTGTAGTGTTTTGTGGAGTGATCACTGACACCTTTGCAGCATCCCCCTCTCCACCTCCATCTCCACTGTGTTCAGTTTAGCCCCCAGGTCTGAGCTGGCCTTTCTAATGATCTTGTTCAATCTGTTAGTGTCCTTCACTGTAATACTGCTGCCCCAGCCCACAACCGCATAAAAATGGCACTTGACACCACAGATTCATGGTAAGTACTCAGCAGCTGGTCTTTCACACCAAAGGACCTCATCCTCCTCAGAAAGTAGAGTTCACTCTGGCCCTTCTTGTATAGCTTGTCCACACTCACTTCCCATCCCAACATGTCACACAGATGAACAACCAGGTACTTGTAGGTACCTTGTAGGCACCTGGATGTTCATCTGTGTCTTAATGTTCTCGCCCTGGATGGTGTTTCTGTTTGTTCCATTGATATGAATAGTGCTCCATTAAGTATTGAAATGAATGCAGCCAATATAACATAACCATAACTGTTCTGATAACCTTGATGAAGGATAAAGGCTGTTTAAATATAATTCAGGCCAGACACAGGTTGTCAGCTGATTCTCACTGCAGGTTAAGATTGTAACCAGTGCTTTCTCTCTTTAAAGGTGGAGTATACAGTTCTGGAGAAAGACTGATAACTCAACAGCTAAACAAGTACACCCTCCTTTCAGTGCTTCTCCAAAAGCTCCACCCCCCAAATTCATGGACGCATATTGCCAAGGCAACAACACAGGGCTAACAAACTCGTTTTTTAGCTCTTTGTGGCCTTAAAACCCTTCCCAAATGTTGTACGGACAAATACAGTGAGAACAATGAAGCAGCAATTACTGCAACATTAGCTAGGTTGTAGGTTAGCAAACTTTCGCTACAATTGCTGCTGCAATGCTAACCAGTTGCTATCACAAACATTAGCAAACAGCAAAAATACAATACTCACTTATTGCTTCTGTGTAACTGCAAAAACAAGTTAATGTTACCCACCCGTCAAGCAGAAACAGGGCAGCCTCCTCATCCCTTCTCATGCCTTTCAACAAAGTTGATAGTGAAGTCAGCTTCTTTTTCACCAGCTTCTTGTTCAAATTTTTTCCATCCCATCTTAAATGCTGCAGCAGTTTTATGCAGGTGCAGAATGGACTTAAGGTAGAATGGGAAAATACAAATAGAAAGCCAACTTCAGCCTCACCAACTTCAAGAAATATTAAGAGGAGGAATACTTGGAAAGTCACTTTCACCTGAACATTTCCTACTACACTATCTTGCATGCACAGTGCTGTGTGGGCGGTCAGTGCCTTTGCCTTTTGGGGACAGCAAAACAAAATGAGGAGAGGACCAACATTTTCACAGGGAGGCAGTAACATGCACACATGGCCGGACTGGCTATGAAAACAAGAAAAAGAGAAGCTCAAATTACAGCACACACAGACAGAGTGTGACGTCATTCTCAAAGTAGTTGTTTGCTGCTATGTTAATGTTTAAAATAATGTTGTATTTAGATCCTTTAAAAAGGGAAACCCCTGTTTAAAGGATCTAAATACCCCCATTTTTATATTTGTACAATTTGTAATATAAAGAATTAGGGAAAAACTTTTTGATCATTTTATTGTGACTGTAAGCACTGCAAGGAATTATAAAAGGATAAAAGAATTATGAAAGGATAAACATCATTAAAAAGATCAGCATTCTTTAAGAAAATTTCCATCACCTTCGCAGTTTATTGTATTCTTCATGGAAAATCATGGGGATTTCAAGGGCATTGATTTTGTCTGCAACAAAAAAATGTGTGTCACACGTTATGTCTTTATGCTAAGAACTTCAGATCCGTTCTCTTATGGTTGTCTCTCCCAAAACGCGTGCCATTTATTTGATTTCCTACTTCTGGCAAGTCATTTTTTACATACGACCACCAAGCACTATAGTTTTTATTTCCAGCAGTTATTTTGAGCGTATCGATTTCATCTGCAACAAAAAAAGGCAATTGCCGCAAGACTAGACTTGATGGCTGTGTTTTTATATCTCACTCTTGCAGTCAACAGCAGTTCACATTGACCATCAAGCCAAAGTCGTCGAAAACAAATGCAGCCATCGACAGCAGACTGCAGGATGTACACCACTATCACGATAACATGCGAAAATTCCCTGTGCAGGTAAAAGATTAAGTAAGACTACTGATGCTTACTTACCAGGCTTTACATGGTGAAGTGGCATTGGAGTGGCGGTGCAGTGAAAGTCGCTAATAAAAGTCAT